CCCGCTCGGAGCGCTCAGGACCAGGAGGGAGCGAGAGGCCGCCGGCGCAGCAAACACGGCCTTCATGCACGAGGAGCGCGTGCGGCTGCGCTGGCTCCTCCGGGCAGCGGCGCGAGAGGACGCGCTTCCCTACGAGCATCCGCTGCAGGACGCCTTCCGCCGAGCAGGGGCTGCGGCGGCAGCGCGCGCGGACGCGGTCGTGCTCGACGAGGGCTTGGAAGGCGATGAAAAGTACTTCGACCTCTGTGACGACTCGTGACGGCCTGCACAGGTCGCCCTGGTCGCCGTCGCCGTCTCGCCGCCTCATCCGCCAACACGGCCGTCGCCGCCAGGGCCGCCACTGCCATCGCCATCGCCGTCGCTGCTTCGCCCACCACTACCAGGGCCGTTGCTCTACCGCTCCCCAAGCGTATTGCCGGTGCTGTCACGGGCTGCCACTCCTAGTACCTTGCTGCTCGGTCGCGTTCAGTCTAGGTCGACACGCTACCCTGCCGTTCGGGCGCCGCTCACCGCTTCGCAGCGAGCCCGGGCTCTGTAAACATCTCCGTCGCGAGCTGCGCACGCCCCGCGGGTCCGTGTGACTGTAGCTGTATCTCCCAAACATCTCTCACAGCTCAAAGCGATCTCCCCTAATCTCCACGGCTCGAGATTGCACGAGATAAAAACGGCGCTTTCGAGGTGGTTCGCCGGAATCTGGATAGGGGAGCGCGTAGAACGCGCGCTGCTGGTGTGCACAGAGCCCGGGATGGCCAGCATCCGCCCTCGTGGTCGCGAACAGCGCCGGTCGGCGCGTGCGGCTCTGGCAGCCGCCCGGCCGCGTCGGAGCTGCAGAGAGCGGCACGCGGCCCGGTGCCGTTCGGGCGCCGCTCACCGCTTCGCAGCGAGCCCGGGCTCTGTAAACATCTCCGTCGCGAGCTGCGCACGCCCCGCGGGTCCGTGTGACTGTAGCTGTATCTCCCAAACATCTCCCGCAGCTCAAAGCGATCTCGGCCTAATCTCCACGGCTCGAGATTGCACGAGATAAAAACGGCGCTCTCGAGGTGGGGCGCCAAGATCTGGATAGCGGAGCGCGTAGAACGCGCGCTGCCGATGTGCACAGAGCCCGGGATGGCCAGCATCCGCCCTCGTGGTCGCGAACGGCGCCGGTCGACGCGTGCGGCTCTGCGTCAACCAGTACGGAGCCCGAAATGCGTCCAAAAGTAAAAAAATCAGCTTTCCGCGCCTCTTCACTGCTCGCCGCCGCGCAGGCGCGTTCCGGGGGCCCAGTGGAGCATTTCATCTAGTGGCGGCACCAGCTCTAGAGAAATTTATAATTTCTCAGTGGGGTTTTGACATAGTGTCGTGCAGGTGCGGGGACAGGTCCCCGGATTTCCGTTAACTCACACAGCATGTGTCAGCATCCGCACAGAGACCACAGTTCCACACCCTTTACGAGCAGCCGCGCTCCGCCCCTACGCCCTAGCTCCGCCCCCTCGACCCGTCGACCCTTCGCGCGTCCCAGAGTGAGAGAGCTTCGCCTGCCAGCATCCAGCATTTTTTTTTCGTATGCCGCGGCGGTCGCGGATGTGGGATGAGTGAGGTCGCGACACGCACCCGACACGTTCTCTGACACACTACGTCAAGGGTATGTTTAGTTAGAAGAGGGGCCCCCGCGGCATCTGGCGCTCGTGCGCGAGATTCTTGCGCTTGGCTGGCAAGTACTGCAGGAGGTAGAACTGCGCCGCGTTGAAGGCGATCCCCACGAGCTGCACGTAGACCTGCCGGTACCACGGCGCGGGCTTGTCGTCGGCCGGCAGTGGGCAGTGCGCCTCGAGCTCGGCGCCCTCCTCGCTGCGCAGCTGCACCTCCGCCGCCATTTGCGCGTCAAACGCAGCTTGCGCGCGCGCCGCCAGCCGCTCCGCCGCCCGCCGCGCCTCGCCGCAGCTCGGCAGAGCCGAACGCACCGCGGCGCGGAAGCGGCGGGCGTGGGCCTTGCGGAGCCGGCGTGCTGCCGGCATGTACCGGCGAGCGGCGTGCATTCGCTCGACGAGGTCGCCGCAGAACTCGTCGAAAGCGGCGGCGCGCAACGCGGCGAGGTGCGACTTTGCCAGCCGCAGCGACGCCGCGGCCAGGAGGCGCCGCAGCGAGCGCTCCGTCCCGGCGAGGGTGTCGGTACGCGCGCCCGCCGGCGCCGCCGCGTCCTCAAAGCGGGCGAGGCAAGCGGCGAACATGCCGTCGAGCTCGCGGCCAAAGTGGCGGCTCGGGTTGAGCGACTCGTCGCTCTGCCGCTCCCGCAGCGCCGCGCAAGTCGCCTCGGCCTCGGCGCGCGCCGCCTCGGCCCCCGCCTCGCAGCGCAGCAACCCCTCCCACTCTGCCGGCGTCGCGGGCAGTGGTCGCTGCAGCGCTTCCTCCTGCCGATCCGCGAGCGGCGCCGCGGCGCCGCTGCGCGCGGAGCGGTCGCCCCGCAATAGCGTGCGCAGCAGCCGCGGCACCGCGGCCACCGGGAGCGCGGCGGTGCCGAACGCGCCGCGAGACCGCAGCAGGTACTCTTGGGACGAAGGCTGCAGCAACATCGAGAGGAGCCGGCGTGCCGCGGCGTCGGCGCCGGCGCCGCAAGGCACGGCGACGTGCGAGGCCTCGAACAGAGGGGCGCCGGCGCCGGCGCCGGCACGCGCCTCAAGCTGCCCTCTCAGCCGCTCGACGCACCTCGCCGCCGCCGCCGATGCCGCCGCCGCCGCCGCCTTGTCCGAGAGTGGCCTGGCAGACTCGGGGAAGGACACGAGGAGCGCCAGCTGCCGCGGCGGCGCGCCGGTCGCGCCGAGCGAAGCGAGCGCCTCCACGAGCGCGTCGCAGACGGCCACTGCGCGCGGGCAGGTGCCGCCACCCTCGGACGGGAGCGGCACCAGCCAGACATCGGACATCGCTAGCGCCGGCAGCGGCATCCTCCGCAGCTGGCCGCCCAGCTCCGAGGCAGCGTCGGAGGTGGACGCGGGCGCGAGGAGCAAAAGAGCCGGCGCGGGAGCGGGGCCCAGTGGGCAGCACAGGTCGGCGAGCAAATCCGGCGAGTCGAAGAAGCTCGTGCCAAAGATGCCGTTGAGCAGCTCGCCGCCGCCCGCGAGCAGCGAGGCGACCGCATACGGCTGGTCGTCCGGAGCGATCGAGCGGCGCAGCGCAGGCAGCTCGACGAGGCGGGTGGCGGTGGCGCCCGCCAGCGAGAGGAGGAGCGCCACCCGCACCGCGAGCACCACCCGCACCGACGTGGCTGGCATATAACACGCACACATACTTCGGCGACCGCCGCGCTGGCTCTCTTTCCTCAGCAGACGCCACGTCGCGTCTCGGCGGCGGCAGCTGCTTCGGCCGCGACCGAGCAAGCGAGCACGACGCGCCTCCGCGGCGAAAGAATTCCGACCCGGTTGCGGCGTGCCGCCCCGCATGCCGCATGCTCTCCTGGAGATGTCTGCTCTATTTATTCCCGCATGCCGCGGCTCAGCTTCAGGTGAGTTCATCTTGCCGGCGGTACCCGACGCTGCTCGAACGGCAGTTGTCGACCGCCGGCAGTTGACCGGTGTCGGCAAGATGAAGTCCACTGCGCTCGAAAAAACTACCACCGGAAGCGCCTCGCCGAGGCGCACAATAGTCCCCGTCAGCGCCACGCGCGAGAGCATGTGTCCACTGTGCAACGCGGCGGCGCGATGAGTCACGGGACGACCGACGGAAGCCGGATTAAGCCACAAAACTCGCTCATTCAGAGCTCAGGTTTTCACCGATTTGCAACAAATCTCTCCGATTTGCTGTGGGCGTTCCGTTGGCTGAAATAGTGATCAAACCGACCAAGTTAAGCGAATATTGGTCCAACGAAAACGGCACTAGTTAAGGGCAAAAACCGATTGGCTGTGGGGGGCGTTAGAGAGAGAGAGACTTCTTCTTGATCTTGTGTTAGAGTACAGTTGTTTGGTATTGCTAAAAATCTCTCTCTCTAAACTCGAGGGGCCAAAATACGCCGCGAGGAGGACGGAGTTGCGCCGAGAAGAAGCCGCGAGAGCAAGGGATCGGCGGGCAGCGGCGGCGCAGCAGAACGAGGCAGACAGAGGAGAGCGACGCGACAAGGAGGATGAAGCGACAGGAGGGAGAACGACGAGAGTGGGACGACCGCGAGGTGGCATGAAGGTTGCAGCGAGAATCGGCGTTGCAGCGAGAATCGGCGAGGGACTGCGAAGAGAGATAGGAAGAGGCAGACGCCCAAGGGTGGGCGACGGCTAATAAATAAATAAATAAAACGGACACCTCTACTGTGAGATGGGTAAAAAGGAACAGGTCCCCGCCCTTTGCGATCTTTTTGTGCAGGGTTCTTTTGTGGGTGTGGTCGGCGACTAGCCGGGGTCGTCCTCCCGATGGGGGACTAGCACTAGCCGTCTTCCACATGGTCTCTCGGGTCCCCCTGCTGCTCCTAATCTCTTCGACGGCTAGCACCACACTCCTCTCCTTAAATCCCTTGTGTGGTGGCGGCGTGCCGTCCTCCCATCCCTCCCTTGGGTTGTCTGTTTTCTTTCTCTTTCTTAAGAGTTCCCTGGCGGTCCGTTTTCTTTCTTTCACAGCAGACTGGCACTCACACAAATGGCACACAGCCGAGGGGAAGAATTTCACGACGCGAAAGCCGTAACCCGTATATGTCTGTGTGTGGTGGCGGCGTGCCAGGCGTGCCGGGTCCCACCGGCACCGTCCTCCCATCCGCATCCTTCCTTGGCGTGGCTGTTTTATTTCTTTCTTAGGAGGCTGCCAACCACATTAAAATCATGATTAAAATAGTCATAGTCATCACGCCCCTCGGCCTCTCTATCTGCACTCTGGTGCCTAGCCATGCCACATGCCCACGAACAGACACACACGGCAGGCCCACTGACACTACAGATCCCTCGCGCCGCGCTCCGCCGCCCCACGGTCCACAGCCCCACGGGGTCCTCTCTCACGTCTCAGCGCCGCCCCACGCCCCACGCCAGCCCCAGCGTCCACGCGCCCCCTTACTGGATCTTGCTCGCCAGCGTGGAGACCCCCGACTGCAGCGAGGAGGACATGGTCGAGGTGAGCGCTTTGATGCGCTTCGAGTCGATGCTCGGCGCGGCGATGCCGAGCCCCGACAGCCCCCCGGTGAGCGAGTCCAGCCCCGGCTGCTGCATCGGCTGCGGCGTCGGCGCGCCGCCCGCCGAGGGCAGCCGCTTCACCTCCTCGAGGAAGGAGGCGGAGTTGTGGATCGTGGTCCCTCCGAGCAGCACGCGCACGCCGGGGTTGGCTGTGTTCATCTCGGAGACGTAGCGCGACTCCTCGTACGTGACGCCGCCCACCATGAAGACGATCACCTCGACGGGCGCTCTCCGCTTCGCGCCGGCCGTCGGCGGCTCGCTGCCGAGGTGCGGGTACCTACAGCCGGCGCGACTTCCGCGGCTGAGCCGGCGCGGGCGTGGGCAGGCGGCGACCGTGTGCGGGTGGCGGTTGCTGAGTCTCGGTGAGGGTGCCCTTGAGCAGCGCGTCGAGGGTCTGCGCGAGGTAGGGCGAGTGCTGCGTGTAGACGTTTTGCACGCCCTTGATGTTCCGCTGCAGGCTCTTCTTGGTCGCCGCGAGCCTGCAGCCGGGGGAGGGGCCGCGGGGCACGGGTGGGGGCGGGGGTGGGGTGGCGGGAGGCGGGGGTGGGGTGGCGGGAGGCGGAGGCGGGAGGCGGAGGCGGAGGCGGGAGGCGGGAGGCGGGAGGCGGGAGGCGGGAGGCGGGAGGCGGAGTCGAGCGGCATCGGTCGTCAACGAGAGGGAGGGAGGGAGGGGCGGGGGCGGGAGCAAGATGGGAGGGTCGCGCGCGCCATGTCTTGTTGGAGAAGAGGTCGCCGCTGCGCACGGCCGCGCCGCAGTGGGCCAGCATCTGCGAGACGGCCTGCCGCGCGTCCGCGCCGAGCATGTCGCAAAAGGTGTCGATGCGGTTCGAGGGCTCCTTCTCGTACCGCAGCGCGTAGAGCAGCACGAGGCGCAGCTTGTTCTGGTCGGCGATCGACGGCTTGCGCAGGAGCGCGAGCACCTCTGTGACGGCGGAGGAGTGGTCCTCGGTGCAGGCGAGCTCCTGCTCGACTTGCGAGACCTGCGAGGCACGCGCCGCGGCCGGGTCGGTGCGCGGTGCCCAGCCGCGCGCGAGCCTCTCTCCCCGCCCGAGAGGCGCGTCGCCTCCATCAGCTGCTGCGACTCGACGAGCCGGTTGATCTCGCCGAGCAGGGTGACGTGCTTGGAGACGTCGCCCGACAGCTTCTTGAACTGCGGGTACGCCTGGCGGTGGAGGAGGAGGGGGGGGGGTGTGAGCCCTCCCGGTGAAGAGGTGTGTGCTGGCCGCTGAAGCAGCAGCAGACGCGCCTCGACAAACTGCTGCATGTCGGCGATGGAGCCGATGTTCTTTGTCGACTTTGTCTTTGCCTGGAAGGCGTCGAGCAGGCCCTTGACGTTCTCGGCGAGGTCGCCGTAGTTGAGGAGCATATTGTCCGCGAAGAAGGCGTCCTGCACGCGCGCGGGGAGGAGGGTCCGAGAGGGGTCCGAGGAGGGTCCGAGGAGGGCTCCGGAGGGGTCCGAGAGGGCTCCGAGAGGGGTCCGAGGAGGGGTCCGAGGAGGGGTCCGAGAGGGGTCCGAGGAGGCAAGAGGTGGCTACTCCTCGGGCCGAGGCGATGGCAGTGGAGACGGCTCGGGCGTAGCAGGCGATGGAGGGTGTGCTGCGACGGCTCGGGCGAGGGCGGGTGTGGCGGTGGCGACGGGCGGGGCGGGCGGCGCCTGGTCGGCAGAGAGCACCAGCTGCTGCAGCTCCTTGTCCACGCCTGTTCACAGCAGGAGGTGTGAAGAGACGCTGTTCACAGCTCCTTGTCGACGCCTGCAGCCACACGACAACAGCCCCGCGACACACGCGACACACACGCCCGCGCAGACGCGCGCCCGATCCCCGCGTGGCCAGCCGCTCTCTGCTCTCCGCCAGCCGCTCGCGCGAACAACCGCTCGCCGCCAAACCCTCTCCCTCTCCCCTCTGCGCGTGTGGGCGCGGCCGCCCCCGCCCCGCCCCCGCCCCCGCCCCCGCCCCCGCTCGCGCAGGGTCTGCTCGCCTGGCGCGCCGCGCAAGTCGACGCGGTTGTTGGAGATGCCGACCAGCTCGTGCACCATCGCCTGGTACGTCCACTGGCTCAGCAGCGGCGTCACCGGGTCGTCCCTCCGGTCGACAATCAGCAGCAGCGGCGGCACATCCGGCCGCCGGAACGCAAACAGGTCCGGGTCCGCGTCCATTGTGCCGAGGACGGTCTCGGCGACCCGCTGGGCGACCTCGGAGCTGCGCTGGTAGCGGATCTGCGGCCGCTTCTTGAGCGAGAGCAGCAGCGAGCACACGCCCTGGTGCAGCCGGTCGAAGACGGCCTGCTCCCACACGCTGCCAGACAGGCCGGCGATCGAGCCGACGTTGAGGTGGAAGAGGTCGGGGGTGACGGGGAGGTAGTCGGCGAAGTACTCGTGCACCTGCTGCACCACCTCGTGCTCGTCCGCCTCCGCCAGCTGCTGGATCATCCCGTCGCGCGTCGTGTTTGAGAAGAAGAGGTGGTACTCGCCAAACCGAGGCTCGCGCAGCTCCGACTGGATGCGGCGCAGGTTCTCGGCGGTCGGCCGCACAAAGTAGCACGCCTTGAGATGGGGCATCTTCTCTCCCGCCTGCCGCTCGATCGTGTCGGTCATGAAGACCTCGTGCTGCAGGACCTGCGTCTGCGTAAACACCATCGATACGACGCCGGTCGTCTCTGCGTCCATCACGAGTACCTTCATGCCGGGCACGTCGGTGCACATCCGCGTGACGTAGTCCCGCACCGTCTGGATGGTGTTGGACCGAGCCACGCTGGAGGATGCCATGGGGATTGGTGCGGGTGGTGCGGCGCGCGCTGCCTCACACGGCGCTCACAAAACAAAGAAAAGTAGGTGCGTCGTACGAAAATCCCTGGGTGGGCGGCGTGCCGTCCTCCCATCCCTCCCTTGTGTTCTGTTTTGTTTCTTTCTTTATCGTCGCGAGCCCATGTCGGGTGTTTACTAGCTCCGAGTAGAGGGGGCGTTCTGCTGCTAGGGGAAACCCAGCGCGCGGTACTATAAACCCTCGGAGACGCGTGTTTACTTTATGGCCCCTTCCCTGCGAACGCGCACCCCCCCAGGGAGGCTAGGGCTCTCTAGCCCGTAACCCGCTCCAAGATCCCGTTCGTCCGGCCCGCTGGGTGCGCTTCTTAGCTCCCCGGCCCTCTGGGTGTGAGGCTGCCGACTGCGGCATTCCTCAAGTTGCTCCAACGTCCAAGCCTACTCCTCTCTTTCTAATCCCTGTGTGTGTGGTGGCGGCGTGCCGTCCTCCCATCCCTCCCGGCGCGCCGTTTTTGTTTCTTTCTTTTAGAGCGTCACGCCACTGGTTCGCGCGACGCACCGTGTCCGTGAGGGTCTGAACACTGCTCCCTTCGAATAGTGAGGTGGCAGGCCCCGCTCACCGCGAGGCCGACGGTCTGCTGGCACGACCACCCGCTCGGCGCTCTGCCGATGCTCATCTCGGCTGCACCGCCCACGGAGAGCTCGCGCTCCTGTTCACAACCAAACGCGTGAAGTGGCGCACTGCACAAGCTCGCGGCCGAAGAAGAGCCTTCGCTCCCAGAGCGCCGACGGCAGGCCGTGCGACGGGTCCACCACTGCGTGGGCGTCGTATGGGACGCCGGGGGAGCCCGCCTGCAGCACGAACCCGCCCCGCGCCAGTGTCGAGGGCAGCTCTGCGGCGCAGTACGCCGTGTCCTACGCAAGGTAACACCGGAGGGGACATCGGATGATCGAGTGGGGAGTAGTGGGTGAGACGTCAGCGAAGCTATCTGCTCGATACGATGGCACCTCGGCTGACCAGCCGCCATGGACCATATCGGCATACCGCCGGTAAAAGGAGGAGTCGTTGTTGTACCAGACGGCGAGGAGCGGAGAGGCGTCTGATGCGGCCGCGTCGACCTCCACGCGGTAGCGCACCGGCACGTCGTCGACTTGGTGCGGGAACTGGACGTGGAGGCTGCCAACGAGGTGCGTTGGTATGCCACCGTCGAGGCGGTAGAATCGCTGCGAGTCGGCAAAGCTGCCCGGTTGGAGGACCTGTGCACAGTACGCGTCCCCCTCCTTCGACTCGTGCGTACCGTAGGGAAAGCGCCCGCGGAGAGAATGAGCACACGTCGGATAAATGTAGAGGGTGGCACTCCCAGCACATGCTTTGCTGCTCGCCGTCATGAGTGGGCATGAGCCAGCACTGGCCGAGGCACACGAGCCCCAGGCAAAGAGATCAAACAGCCACCACGTATCTGCGACCCCGAACGGCTGCATCTTGCACGAGAGCCGCCAAGGCAAGTGCATCGCTTCGCCGAGCTGGTTGACAGCAGGCGATGCTACCGCGAGAGCGTTGAAGTCGCCGGCGCCACCGGCAGCATGGAGCGTCAAAGCGGCGACGCCGGCCGCGGCGAGCAGGCTTACGGTCACACAGCTGTCCAGCCTGCAGCTTACGATCCCATTGCGTTTGTGGGCGGAGATCATCGTGGCACGCGCCGCGCTATACGCGCGCGCGTCCCGACGGCTGGGATGCCGATCGACTCGACGCCTCGCACGCCGCTATCAATCCTAACCGGCAGGGATGATGGTCTCGTGACCACGGCGCCGCCCCCCCGGGGGCCGGGGCAGGTTGATGGGTCCAGGTGATAGCCCTGGATGGGCAATGCATACGCCTAGTTGGACCTCAGCCTCGCCCAACCGCGTCCCGGCAAAACCTTTATGTGATGTTACAGGTGGGTTAAGAGGGAGATGTGCGAGAGCTGCGGGACCGCCGGGACGGCGGGCGGGTGATCAATACCAAACAACTCTAACACTCACACGTCATTTGGCAACACTAGTGGGGGACCTGCGGCGGACCCGCCTCTGTTGTTCGCGGGCAGTGAGAGACGCAGGATCTGCACGCCAAAGTGGGGCCACTCCGCATTTTCATTTTGGTTTTGGGTTGTCGGAGATCATCCATCAGCACTCATAAGTCAGTCAAAGCTCAGTCGTGGCAGCTGGCACGTGAGCAGAGTCGCTGCATGCAACGGCGCCGCCACACGCTCCGGACGACCGACACACCGACACACCACGCACAATAGGAGGCTATCGCGCACGATCGGCCATCGCACCCACCGCAAACACCTCGCCGCACAGATGGGGGGAGGCATAATCCCACACACACCGGAGCAGCGCAGACACCTTACACGTCAGCGCTCGCTCGATGTGGCCGGCGCTCTCCCCTCTCCTATCGCCTTTTCGACGGCGGCGTGCGGCCACGCGCCGCGCCGAGCCGGTCTCGGCGGGAGACCTCGGAGCCGCACGCGATGCGGGCATGCGCGATGGCTCCGTTGGCTCCGTGCCTAAGGCAGATAGATTAGGGTGGGGCGGCGGCATCCATGTGTGTAATATATATTTATATATCGCTGCGGGTCGCTGCGGGCCGACGATTGTGGACTGATCGATCGATTGTCGGCGGGCGGTGTTCTCGAGTGTTCAGCTTTTACGTTCTACGTTAAAAGAGCGTCGGCGCGGACACGAGAGACTTATAAGGGTATAGACTCACACGTCATTTGGGGCCTGGAGCCCTATTCACGCGTGCGCGAGACGTGCACCCTGCTTGATTTCTTCTTTCGGTTTGGGTTAACGACACTCGCACTCACCACCAACACGAAGTCTGCAGCCGCTGCCTGCCTCCCCAATGTCGACGATGCGGCCACGCTCCCACAGCACCGACTTTACAATCCCCAGCCTCTCCCGCACGAATGAGCTGATCGTCTCGAACAACTCTCACGAGGAACAGTTCATTCTTGTGGACGAACCGCATTCGCCGACGACGCCTACGCCGTCCACGAGCGCGTTTGTGATTCTCGGCCGCGGCGGCCAGATCGAATCGTCAGAGGGTGAGCCGTTGGCCTCAGCCGATTGGTGCCGAGCGCGCCTTAACGCCCGTCCCCAACGCAGGCTGCCTCTCTCCATCGGAGCGCAAGCACTTCTTCAAGCAGGCAGGACTGGCGAGCCCTCTGCGCCGGGCGTCGACGGATCGCGAGGTCCCCGGCTTCTTCCTCTGACCCACGCGGCGCCTGCACGTAGAGGCGATTCGTGTGTGGTACGAGGCCGGCGCAGGGGTCTGGTTTGTGGGACTCGATCGTATTGGTCCTGGTACTGGGGGGTGATTGTCACAGTGAGAGATTGTCCGTGCTGAGAGATAGAGAGAGAGAGAGACTCTGATGGAGGGACGTGCATGCAGCTAGACATGCAGCATGGGTTGGACGAGATGAACTAGTGTCTAGTCGCCCCGCACACAAAAAGGGCGTGTGTGTTAGTGTATGTCTGATGTGGGGGGGAGATGGGGTGGACGGAGGTGGTCGAGGTTAGCATGATAACTGATTAGAGTAGTACCACACGCAATCCACAATGACAATCACACAAAGAAGGGGGCGAGATCCGAGAAAACTTCAAGAGAGACGTGTATATACAGGTCATGCAAAACGGGCCCTGAGGGGCCTGAGTGTGCGACCCCGCGAAACGCGTACACCGGCACATTGTCGGCCGATGCGCGGCTCGCCGCCCACCCCACGCGGTCCCTAGGTGTTATATAGCATAAAGACCGTCCGTGCAGGGCTCCTAGGCCATCACTGGGTCCACAGTGGACGGACACACAGCCTCAGCCGGCCCGGCGGGCTCCCGACCAGAGCCGCAGAGCCCGTCCGGGGAGGCCACAAACGGACACTCTACCGACCTTTACACCCCTAGACAACCCACCCTGACTAGCACACGGTGTCGGCCCGACCGCCCTGCGGCCCCAGCTACCAGCTGGCGCCGCTCGGCCCGGCTGGAGGCGACTGGGGCGCCCAAAATCGCGGAACCGGCGACGTCCTCCGGCCAGCAGCCGGATCGGGCGTCCGACCCGCCCACTCGGCGACCCGAGATGGTCTCCCCGACCCCCGAGGCTTGGCACACCGCGCGAGGGGGGCAGCCCAGCCACCCTGCACCGCCCAGGCCGCCCTCTGCGAGCCCAGGCGCGCCGTAGAGAGTGCCGACGCGATGTCGACGATTTTGGCCTGCGAGACGGGGGCGAGGAGCGGTGTGAGGGCGCCATGTGCCCGGGCGACGGGCTGAGGGGCCGCTACACGGGCCGCAGAGCTCACCAGCGCCGGCACGGTGGCGCTGGTAGCGATGGTGCTGCTTGTGGCCGCCTTTGGCAGTACCTGACCGAGGGCTGACTCGCGACGGCAACGGGGCGGCGAGCCGGGTGGCGGGGTGCGGGGAGGAAGGAGGGGACGCGCCGCGAGAGGGGGGGAGGGGCGCTCTCACGTCTGGCTGGCCCGCCCCGACCCCCACGGGGTCGGGATGGTCGATGATGCTGCTCTAGGCGGTCGTCCCGGGTCGCCAGACCGGTCCTGCGGCGGAGTCGGAGGGTGAGGGGCAGGGGCACGGCCGTGCGGCGGAGGGGACGCGCATCGCGGAGCTCGCAGCAGCCCGAGAGGGCCCGAGCCCGGCCAGAGAGTTGCCCACCGCTCGGGCCAAAGAGACAGCGTCGCTGGAGCTGCGCCCCGCGGCCATTTTGTACAGGTCCTGGCTTTGGTTTCACAACACGTTTGGTCCTCGCTATGGTACGGCTCACCAGATGCGACAGGAGGGCTAAAATCCGGAATATAGACTGCCAAGAGGGTGCTCTAGGCCGCGAAGACACCACACACGGTCTCCCTACTCATGCGCGGCTAGCAGGAGGGTGCCAAAAATGAGGTGGCGTCGCCCTGAATAGACGCTGCTCTGGGACGCCGGGACGGCGATGCCACCTGACGCCGACGGCGGATCCACGATCGCTCGTGGCGCGCGGCGCGGCGTGGCGAGCCCCGCCCCTGGGGTTGAGCAGCGTGTGGGTGGGTCGTCACCACACTGCTCCGAGTAGTCAGAGCGGCGTCGCGTTTAGTGATACGCCGCTCACGCCATTTAGAGCGGTGTCAGCTTAAAGCAATCGCTGCTCTTACTAGCTAGAGCAGTGTTCACTTAGCAAAGTCCCGCTCTGAAGAGGAGGAGCGAAGGAGAGCGCGGCTGAGGGAGGCGAAAGCAGCCTCTCCGCGGAAATTGACCGCTCCCGCTATGTTGAGCGGTGTTGCACTGACTTGACTCCGCTCGAACGTGTTCGGTCGGTGTTTTTCTGAGCAAGAGTCCGCTCTGAAGGTTGCAGAGCGGAGTCTTGTTAGGCAAACGCTGCTCTGTGTTGTGTAGAGTGGGATTTAAGCTTGAAGACGCTGCTCTAGCAGTACTAGCACCATCGAGCGGGGTTGCTGAGATAGAACACGGCTCTGAGATGCGAGAGTGGCGTTGCGCGTTTTGCTTTTGGCCCTCAGCCGGGAGGGGGAGGGGTGGTCAGAGAGACGCGGCGGGCCGGGGAGAGAGGGGACGCGCGCGCCTTCGAATACTCACTCGTGGCGCCGGCCGGCTCGCAGGGGCCGCCAGCGCCGCTACGGAGGCGCTGCCCGCCGGGAAGGTGCTCGGGAGGGGCGCTGGTCACTCCCCGCGGCGGCGCCTGCGGCTGGAGGGACGTGGGCTTGGGCCGTGTGAGCAGCGCGGGCGAGAGAGGGACGGCGCGCGGCTCCCAAACGAGCCGCACGGGCTTCGTCTGGGCCGCCGAGGCCACCTCCTTGGTCGCGGCGGCGGGCGTGATGGCGAGGTGGGCCGAGGCAAGCGTTGAACGTGCCGCCATGCGCCCCTGAGGAGGGACGAGTGCGTGGGGTGCCACGGGGCGGGGGGAGCGGTGAGAGGAGAGCGGTGGGCACCCCCACGAGGGCTGCGCGGACGCCGCCTGACCCCCCCGAGCCCGCCGCTGGCGGTGTGGGGGCGGCACGGTCGAGCGCGCTGGTCGGGCGGGCCGTCCGAGTCGCCTGAGCGGTGCTCTGCCGGCCGGCGGACGCGCGCGAGGGTGGCCCGACAGGGCTCAAATTACGGAGCCGCTCCCCGGCCGTCCCGGGCGCCTGTCACGCAGGCCGATGGCCCAGCCGTCCTGTGAGTGGCTGGAGCGAAGGGGGGAGAGCTCAGGAGGGCGACGGGTCAGGGAAGGGGGCGGTGATGCGGTGCGGCGGGGTCTACTCGGCGGCGTGTAGAGAGGAGGTGCTAAAAGGCGACTATAAAGAGGCGTCTACGGGTGATATGGTGCGCCACGACGGCGGGAGAGCTCTCTCCCGCCGCCCCCGCGGGCCGCCCCGAGGGGCCGTGCAGCCCATGCCCTCAGGCGCCGCTGTCGCGGGCAGAAGCGCAGCCGGGAAGGTGTCTCGGGCGCCATCTAGAAGGAGCCGACCCGGTCGCGTATGGGAGGCAAGCGCGAGCGGGTGGAGGGCAGCCTCGACCCACCTACGGCGTTGTCGTGTTGGAGGGTGTGTGGGCGACCTTCCTTTGAATCAGGAGCGTCGCCGCGCGCCGCCATCGCCCGCCGTGTGCTTCTTTGCCGGTGAGCGCGCGACGCAGGCACCTATCGTCAGAGGGGGGGAGGGTGAAGCGCGAGCGTTTCGTCGACCTAGGAGCCGCGGCAAGCGGCATGTAGCCCACTGATAGCCCCGACCCAGGCCCCGTAGCTTCAGATCCCGAGCGCCGGGTCGAGATAGCCGTCGCGAGACCAGGATTCAGGGTCGCGGGCGGTCAGCAGTCCAAGAGTCCAGTCGAGCGCCTAAAACAAACCATGCTGAAGGGTCGCAAAAGCGCGGCCCAGCCACCTCTCGGCGGTGGTCGACGGCTGTCGCGGAGCCCGACAGCCGCGACAGCGGCGGCCGAGCCAAGGCGGCGGCCGAGCGGATGCTGCTCGTCGAGCCAGCGGCTGCCGCTGGCGACGAGGGGGGTCCGGGACCGCGTGTTTGGGGGCGGGTGGTGCACCGGCTCGACGCCGGGCGAGCGCAGCGCCCTCCAGTCGGAGCGGCTCGGGCGAGCGAGGCGGTGGCTCTATGGGCGTTTAGAGGGGCGCCCATCGCTTCTCGCAGCTCTGCAACGCTGACTTTGGGGTTTCGACGATACGCCCGCAATATTTCTCAGATTTATTTTGCATGACCTGTAGGTTATTAGGCCCGCATGGCGCATGGCCCATGGCGCATGGGGGGCTGGCCCGGCTGGCGGGGGCGAGAGCGCTGTGGTCGGCCGCGCCGCGCCCCCGCGCCACGACTTCACCGGTCGGTCGCATCGGTCGATCCGGCCGAGTAGGCTCCAGCGCTGGAGGCGTAGCCAGAGAAGGTGACCGTGGAGCGCCGGATCTCGTGGGCGAGCAGCTCGTAGTCGTACCTGCTCACACCCGAGGCGGTGTCAAGAGGCGCTCTGCGCGGCCGGGCGAGTGCTCAGGCAGTGTCGCACTGGGCGCGCTGCTTCTCGCGCTCGAGCCGCTCTATGACGACGTCCGCACGCCGCCGCTCGACGTGGCGCGCGAAGAAGGCGCGGCGCAGGATGACCTCTGCGCAGTGGCCGATGGCCGCCCCCACGACGTTTGCAACCACCACGTACAGCGTGTCGAAGGGCTGGCCGAGCTGCGTCCAGCCGCGTGAGTCGCCTCCCCAGCCGGAGGTGGCGAGGGAGAGGGTGACGCAGGCGTGCAGCACGAGGCGGTACGCGAGGCCGACGTGCGACAGGTGCAGCATGATGAAGAGCAGCGCGAACTCGCCCGACCTGGCCAGTGCGGTGTCCTTTGCGACCTGCGGGTGCAGGCCCGGCACGGCGAGGGCGAGCCGCTGCAGCGAGGTGCCAACCACGATGAGCAGCGTCAGGATGCGCGATCCGAGCCATGCGCGCGCGCCTGGTCGGCGAGGTGGACGTGGATGGTGTGGCGGCTCAGGAGCTGAAAGACGCACAGCGGCGCCCAGATCAGCGAGATGGGCGTCAGCGACGAGTCGTGTGCGACCGCCGCTATGTGGTGTGCGCCCATCAGCACAATGGCAAGTTGGTGAAGCAGGTAGGCGTCGCTCCAGCTGCGCCGCCGGAGCTCGGTCTCCAACGACTTGTCGCGGAAGCTCATTGAGAGCCAGTGAATCGTGCCGTCTGGTGTGCCGTCGTCAAGAACGGACGAACAATTTTCGTCAGGCTCGTTGTTGCCGGCACCCTCGGCGGCGGCGGCGGCGGTGCTGGTTGAAGCGTTGCTGAGCTCTTTCTTCACCTTACGATCACACCCACCGACGGTGTCGCCACTGAAGCGCACGCGCCGTGACATGGCCGCCAGGGGTGGCGAGGGAGCGGGCAAGCGGGCCGGAGTGGGAGGTGGTCCGGCAGGGGTGTTGGTCCGGGTCACGTCGTTTTCTTTTATGTGAGAGCCGAAGAATGAAATTGAAAGTAAAACACCAAGAAGCCAAAACGCGGGCGTCGTCAGTCGAAGTCGCGCTCGGCATGGCCGGTGGCCTCGTCGAGAGCGATCATGTGCGCCATGACGCGCTCCCGCTGCGCGTGCGCCGCCCGCGTCCTCTCCCCGGCGGCGACGGCGGCGCGCGCCGCCAGCTCCTCCTCCGACGGGCCGAGCGGGCGTCCGCCTACAGAAGAGGGAGCGAGAGCGTTCCGGGCTCTGCCTCCCCCACGCCTCTCGACTGCCGCCGCCGCTCTGCGCGCGCGGGGCGGGCGGGCGCGCCGTGAGAGAGCGGCGCGATCGACACCTGCGCGGCGCGGAGGGCAGTGGGGCGGCGTGGCGAGTGGGGCCGGTGGCGGCGGCGGCGAGGCAGGGCGCGGGCAGCAAGGAGGTGGAGGGTGGCAGGGGATGGGGGGGTGGCGGGGTGGAACGGCTCTCGCGTCGCGTCGGAGGAGGGAAGAGCAAGAGGGTGGTGAGATGTCAAATCTCGGCTAGATGTCGGCGCTCTCTCGCCTCTGTCGCGAGGTCGGAGAGGAGCGTGCCGTCGGTGTAGGACCCGTGCATGGACCCGTGCTGAGAACCGACCTGCGACCTTGTGGTAGATCCGCTGCACCTGGGCGGCGGGAGTCAGAGGGGCTCGGGGGGTCGGCTTCTGCAGCGGGGCCCTCTAGGCGCCCGTGCCAGACACACCGCTGCTCGGCGCGGCGACGGCCTCCCCCCTCGCCGCCGTCCGCAGCGCCATCGCCCGCGTGGCTTCCTCCGCCGTCGGCGTCGTCGCCGCCGCCCCGGCTCCGCCTCCGCTGGCTCTGCCTCTGGTGCCTCTGGCGCGCCTGCGGGGGAGCCACGCGAGAAGAGCGGTGTGGCAGCCTTGCCTGTGGTGAAGCCCCACGTCGCGGCCTAACTCGGCGGGAGCTGGCGGGCGGTGACCTGCTTTTTGCGAGTCGCGAGGGCCGCCGCCGCATCTCCCGGCTCTGCCACGAGGGGGGGGCAAGGGGCGGGGGAGGTGAGGAGGCTCGGGCCCTGGCAGTCGCCCGCGGTGTGGCGACAGGGTCGGGGCACAGCGGGCTCCAGCGGCGGGGGGGGTCGGCCGGGCGCGAACCTTCCGACCCGTCGACTGAGCTGGCCGCCTCTGCCGCGCCGGGCGTGTTGCCGACTCCCCACAGCTTGGACGAGCAGCGGGGGCGGGCAATGTCGCTGGCGATCTCGCTGCCCCGCTCCTCCTCATCTGGCCCTGCGGGGCGGGAGGCGGCGGGAGCGGAGGGGTGGGATCACGGGGCGGGACTAGGCTCTAGGGGCGGGAGGTCTCGGGGTCGGATCCGTAATGGGGAGGGTGGCGGGGGGCGCTCGTGGGGGCGGCGGCGGGCGCAGCTCGCCGTGCGGGTCGGAAAAGACAGCCGCCGTCGCAGCGGCCGCGAGCGCGCGGTGCCCACCGTCCCCGCCGTCCTGCCGTGAACGCTGTGGACCCGCCGCGGACGGCCGATCGTCGTGCAGACTCCCTCCGCACACCGGGTTCTCCTCGTCCTCGTCCTCCAGCCGGACCGGTACCATGTGGCGAGGCAGCTGGACCGGTGACTTGCGAGCCGAGGCCCTGGCCCCGCCTGCTGCGAGGCCTGCGCCCCGGAGCAGGCTGACCGCGCCTCGAAGCCGCTCGGCAATCACGAAGCAAGCCGTGACCGGGCTGGCCACATCGGGCGGGACGACGGCCCGGAACAGTAAGAGATTGAGCGTCAGCGAGGAGACAAGCAGGACGGGTAGCAGGAGATCCCACATACACCTGTCTGTGTGTATGTATATGTTTGACCGCGCTTAGCTAGTCGCCGTTCACATAAACGCACAACTCCGTCGCCGTTCACACAAAAATACAACCACGGACCCAAGACGCACAGCTCAGACAGTCGAGAAAGGGATAGACCGCAACGACAGTCAGAAGTCAGCGCTGGGTCCCAGGGCGAATGCGATGACGGCCTCTAGTGTGAGCTCTAGCTAGTGAGCTCATCGCTACTAACTATATGCAGCGAGTTAGTTAGGAGCCGACCGACCGACCCAGCGACCCTCGCGTGCGTCCGGTGCTCACCGACGGCCGGGCGGGCCACCCGCCCACGCGCCGCCTACGCGCAGCGCGTGCGCCGCAAACTCGCCCGCCGACAGCGCCGGCCAGTCGCCATCGGCCGTCGCGAGAGGCCTGCCCGGCTGTCGCCGCGGGGCCCCCACGAACAGTTCAGTCGCCGTTCACATAAAGGCGCCGCCAACGCAAATGGCAATGTTTTTCCGCTACCAGCACGCACCGTGACAGAATTGTGCACGCTTGGAAAACGCTGTGCTGCGAAGAGCCAGCGGCCCCTTGGCCATGCTCGTCGCTTCCGTGACTGGAGCCACTATCGCGGCCGGCGCGCTGTACCTGTACACGACGAGAGAGAGCTCTCCCGCGAAACTCATCGCGGAGAGCAAGCGGCTCTTCCGCAAAAAGGCATACGAGGCCAGCCTCGCTGCGGCGACCGAGGCGTGCCAGCTGGCGGCCGACGGCTCGCAGCATCGGACCGCGCTGCTGCACCTCGCCGCGCTTCACCACGCGATGAACAGATTCGACGACTCTCTCGCCACGCTTGACAAAGTCGAGGCTGTCGTGACGGACGACCTCGACCTGGTGCCGCTGCTCCACGCGAGGGCTGAGGTGCTCGAGGCGGCAGACAGGCCTCTCGAACTCGCGGCGGAGCAGCTCGCCCGTGCGCGCGACGTCCGACGGCGGGCTGCCGGACCCGAGTCGATGGAAGCGGCGTACGCTGCGTTCAATCTCGCCCGAGTGCTCACGCTGCAGTCGCAAAAGGCAGAGGACGCCGCGGCGCTGCTCCAGCAGGCAGAGTCGCTCGTGCTTGAGGCTCACGGCATCGCGCTCGCTGCCGGCGACGCGACTCAAGCTGCCACGTTCGTGGATGAGATCCTCGAGCTCCTCACCGCCGACTCCGCCGCATGCGCCACGGCCTCCCAGCTCCGCGCAGCCTACCTCGAGGCGAGCGGCGAGGAGTGGTCGCCCAAGCCACTGGACGTCCTCATCGTCGGCGCCGGCGCCTCGGGCGTCGGGATGGGGATCCTGCTGACCAAGGTCTTCCGGCTCCGGCCGCAGCGCGTGCTGCTCGTCGAGCGCGGGGGCGGGGTGGGCGAGTCCTTCCTCCGCTGGCCAAGAGAAATGCGCTTCATCTCGCCCTCCTTCAACCAGCAGGGCTGGACAAAGTCCTTCGACCTCAACAGCGTTGTGTACGGCACGTCGCCCGCATTCACGCTGCACGCCGAGCACCCCACCGGCGAGCAGTACGCCCGGTACCTCCGCGCACTCGCCGAGCGGGCGAAGCTCGCCGTCCGGACCGGCACCGAGGTGGAGGCGGTGAGGCGGCGGCCAGACGGCAGCTTCGAGGCCGCCTCGCCCCTCCGATCCGCCCGCCACCCGCTCCGCCCGCTCCGCCCGCTCCGCCCGCCCTGCGCCCCCCGGCTGACAGTCTGCCGCCGCGCGCTGGCGGCAGGTGGAGGTCGGCCCAAGTAATTAAGAGTTGACCCTGCTTTGCGCTGGCGCCAGGTGGAGGTCGGCCCGGCCGGAGACGACGGTGGCGGGGAGCGCACGGTCCTGCGGAGCCGGTACGTGGTCTGGGCGGCGGGCGAGCTCCAATCCCCGCGCGAGAGGCGGACACATGTCCAGGACAAGTGACGACATGCCCGCGACACCCGTGCGTGCATAGGCGAGTTCCAGTACCCGCGCGCGAGCGGCCCTCTCTTCCCAGGCTGCGAGCTCTGCCTGCACAACTCCGAGGTCCGCAGCTGGAAGGAGCTGCCCGGCGACGACTTTGTCGTCATCGGCGGCTACGAGAGCGGGATGGACGCCGCGTCCAACCTCGCGGCGAGCGGGAGGCGCTTTCGCCGACTGAGCAGGGGCGTGCACGTTGATCAGGAAGAGAGGACGGCCGCCGCGAGGTAGGCGGTGCTCCGTCGTCTCCTCGACGGCCTACTGGCGCGTGGCCACCGAGGACCCCTCGACCGAGCTCGCTCCCTACACGGCGGAGCGGGTCCGCGCGGCGTGCGCCTCGCCCACCCCGCCGCGCCTGCTCGCGCCGCTGCGGGTCTTTGCGGTCGAGCGGGCCGGGCGAGGCGACGCGGGCGGATACGTCGTGCGGGCGCGGTGGGGTCCGCCGGCAGAGCACGCTGGCGGCGAATACCGGGCGCCGCTGCAGCCCGCCTCCGCTGCCGAGGAGGCGCCCGCCGAGGGGAGCGAGGTGTCGCTGTGCACGCCGCAGCCGCCGGTGCTATGCGCTGGCTTCGAGGGGAGTGTTCTCTCGGGGGTGGCGAAGGGCTTGTTCGAGTGGGGCGCGAAGAAGGAGAAGGGCAACCAAGACGAGGGCCCCGGCGAGGGCGGTGAGGGCGGCGAGGGCAAGGAGACGGGGGGCGAGGAGAAGGATGGCGCAGCTGCAGGGTGCGCCGAGGGCGCCCCGCTTCTCACAGAGCAGGACGAGAGCACAAAGACGCCGGGCCTCTTCCTCGTCGGGCCGGCCGTGAGGCACGGCGAGCTCTCCTTCTGCTTCGTGTACAAGTTCCGGCAGCGCTTCGGGATCGTGGCCGACGCCATCGCGCGGGGGCTTGGGCGCGACACGAAGGAAGCCGTCGAAGAGTGCCGAGAGGTGCGAAACGCCGCCGCCCTCCACCTCGCCCGCCTTGCGCCTACACTCGCCGTCGCCCCGCGCAGATGAATATGTTCCTCGACGACTTCGAGTGCTGCAAGGCGGCGTGCGGGGAGTCGTGCTAGACAGAGCGCCGTGTGGGGAGATATGAACGCTGGTTTGGATTTTATCGAGCGTCCTCAAACGAATCCGTTTTTCTCCTGAGCCTTAGGGAGATTTGCAATCATAGAGCAAACAGCAAAGAGCAAGCCCCGCCCCTCGTACGTCCCTCGCACAGACATCTGAAAGGTGAAGGACCAGAGCTTCGAGCTCAACCTTCAAGCTTCATCGCCAATTTGCGCGCCACCTAGCAACATGTCCATGTTCAGCAACAACAGCCCCAACTCGCCGCTCTGCCCACCGCCTTCAAGGGACTACATCGCAAAGGCGCGCGCGTCGCCCAAGAAGCTCGCTCCACTCGTTCTGCCGTCCGCCGACCGCGACACCGGCGACGACGCGACCAATGTGCCTCGCGGCAAGATCGAGATGCAGCCTGCACTGCTCGCGGAGTTTGCCGGTCTGATCGATGCTATCGGTCCCGCCATCTGCCAGCTCCTGCCGGGCGAGGCCGGCCTCGCCAAGGGTCTCCAGCACATCTTCAAGGCCGTTGTGGACGCCGCGGGTGGCTCGCTGGAGGCCGTCACCTGCCTGCTCAAGGAGCTGTCCACGGGGCACCTCTTTGACGGCATCAAGCATTTCCTGAGCAACATCGCGACGACGGTTGGCTGCACGCTCGATCAAGTCTACCAGGCCGTGCAGGCGCTGCTCGGCGGTGTGGAGGACCTGACCGGCTCGATCGGCGAGATTGTTGAGTGCATCCTCAAGAATGTCGGCGAGCTGCTCTCCGAGATCAAGAATGGAGTTGTCGCGCTCCTCAAGTCCATCCTTCCGACCAAGCTCTTCGCCAGCATCGAGGCGCTCGTGGGCGGCATTCTCCGCGAGGTGTCCAACCTCGTCGACCTGCGCTGCCTCTTTGAGAACATCGAGCACCTCCTGTGCACGGTCTTCTCGGCGGTGCGCTTTCTGCTTCACAACGTCGCGTCGATCGTCTTCACCATCCTCTGCGACACAAAGAAGGTCGTGGATGGCGTCCTCGTTGCGACGGGCAAGGTTGTCAGCGACGCCATGGGCCTCGTCAAGGAGATCCTGGGCGACGTCTTCCGCCTGGTCAGGCACGCCCTGTGCGAGGTCGCCGTCTTCCTGCGGGGCCTCTTTGGCGGCGTCTCGGGCTTCCTCTGCCACCTTCTGCTCGACATCGAGCAGCTGCTCTGCTCGATCCTCGGCGGCCCGCACCACTGCCTCGGCGCCGTCGACAAGATTGGCTGCGCCATCGGCAAGGTGTTTCCGGCCATCGAGCAGAGCGCGTTGTGCCTCTTCGGCCACATCCAGCGCAAGGGCGTGGACAGCAAGGGCGCGCTCAAGCTTTGCCTGCACGAGGTCTCTGGCAACTTCCTCTGCAATCTCTTCACCGAGCTCAAGGGCTTCCTTGAGATGGTTGCCAAGGCCGTCGGCTGCACACTGTCCGACGTCTTCGCGGCGGTCCGGATGATCCTGAATGGCGTCGCGTGCGAGACAAGCAAGATTGTGAGCTACATCCTCGCCAACGTGGGCTGCCTGTTGGATGGGATCAAGAAAGCCATCGGCTGCCTCCTCAAGAAGGTGCTGCCGGCGGGGCTCTTCTGCGGCATCGAGAAGCTCCTCTCCACCATCCTTTGCAGCGTCGCCAACCTGGTCGACCTGCGCAAGCTCTTCCGCGGGATCTGGGGCCTCGTCAGCGAGGTGCTCTGCTTCACCAAGTTCCTGCTCGCGGGCGTCGGCTGCCTCGTCCGGGAGATTCTCACCGAGAGCGGCGAGCTCGTCAACGGCGTCCTCTGCAAGACGGGCAAGGTTGTGCACAACACGCTCGAGCTCGTCAAGGAGGTGGTGGGCGACGCGCTGTGCTACGTGCACGGCCTGCTGCAAAAGGTCGGCTGTTTCGTGGAGGAGCTGCTGGGCAGCATCGACACCTTCCTCTGCTGGCTCTTCACCGAGGTGTCCAAGCTGGTGGGCGCCATCCTGCACGGCGTTTCGTGGATCCTCGGGCAGGTCAACAAGATCTTCCCTGCGATCTGTGCGCTGCTGCCGGGCATCGACTGCATCGTCAGCGACATCCTCTCGGGCGTCGCCTGCGTCGTCCAGGACGAGCTCGATCAGGTCAAGCTGCTTCTGGAGTCGATCGGCTGCGCCGTGGCGAAGATTCTGAAGCCGATCCGGTGCTTCCTCGAGATGATCGCCAAGGAGGTGGGCTGCACGGTGAAGGAGGTCTTCTGCGCCGTCAAGGCGCTGCTGTGCGGCGTCGGCGGTCTGGTCGGCAAGACGCTCAGGATTGTGCAGTGCATCCTCGCCAACGTCGGCCGGCTCGTTCAGGACGTGCTCGCGGGCGTCGTCTGCTTCCTGCAGAAACTCAACCTGCCGTCGATCGGCGAGAAGATCGCGGCGCTCGTCGGCACCATCGTCTGCGAGGTGAGGGACCTGGTGGACCTGCGCGGACTCTTCTGCAAGATCGCGGCGCTGCTGCACGGCATCTTCGACTTCACCTGCTGCCTGCTCAAGAATGTCGAGTGGCTAGTCTGCACCATCCTCGGCGACGTCACGGCTCTCGTCCGCGACGTGCTCGGATCGGTGCTGCACGAGCTGTGCGTGATCCTGGAGGACGTGGCCGTGTTTGTGTACTGCACGCTCGGCGGCGTCAACTGCCTCGTGTCGGCCATCTTCCACGACGTCATCTGCCTGCTCAAGGGGATCCTTTGCCCGAAGCACGACTGCTGCCCCGGGACGGCCAAGAGAATGGGCTTCTGCTTCGTGTTGACCTGCTCAACGGGCTCAACATGGCCTTCGAGCCCTGGCTGGGATACATCAAGTGCGGTCCGGGCTACGGCCTGCTCGCGGTCCAGGTCAAGCCCTTTGGCGTGCCGCTGATCTACGGCAACGTCTGCGGCCCGGTGCCCTCCTGCCCGGCGCCGCCGCAGCCGCCGGCGTGCAAGTAAAAAAAAAGGGCCACGGCCCGCTCACTGGGATCTCGACTAGCCCCCATGCATAGCCATAGCAGCATGTGCGGCGGAGACAGAGCACAGTTAGTCATGTGTGGCACATTGAGAGGTCGTGTGTGTCGTGCATGTGTGTGTCTGTCCTCATTGAGAGGTTTGTGTTGTCGCTGCATTGTTCATTCTAGACCCCATTAGCACTCGACCTGGCAGCACCCGGAGATTGCGGTCTTACCAGGGTGCTACGTAGGGATGTTGGGGGGGGGGGGTGAAACTCGGTCGTCCCGCGCCTCCCATTGGCCAGCCGAAGCACAAGCGCGAGCTCCAGGCTCCACAAACGAATGCCGCTCACGGCGCTGCTCATCTTACTGACAGTGCTCGAGCAGCCTGCTGATCGCACCGATCTCGAGTTCCGCCTCAGCCGTCTTGAGCAGCAAATGGCCGGGCTCCGGTCGCAGCTTCACAGTGAGAGAGAAGCCGCACAAAGGCAGCGCCGCCTATCAGAGGCATTCCCACAGACGGACGAGGAAGTGGCCACCTTCGAGATGATGGGCGAGCGCTCGCGGATGTCCTTTGGCGCGCTGGGGCACGCGTCCTCGGTGCTGTTAGAGCACGTGGCTCCACGCCTCCTCGCAGTTAACGGCACAATCGACCTTGCAGACGATGTCCTCCTGGGCGGTGTCTCGTTGATCCAGCTGCTTGCCGGCTGTCAGTGTGTGCCGTGACATACCTGCCACTGTCGGCATGAAAGAAACATGTCGAAAACAAGCATTGAACCGCTTAGACCCTACCCAAGCGTCTGAGAGAGTTCCGTCGCTCGTCCTCTCTCGCAGAGAGGACTCAGTTTGCACGCAACATGGCCAAGCGAACACACACACCACGCGCCGCGCTGTACCGTCCTCCATGCCGATCATCAGAACTCTCGCCCTGCTGCTCCCATTGCCTGTGCTCACGATGACGGCAGAGCGCTCGTGAGGCAAAGGATCTGCTCGGCAGTCATGTCTGGCGGCCAGCCGGGGGGCACGGATCTCGTCTCGGTCGGCTTGGCCACCCGCACCTGAGAGGGCCACGCCACGGTTAGAGTAGTGCGGTATCTAGAGCAGAGCTATCACCTCTACGGCACGCACCATCGGCGGCGCGTCGTAGCGAAAGAACGTCTTCGCCAGCTGCGAGTGCGCCAAAGGCGGCGGCAATCCCTTGGGCAGCGGGTGCGTCTGCGCCATCGCTGACTTTGGCTCGCTCTGCGGCGAGCCATTCGTCATGGAGCACCGCTGACTACTCTCTTTGTCCACCGAGCCCAACGCTCCGGTGCGCGTGGGCCGCAAGTTGTGCGCCTGCGCCTTCTCCGCCTCCTTGCGCGCCAGCTGCAGTGCGCGCTTTGCAGAAGCCTGCGCCGCTGCCACACGTCTCTTCTCCGACGCTTCCCTCGCCAGCCACTCCTCCGCCAGTCGGCGAGCGCTCGCAATGAAGCGCTTGCGCGCCAGCACACGCCGCATGCTGCGCTGGATCTCAACCGTTGCGCGCTTGACGCGGACAAACTGCCGCCGCGCTACGTGCGAGCGCCAGCGAGCGGAGAGAGTGCTGCCAGCGCGCCAGCGGCGCGCGGCTTCCGTCGCAACAACGAGGCACGGTGCCGCAACTGCGCCGCGCGCCCCGCCAGCGACAGCGCGAGAAATGGACTCCTCGAGTTCCCGGGCACCCTCCGGCTTGAGGAAGACACGCGTGCGGCCGAGCGCGATTGCGCCGCGTGGAATTCCGAGGAGCGGTATCATGTTGCGGCCAAAGTAGGCACGGTCGATGGTGCGTTGGTCAAAACCCGCAGGCAGAACCGCGCTGATCATGCCGAAGAGGCTCTCGTACCGGACGCGCGACGTGTAGGCAAGCTTCATCACTTGCACAGCCTCGTGAGTCCCTGCACAGCGCAACTGGCGCAGCACGGTCGAGGGTGAGAATGCGTCCGGCTGGAGCTGGCAGTTCGGCTTGACGCAGCGGACAAAGTGCAGGCGCGAGGCACGCAGCACCCCCATCAGCTCGTCTAAGTTACAGACAAAGTCCCGGGCGACGGATCGCACCTCGAGACGGCGGGCGCCGGAGGACAGCGTCGCGTCCTTCACGCGTTGCGTCGCAGACGCCGGCGGGCGCTTCAGCGCTGGGGAGGGATCGCGCGACGAGTCGGGTGTGACGTGCGCCAATGAATCGCGGCGGCGGTCGGCAGCCTCGCCAAAAATGTCGACGACGAGCGGCGAGGTGGAGGTTAGCATGATTTGGTGCAGCTCCGACACGAGCGAGGAGTTGTTCTTGTCGAGCCACGTCGGCGAGGTGCTACCGACAGCACCCCCAGCCTTGTACGTGACGTCGCCCGCAAAGTGCCGGATGACGAAAGCCTCCTCCGCGCGCAGCCTTCGCGGGACGGGCAGAACGCGCGCCGACGCGGCACCTTTGGTGCGTGCCGCCTCCTTGTTGGCGCTGAGGAAGAAGGACTCCTCGCGAGCACCGAATAGGCGAGTCGACGAGTCGAGAAGCCACAGGATGCCGTTTGGCCGCTCAGCGATAGCGGCGATGCAGCTGCTCGCGTCGGGGAGATCCAGCCGCGGAAAGGGCACGCCCTCCGCGATGTGGATGGCTCGTTCGTCGGTGAAGACAGTGTGCACAAACAGCTGATGCAGCTGTTCGTTGGCGTAGTTGATGCAGAGCTGCTCAAAGGAGTTGGTGTCGAACGACTCAAACCCAAAGATGTCGAGGAGGCCGATGCAGTCCTCGTTCGCCCTGCGGCTGCTCGCCGGCGCAGACTCTTTGCAAGGAGCGGTCCACGCATCCTTCTTGCTGCCGAGGTGAGTTGGGCGGACGGCCGCGAGCGCACGGTTCATGCGGCGCACGAGCCAATGGAAGAGGTTGCCGTAGATGGCCTTTGCCAGCGAGTCGCGGCAGCGCGCTGCCTCGGTGGGCGAGAGGAGCTTGGCGAGCGGCGACTCAACGGTTTGGGTGGCGGCGGCGAGGGTGGCGTGGCCATTCACTGGTCGCGTGGTCAGGTAGCGCTTAAGCGGCGCGGCTGGCACGCCCAGCGCGGCTGCTGCCGCCTCGAGCATGGCTGAGTCCTTGATGCACGCACCTTCTCTCCCCGAGTCGTCCTCGACGAAGGAGACGTTCCCGAGGCAGAGCACGGCGCCAAGGAGCGTGAAGACGCCTCTCTGGGCATCACCCTTGACACCGATCGCGTCGAGCGAGGCGCGTAGGTCCGCGAGCCGCGACTCTGCCTCCAGACGGCTCGTACCGGTTGGCGGCGCGGAGCGGCGGCCACCAAGGTAGGCATACTCAGAGACCGTGGCATGCGGCAGAGCTGCCTCGCGCCTCTCCTGGTCGCTCATGCCGAGTAGCATAGACTCGAAGACGTGAAAGTTTCGCTCGACGGCCGGGTCGTGGTGCACGACGCGTGAGCGCTCGAGCAAGTACGTCGAGATAGAGACCGAATCGAAGCTTCCGCCGCACATCCCGATGGAGACAAACTTGCAGAACCGGGACGAGTTGCGGTTCCGCGCCGTGCGAGCGTTTCCGAGGGCCTCGAGTGCCGGTCGGCAGGCGAGAAGCACGCGCCCGATCTCCTCCACCCATTCAGAGGGCTTCTCGGCTGCGGGGTGGAGCGTGCAGGCGGCACGCCAGGCAAGGTACTCAGAGAGGAGCTTGACGGCCACCGACTTGCCCGCGCCCGACTCGCCCGACACGATGATGGCCTGCTGAGTGCGCGGGTAGAGAACTGAATCTGCCGTGGCACCGCGGTAGGCAGCCTCACCCACCGCGTAGAGGTGCGGCGGCGCCTTGCCAATCTCGCCCGTGGCAAACGGCTGCATGATCGACTGCCCGTAAAGGTCCTCCCTCGGGCGGCACGGGTTAGTGGAGATGAGCAGGTTGGCCACCCACGTATACACCTCCCCGCGGCGGTTCCGATGCTGCAACGCCGCAAGCACAGTCGCCTCATTGAGAGCCGGCAGCGAACAGAGATCGGGCGACTCCTCGGAGGGGGTCCAGTTGCCCGCTGGCATCACCTCCGCCACAGGTACCGACCGCTTCTCATTGTTCGCCATCTGCAGGGTCACTTGCAGAGGAGTCACCTTAACAACACGGCCGAGCACAAAGGCGTCATCAACCGACTCCGACGGAACGACCGCGACATACGCCTCATCGCCCGGCCGGAGAGACGCGACGCTCTGTTTGTGCGCTTCCTCCACCGTCAGTGCCTCTGTCGTGCTCTTCGAGGGGCCAAGATTGAGGTGTGAAGGCTGCAGTGGTGCAGACCCTGCCGGTGAGGTTCGAGCCGGCGGTGCTTTGCTGGCCGTGCCCCGACCGGGTGAGCTCATCGGCGACGGGTTGAGGCTCTCACTTGGGCTTGTGGTGGGCGACGTTGCCGCCGTACGTGTCTCTAGCTTGGCGGTGCCAGCCTTCTTTCGCCCGAAAAGCCCCATATGTTTTGGCCGATCTGCCCGCTGCAAGGGGTTCGCGGCCAGAAGTGAAACGTCCGGCTTGATTGAAATCACGTCGTTCATCTCACTCAACGTGATCTGTGATAAGGGGGCCGCCCACAGGCGCATTTTGTATACCGAGGCGGTGCCCGGTGCCGAACCTGTCGGACCTTAAGACAGCGTTGTAGATCCCTGGGCGAGGGTGGTGGAGGTCAACGTGCTCATCACTGGCTCATCACACCTCATCAGTGACATATCATATTCATATCACGCCAGCACCACGCCCGGGTGTGCGGTGAGCTTGCTGGCTTAACTCCAATAGTGCTCAAAGTGCCGTAAAAAGCAATGTGAAGTTTGAAACCTCCTCTTTCCAGTTTCGCCTGCCTGGAAGACGCTCCGGCGCCTAACTCTATTAGCAACTAGCCCAAAGCGCTGCGACTTGCAGAAGAGGGTGGGGGTGGGGAGCGGAGCCCCTTGACCCGGCGAGTCTACCGGAGCGTCGCGGCGAGGACGTCCGTCGCCTTGTGCACTATGTACACGCCGCGGCCCATCGTCGCGGCCACGAGCGTGTCATCGAGGGGCTCGTGCGACAGGCCTGCCACGAGCACCAGCGGCAGATCCGAGCAAGCGCCGAGGCGTTGCCACGAGGCCGCGGCCGAGCCCTTCTCCGCGGACGTCACGAAGACACCCGTTGCGGTGCCGACGAGCAGCGCCGTCTTGGTGCCCGCCTTGTCGAGGGGCAGCAGGAGCAGCGCCGACGGCCGGATGGCGCCCACCACTTTGGTGGCCTGCCGCAGGTTTGCGGTGACGTCGGTCCAGGTCGCGCCCGCGTCGTGGCTCAGCCAGACAGCCTCGGGACCCTCGTTGTTGATGACGGACGTCCAGCCGGTCACCGCCACGAGACTCGAGTCGGCCGGGGAGACGGCGAGCGAGACGGTGCGGTCGTGCGAGGTCGGGCCGAGCACGTAGTTGTAGTCTCCCTCGGCGTCCCGCCGGTACTCGAAGATGATTGGCGCGGCGAAGCGCGTCGGAAGCGGCCGCGCCACGAGGACGCCGTCGCTCGCGGCCGAGCGGTGCATCAGGCTGGTGTCGTTCATCGCGACCAGCACCGACTGGTCGGCCTTCCCTGCGGTCACGCCGCCAGCGACGAGGCAGTAGACGTGGTCCGTGGCAACCTCGAGCGTCGGCGGCTGCACATCGGCCGGCTTGGCGACCGAGTACGGGACGGCGAGCCGGTAGATGCCGCTCGTCTGGAGCTTCGCCTTCGAGCCGGCGCCGCTCGCCGCGTAGAGCAGGACGTCGGTCGGCCGGCCCTGCACGAGTGCAAACGGCTGCACGAAGAAGGGGAACTGCAGAGTCGAGAACCAGCTCAGGAGCGGGACGCCGACAAAGCCGACCGGGTCGGACCAGAAGCCGAACCCGTACGAGGGAGCGTCGTCGCGCCGTGGCGCGTCCACGTCGACGAAGTTGCCCAGGTTCTGCGTCGCGCCCCACAGGCGAGGCGCCGGCGCCGCGGCGTCGACGGCGGTGACCGTGCCGTCCCCATGGATGAACCCCGCGGCCATCGTCGACGCGTTTTGAAACTTGAGCGAGAGCTGGACGTCGTTGTCCTGCGCGCCGGCGACGAAGCGCTTGCCCACCGGGTCCCAGTGCGCGCTCACGTACTCCATCGCGCCGGTGTCGCCCGCGAGAGACACCCACTTCCCGCCCTTCTTCTCGGGCGAGGTGCGCAGGAAGGCGCCGCCGTCGTTGAGCAGCAGCAGCGACTCGGTCGTCGGCTCCCAGTAGTATTGCCTGCAGTCGGCGTGCGGCTCCGAGCCGTCGCTCGTGTCGTCGGCGCCGGAGGGCACCCACTTGCCCTCGGCCCACCTGACGCGCCACACCAGCGCGTCCGCGTTTCCCGCGACGAAGAGCAGCGAGTCGTCCGCAGGGTGGACGAGCAGCGCCATCCGGTCCTTGGGCATGCCGTCGCGGTCGAGGCGGGCGGGGCCGCCGGGGACGCGCGACCACGCGGCCGTGCGAGATCTAGCTAGAGACGTACCGCGAAGACGTTCGTGGGTGCGGCGCGGCGACGACACGTCGCTCAGCGGCCGGCTGTAGATGGCGCTGGCTGTGTCGGACAGCTTAGCGGGGTTGACCGTCAGCGCTCCGACAAACACCGTGTTCTTGCCGACGGCGAAGGTCGGGTAGAAGGGCGTGCGCGCGTCCCAAGTCAGCCCCTCCGCGAAGGGCTCCCAGCCCTCCGCGTCGCTCCCTCCGGAGCGCGAGAGGAGCACCGACGAGACAGCGCTCACCCACGGCAGCGCCGCGAGGACCAGCTTCTTGCCCGCGTCGAGGGCGACCAGGTCGTAGACGGGGCGGGTGAGCGACCGCGTCCAGCTTGCGCCGCCGTCGTGCGTCGCCCACACGCCTCCGTCGTCTCGCGAGTGGAAGTGGGCGCGCGCGCCGACGAGGAAACTGGTCGGGCTCTGGATGACGATGGCGGATATGTAGTAGTTGGCGGGGAAGGCACCGAGCATCGCCCACGTCTTGCCGGAGTCGCGCGACAACATCAGCCCGCCCCAGTCTCCGCTGTTGGCGGCCATCCAGTCCCAGCCCATCTCGCTCGACGTCGCGCCTCCGCAGCCGGCAACGACGGTGGCGCCGGCGGCCGCCATCGCAGAGATTGAGGTGCAGGCGACCGGCTGCCCGTCCAGCACCTGCTGCCAGTGCGGGCGCGGCGTCGCGAGGATGTCAGGCGAACGCCAGATGCCGCCGTTCGCGGTGGCGACGAGCCATGCGGTGCCGTTGAGGTGTGCCATCGCCTGAGCGGCGCCTGCAGAAGCAATGCCCGTGAAGGCGCCGGGCGTGGAGCCGGCGGTCGAGTACGAGCCAGGGCCAGCGTGGCCCCAGGGCGCGGGCGAAGAGGGCGTGTCGCACGGGAGGGCGGCGAACACGAAGGCGGGGAATGGCAACATACACACAGATATACCTGGGTAGCGGCGGCCCGGGAGTGCTTGTGTCTGTCGGTTGTCCTTGTGTTCACAGCGCCGATGTGAGCGTTGTCAGAGCGGTGTTTCGACACCGATATCGTTCAAGGAGAACGCTGATTCAAAATCCGCTGTTCACACTTCACAGGTAAGTGTAATCCTTGTTATTGAAGAAGAAAATACGTTCACACAAAAACACAACCACGGACCCAAGACGCACAAGCTCAGGCAGTCGAGAAAGGGATAGACCGCAACGACAGTCAGAAGTCAGCGCTGGGTCCCAGGGCGAATGCGATGACGGCCTCTAGTGTGAGCTCTAGCTAGTGAGCTCATCGCTACTATATGCATGCAGCGAGTTAGGAGCCGACCGACCGACCCTCGCGTCCGGTGCTCACCGACGGCCGGGCGGGCCACCCGCCCACGCGCCGCCTACGCGCAGCGCGTGCGCCGCAAACTCGCCCGCCGACAGCGCCGGCCAGTCGCCATCGGCCGTCGCGAGAGGCCTGCCCGGCTGTCGCCGCGGGGCCCCCACGAACACCACGCGTCGGATGCGGTGCCGCGCGAACTCGCGCGCAAAGTGCACGCCCCACGCCCGCCGCAGCGTCGTAGCGAAGTAGGACCGCGCCTCCTTCGCGCTACGCGCGCCGATCCGCCTCCAGTGCTGCTTGGATGCCGAATCCACCACACAGTCGAACAGCTGGTGCAGGTCGTCCGACGCCTCCGCGTAGGCCCCGACAACGAGGCTGCGCACGGTGCCAAACGAGCGCAGCACGGAGGAAACGGCGTCCCTCGAGCCGTTGTTCCATGCCTGCACGTGCGTGTTCACACAAAAACACAACCACGGACCACGCTCGCAAAAGAATTTCCCACCTTGTGCGTACTGGCACAACTAAAAAGAATGGAACCCACCAAAAGAAACATTGATTTGCCAACAACATACCTGTAAAAACCAAAAGAAACACTCGGGTTGCAAACGTGCCCGCTAGAGGCTGCCCCCCGAGGTATGTGTGTATGTCCAGCGTCGACTTCGTGTGCTCCGAAGAGCAGGCCGCGCTGGTGGAGCAGGTCCGCGAGCAGACAGGGAGTGCAGAGCCTCGACATGTGCTCATGCGCTTTCTCGTCGCCCGCGACTGGGACACCGGTGCGGCAGTAAAGCAGCTGGCGGCGACAATGCGTTGGCGTGAGGAGCACAAGGTGGACCAGCATCGCCGGCCCACGCAAGGGCTGTGCGGCAAAGACACCAGCGACTGGCTGTCCTCAAGGCCGGACGGCCATCTCGTCGTGGGCGGAGTCGAGCTCTGGCCGGCCTTGCGGCAAATGGTGCTCGGAAACCATGAGGGAGCGTGGATCTTTTTCGGCAGCCCTCCCCCATTCTTCGGCCAGCCGCATGTCACGCCCTTCTCCTACGGTTGATATGCTGCTTGTTAGGTGGGCCGTGCATGGCGCTCGGGCACGATAAGCAGGGCCGGCCCATACACTTGCAGCGAGCGGGAGTCGCCAGTGGCAAGCGAATGGCGGAGGCGTGCGCGTATTTCGGGCGTGAGTGGCAGCAAGCCTTCATGTCGCGCAACATCTTCTTCCAGGAGTTGCAGGCGGCCCGCATGGAGGATGCGACACAGCGCTTTGGCCACCTGGTGACACAGCAGGTTGTCATCATGGACATGGCAGGCATGAGCTTCCGACCGGACCAGCGCGCGCTCACCATTTTCCGTGATTTTGCGGGCATGATGTCGCGAAACTACCCCGAGACCCTCTACAAGCAATTCATCATTAACGCGCCAAGAGTGTTCAGCGCGATCTGGCGCATTGTGCGCGTTTGGCTGGACCCAAACACGCGAGAGAAGGTGCGCTACGTTCGGCCCAGGCACACAGTTCTCCGCCCACCCACCTGCTCCTCTCGCCCGGTGCAGGTGCACGTACTGGGCTCCACCTTTGCACCAACGCTGCTGCAGCACATTGACGCGCACCAGCTGCCTGTCGAGTACGGGGGCACCAGCCCGTACAAGTTCCCCGTGGTCAAAAGCATAGGGGAGGGCGAGGCTCTCTGGAAAGCTGTTGTCCAAGAGTTCAACGCGCCAGAGCTCTTGTCGGAGACGGGGTGGATGGCTGCGCCTACCCCTCTTGGTTAGACCGTTCACACCCACCGAGGTCATTAACGCTCTAATCAGTTAGTGCGCTTTCCGCCTGCTGCTTTCGAGTTTCGTCATTCGTGTCGTATCCGCCTGTTTTCGTATACGCTCGCCGATGGAGCAAGACATTCAAAACGGTTGATGAGTAACCTGTCGCATAGTTGACACTCTATACGATGTCTCAACTCTTTCCTGGTCCTAAACAGCCGCGTCCGTGCTGGCTCGCGCCGAAGAGCGCACACACGCCCTCTTCCTCGCCTCTCGCGCACACAAGACAACCAAACGCCCCTCCCTGATTGATAGATACGGCGGAGCAATGGCTCACGCGGCTGCTTGCACGAGGCCCTTCTCGATCAACGAGTCGACAGCGTCCTTCAGCGCAACCTTGTACCCCTTCAGCTCCCCCAGCTCGGCGAGCGTGCGCGCCGAGTCCACCTTTCGCGCGGCGCCCTTCACCCCGGACGCGATGTTCTGCCCTTTGAGCGCGGCCACCGGGTGGTCCGGGTACAGCTCGGAGAGCGTCGCGAACACATCCTCGATCGTCACCATATCGGTGGCGATCAAGTAGCGGCCGTGGGCTGAGTCGTCGAGCATGCACTTGGCGTGAGCGGCGGCGACGTCTCCAACGTGGACGATCGCCAGGTCGGCCGCGCCCTTGAGGGTGTTTGTGCCCGACACGATGTCCTTGAGGCGCGTCATCGTTCCTGCGGTTGCATTCGACCAAGAGGTGAGAAGTTGGCGTGTGTAGCGCCGCTGAGGCGGGCCTGCGCGCCGTTGATGTTGGCCGAGGCGATCGGGCCGATGCACAGGTTGCCCGGCACGACGACACGCAGGTCGAGGCCGTTCTGCTGGGCAAAGTCCACCGCGGCCTTCTCCTGCTCCACCTTGCTCTTGACGTATGTGTAGTGCGTCGCCCACTGCGTCTCGAGGTTCTCCTTTGAGTCGTACACCTCCGGCTTGGACCACATCGTCTCGGTGAGCGTGCCCGAGTCGTTGCCGCACTCGACGGCCGCGAGCGAAGAGGTGAGGACGACCCGGCGCACTCCCGCCGCCTTGGCCGCCTCGAGGACCGTGAGCGTTCCCGACACCGCCGTCTTGAGGATGGCCTCGCGGTTGCCTGCCTCGAAGCCGTACTTCGGATGGACCGCCGCCATGTGGAAGAGGCCGTCGACGCCAGCGAGGGCCTTGACGAGCGCCGCAGAGTCGTCGAGCGAGGAAACCTCGACCACCTTGGCGCCGAGCGCTCCCACCTGCTCGCTGTAGGCCTTGGCGTCGCGCACAATGCCGAGCACGGTGTGGCCCTGGGCACAGAGGTCCTGGATCACTGCGCGGCGAGAGGCGGGACGGGGTGAGCGTCAGGGCGGCTCGAGGGTGCGATGTGCAGGGCGCAGCGCACGGTGGGCGGCGATGAAGCCATTGGAGCCTGTGATCGCGTACGTAGAGGGCATGGTGAGGCTGTCGGAACGACTGGGACTTGCGCGCAATCTTGTCTCGCCTTCGCGGAGTTTTCCTCGCTTGGTCAGGAAGTTCATCAGAAGAAAAAAGAAAGAAACTACACGTGCACGCCCTCCGAGCGGGGCGGGGTCTGCCCGTCGGGTTGCTGCCCTAATCCCACCAGGGGTTGACTGCTCTATTTATTTATTACATGCCTTAGGAAAATAATTTCCGCGGGTTGCTGCCTGCTAGGATTCCTAAAGGTACGCTTGATGCGAGTAGGAGTATGGGAGTGCCTTTGCTCTTCACAGATGCATTTCACTGAACTTCAACCCTGCAAGTTCCTTCCCTTTCCTCGCCATTTCCAGCGTGACTTGGACATTTTGCCCATCTTCCCACTGCCACCTCTCGCCCCATCCGCAGCAGTAGACGAAGCACCTCGCCGCTGCCTCTCGCCATCATGCAGCTCTCGCCAATCGACAACGTCACGCTCGCGTTTGGCGCGATCCTCGGCCTCGCGGTCGCGCGCACGCTGCCGAGCTGCGTATCGTACTACGCCTGGTTCAAGTCGTCCGGCCTCGACCTGGCCAACTACCGCGGGTATGGTCACGGCGCCTGTCGGCTATTTGGCATCATCCCCGCCCCCTTCCTCTCCGTCCGAGCGATGGCCGTCTCCGGCGTCGCCTTCCTCGCCCTCATCGTCGCGCCTGCTGCGCCCGGGCTTCTCGCCGCTCCGTGGCGTGCTCCCGCATACCTCGCCGCGCTGGCATTTTACCACCTCTACTTTTCGCAGCTGTACTGCGAGGCCCACATCGGCGCGCACGTCACCGTCCTGATTCCTCCCGCCCTCATCCTCCTCGCGCTTAGTCCGGCCCTCGACGAGTCGCCCGGCGCGCCAGCAGAGGCGGCCGCCTTCACCTGCTGGCTGATGAAGATTATCCTCACCTCGGCGTACTGCGGTGCCGGTGTCTGCAAGATCACGCACTCGCTACGGTCGCTCGCGCGCGGCAGGAGTTCGTGGTGCACTGGCTCGACTCTCCAGGCGTTCATCTTTGAGGCCATGTTTCTCTCGACCCCGCGCACGCACAGCTCATTTGGCGTCCCCACCCCCTTCTCCTACACGCTCCAAAAGCTCCACCTGCTGTACCCGCGCACCCTCCTCATGCCCGCCTCTTTCGTCGCCGTCGCCTTTGAGACGTTCGCTCCGCTCATGCTCCTCGCGCCGGCGCACATCGCCTCGGTCCCCTTTGCACTCGTCGGCCTCAAGTTTCACTACGGCATCGCGCTCCTGCAGAACATTGACTTCGTCTCCTGGTGGGCGGCGGCGTACGCCTTTCTGCTCGCCGATCCCGCCGCGTGGAGCAGCGGCCTCCTCGTCTGCCCGGTCGACGGAGGCGCCGCGCTCGGCCTGGCCGCAACCGTGTCGGCGGCGCTCGAGACTGCGCCGCTCCGCGCATCGCTCGCGCTCGCCTACGTCTCGATCCATGTCGCCGCGACTGTGTTGCTCCGCTTCTTCCCGGACGTTGAAATCTTGCCCCTCTCGTCCTTCCCCATGTTTGGGACGCCGCAAAACGTGTTTGACCGGAGGCTTCGCAAGCATTTCTGGCTGACGCACAAGCCGCACGCGACGGGGACTCTGAAGAACTACGCATTCCCGTTCACGCGCCCACACACGGTATTGCCCGAGGAGATTGCAAAGCTGCCGTTCAACTACCTTCTCCTCAGCCACGGCGGCAGCGAGAAGCCAGAGCTTCACTCCAACGTCGAGGTGACACCCGAGCTGCAGGTTTGCGGCGCAACCCCGTGCGGTGATCCTCCTCCACCCCTCCCCCCCTTCTCACATGCCCCCGTCGCCGCTTTCACAGGCGGCGCTCGACAAGATCCAGAGCCTTGGCAACCAGGAGCCGGACACCTTCGCCACCGACTCGTCTGCCGCACCGGCGATTCTCCTCGCTCTCGAGCAAGCCAAGGCGGCCTTCGACGCCGCACCTCGCGTCGCGCCCGAAGCCCCGCTGGTCGCCGCCACCCCACTCACCGAGGCCGCACTCGCCAGCGATGACACTGACAGCGCGGCTCGCGAGCTGCCGAGCACGACCGCTTGGGCGGTGCCCAGCGAGCTGCCCCTCGGCGAGCGGCTGCGGCTTTGCCTCGTCCGCTCCGTGATCAGCGCGGCGATTGCCCTCTTCAGCGCGGTGGATTTGATTTTCGTCGGCGTTTTTGCCGCCAGAGACGCCGCACGCCGGGCGATCTTTGGTGGGCCTGCCCGCGCCGGAGCATGCAAGCCTGCGGTTGTCGTTGTTGGCGGCTCGTTTGCGGGGCTGAGGGTTCAGCGCGATCTGTCCGCAGACTTTGACGTGACGCTCATCGATCCCAAGGAGTATTTCGAGTACACGCCGGGCGTGCTCCGCCTCTTCACGCAACCGCACAAGCTGCTCGCCCTCACGGCGCAGCTGCCGCGAAAGCACAACCGGTTGATCGTGGGCGAGGCGACCTCCGTCTCCTCTGAGGTCGTGAGCGTGCGTGACGCTGCCACGGGCGAGACCGTCGAGCTTCCATACGACTACCTCGTGCTCGCGTGCGGCGCCGGCTACCCGTGTGCGACAGTCAAGCCGGCGATGGCTGAAACGACGCTTGAGGCGCGGCAGGCCACGTGGAACGCCGCGTCTACCACTCTCGTCGCCGCCAAATCGGTCGTCGTGGTCGGCGGCGGCTTGGTGGGCGTCGAGCTGGCGGCCGAGATCGTCGAGGCACACCCACGCAAGCCACTGACTTTGCTCACCGGCGGCGACGTCCTCTGCGGCACCTTGCCGCGCAGCGTGGGGCGTGCGTCTCTCGCGTGGCTCGTCCAGCGCGGTGTGACGGTGCGCTTCCATGCGGCCGTCGACGACGTCGACACCGGCGCCGTGCGCCTCGCGAGCGGCGAGGTGCTTTGCGCCGACATCGTCTACGATTGCCGTGGCAATGGTCCCGGAAGGGCCGCGACCCTCTTGAAGGATGGGGCGGCGTCTGCGGCGACGGACGCCAAGGGTCGCGTCTTGGTCGACGAGACTCTCCGGTGCGCAGCGGGCAGCGGCCGCATCTTCGTCGCAGGGGATGCCATGAGCCTCCCATCGAGCGACGACCTCAAGCTTGGGCACACCGCCGAGCTCAACGCCGACGTGGTCGCAGACAACATCCGACACCTCTGCCACGCTGCCAAGGGTGGAGCCCAAGGTGTCGCGACCGGGCTGGCCACCTACCCATTCGGCGCCGTCGGCGCTTCGAAGACGCCGCGCGTCTCCTGCGTCTCGCTCGGCGAGGTCTATGGCGTCCTCTCGTTCAACGGGCTTGTGATCGACGGCGCGCTCGCCGCTGTCGTCAAGGCGCTCCTCGAGTGGACCAAGATCGCCGCCTGCGCTGAGCGACCAGTCGGCGTAGCGTTTTGGAAGTTTGGCGACGCGGCCGCCAACTGGATCTCTCGCACCATCCTGTCGCCGCCGCCGGCGGTGCGGCCACTAGTCCTCTACGACGGCGTCTGCCTGCTCTGCTCCACCTTTGTGCAGTTCGTCCTCGACAACGACGAGGAGGAGATCATCGACTTTGCTCCGCTGCAGGTACCGAGTCACTCGTGCCGCGGCTCGTCCGTGCGTCGCCCCACTCACTAGCTGCCCGGCCCGCCTTGTCCACAGAGCGAGGTGGGCCTCAAGGCGCTCAAGCAGGCCGGCCTCGAGGCAGACCTCTCGACTATGGTCCTCATCGACGAGGCGGGAGCACACGTACGCTCGACTGCCGCTCTCCGCGTGCTCTCGCGCTGCGGAGCGCCCTTCTCGCTTCTGTATGCGCTCATCCTGCTCCCTCGCCCGCTGCGCGACCTGGGCTACTCGTGCGTCGCGGCGGTGCGGTACCGCCTCTTTGGCAAGGACGACGGCGGCTCCTGCCGCCGCATGACAAAGGCGATGCGTGCGCGGTTCCTCGACCAGCGCTAGCCAAGCTCCGCCCTGTTTCAAACTCGGGGCTTTGAGAGGGAGGACAAGAGATGCGAGATGCGATGGACAGAAGGCGTCGCTGAAGATGCCGAGTCAATTTGTACGTGCGTGGGAAGTTGTTACACACTAGTGCCGTGTGAGAGAAGTGCAGCTGCGCTCCTCCCCGTCTCTCTGGAATGTGGACCCGTACTAATATACAAGTCTTGTGTACAGTAGTGTTAGCGCCTTATGTGCCGTTTGCTTTGCTGAATGCTCTGCGTGCATATGCTACATACTGAACGTATCTGTTATCTGACCGCTGCCGATGAGACTGAGTGAGACGCGGTGCCGCGCCCCTGCTGCGCGCGTGTGCCCCCGCAGCTCCACATCGAATAACGAGCAATGACTCTGTCAGTCGTTGAGGGAAGCACGTAGTGAAAACGTGCTGAGGCCGCCCGTCTCAATCAGGAGGCTCATCACCTTGAACTTGTGCTCGCCGGAGGACGAGTTGCTCAAGACGGTCATCGTCAGCGTGCACGAGCCGCACCCGCCAACGTCCACGGCCGTGACCTTGCGGCGCGGCGTCCAGACCAGCTCGACTCTGCGGACGTCGGTGACAGAGACCGAGCGCTTTGTCTCGTGTGCGTCGATTACGTCCGCCCTGCAGCGGCAGCGACCGCTGCAGCCCAGGCTGGCTCGGCCCATGTGTTCATAAGAGCGCAGGTACCCCACCCAGAGAGCGGTCCGCTGCGCTCCTCGCTCGGCCTTCTCGCCCGCGTCAGGCGCCGGGAAGCAGAAACCAATGGAAGAGCCGATGTCATTGGCCAGGTACCCGAGCTTGTCGGGCCCGCGGCCCTCGTCCGACGGCCCAAAGCCGTGCGCCCAAGACACCAGGGGGGAAAGGTGCTCGGCCCGAGCGCAGGTAGTCGCCGCAGCCTAGTATCAAAAAGGGCGTAGCTGGCACAGGCAACGCCGCATGCCTCGGGGGTGGGCGGCATGCCTGCCGGCCCGCTGCCCCGTACAGTGGGCTCGGCAGCGTCCGCGAGGGGGAGGCTGCAGCTCTTGCTGAGGCGGGTGTTGCCGCGCCAGCCGCGCACGCAGCATGCGAGTCCGCCCCGTCTGGGGCCGTGAGCAGGCGACGCAGCACCACCTCCGCCAGAATGGAGTGGCCATTGGCCCCAGGATGCTTGCAGTCGAGCATGAAGTCGGGGAGGGTCAGATCGCCCTTGCGAACGGCGTCGTACGTGGCAGCACGCATAGAAACTAGAGGGATGCGGTAGTGCCGGCAGAGCGCAGCGATTGCGTCCTCGTCGCTTTGGAGTGAGCAGCGAGGGTCGCGGAAGCGGCCGTCCTCGCCGTACGACTGGGCGGCCCACTGTGTGCGATTCCGTCGCATGTCGATCTTCCCGGCCGAGGACCTTTTTCCGTTTGACCAGCACTTGCACGGGTTGCCGTCCCACGGGCGAATGGCGCGCCAGCGGTGGTCATTCACCACAATCACCGCTGGCGCCCGGGGATCGGTGAGCAGAGCGCGCAGCATGCGCTCATAGGCGTGCGGTCGCCGGTCCGTGTTCACAGCATACTCCACGAGAACGAGGTCGACGTGGCCGCGCGGCAGATGCTGCTTCACGCAGTGCTCCATGTAGGTGGGTCCAGTGCCCGGGACGCCGCCGTTGAGCATCGAATGGTTGCTCGGGTGGAGCAGCCGCAACGCAGCCAAGATCTTCCTGTGGTACAGGTACCCCAGCCCTTTTTCGCTGCCTTTCATGGTCCGGTAGCTCGAGCCCGCCGTCACCGAGCCGCCGATGGCTGCCATTGCGAGACCCTCGCCACGGCGCAGCTTGGCGCGAAGGCAGGCGAGGCGCGAGTCGTCGCCGACGAGCTCGGTCGAGTTTGCGATCTGCGCCGCGCTGAGAAGCGGCTCTTTTCCTGGCCACACGACGCGCGCGTGGACCGTCGTCATGAACCGGCGGTGACGGCCGACCGACCGCGGCAAACTCGCACGTCACCAACCTAGCGAGACGCGAAGGCCACCCCACCACCCCCGCCGCCACCGCCGTGCCGCTGCGGCGGGATCTATCAGCCATCTATCTAAACAAAAGTTCTGTGAAACGAATCATGGGCCGTAGATACTGCAGCTTGTACTTGTGTTAGTGCCCAGAGCGCGCCAGTCCCGTGCCCAGTGCTATTCGACAGATTCTTTCCCGTTCGTTGAGAAAGAGGCTTGGGTACTTGCAGTGTAAGGGAAAATTTTCCTGTCCCGTGCCCTATGTACAAAAAGAAAGAAAATTGAAAAACGGAGGGAGGGTGCAATTGGAGCACTTGGAGTGCAGTCATTTCCACTACAGCTTCTTTTCCTCACGACCTTCCGGTAGGGATCCACGATTGTGATGTTAGAGGTGGGTTAAGAGGGAGATACGCGCAGGGACGGGATCCCTACCGGGATTGCGCTGAAATCCTGCACGCCGATAAGTGCATCGCTGCTGCGAGCAGGATGCCCCAAACGGACCTGCAGTCTCTCCAATGTAAGGAGAAGTGCGGCGCTCCGCCGCACACGACGACCTGCGCCGCCATATTAATGGTGCGCCGATATTAGATGAGGCGAGACGAGCAATTGCCGGGTCGATTTAACCCAACCAAGTTGATCGTAGGCCGCCACGCTCTCGTGCGTCGACACTCGCGCGCTGACTGGCCCTGATTGCCCTTCCGGGTGCACCGAATGCTGTAAGGAAGGGCACACCGCGATCGGCTATGTTGGCTTGGAGTGGGGCCCGCCTCGGTCCGCCGTGAGATCTCGCCAGGGCGCCTGCCGCAAGGCGGACGGCACAAAGGCAAGTGTGGACGAGAAGTGGGGGCTCAAAGACGTCGCAGCCTGCCGGGACGCGTGCGAGAAGAGCGACATATGCGTGGCGATCGAGTTCTCCAAGCCGGAGCCCGCATCTGGCCGCGCCATCTCCAAGTGTGCCATGCTCAAGGAGGACCCCTACAAGATGGTGCCCCTCGACGGCGTCGTCTGCCTCGTCAAACCTCTCGCGGGCTGGGCACGCTCGTACTCCTCGGTCAACCTGCCCGGTAGCAGCCGGGAGGCGGGCCGCTTCCGCCGTGCGGTCTGTGGCGGCGGCAAGCACTGCCAGAACCTGGCAACTTGCGTGTGCTGCCGGCTGCTGCTGCCGAGCGCAGCGCCCATCGACTCGGGCTGCACGCACTTCCGCGAATTCGACCTGCGCGGCGCCAACCTGTACAACTCCAAGCTCGACATGGGCGACTTCTCCGGCGCGCTGCTAAAAAGTAGTAGGCTGCCTTAGAGTTTAGCAGGCAACCTCAATTCCAAGACTTGACTCCTATCTCACCGCCCAAGCGACTAGCGAAGGCGCGCTGCTCGACGGCGCCAATCTCCGCTCCGCCACGCTGCACGGAGCCAACTTCGAGTTTACGTCGCTCGACAAGGCAATGATGGACTCAGTGCGGCGAGAGAGAGACGCGCTCCGCTCGAGCCGCCGTTCCGGCCCCGCCGAGCCGCGCCGCCTCTTTGCAGGCGAGCGCCAACTCTAAGACCTCCTTCGAGCACGCGTCGCTCAAGGGGGCGAGCCTGCGCGGGGTGGGCCTTTCAAGTGCCTCGCTCAAGCACGCCTCCTTCGCACACGCTGACCTCTCCCAGTCCGACCTCTCCGGGGTGAACGCCAACGACGCCAGCTTCGTCAATGCCACGCTCAGCTTCGCCTCGCTGACGGGTGCGAGCGGGCAGGGTCCCCACACCTCGTCACCATCGCACCAGAGCACACTCCGGAGGCTCTGCTCGCGTGCTTCCGTAGGCGTGATGGCGGAAAACGCGAACTTTTCGCTCGCCCGGCTGGACAACGCATTCTTCAGCGGCGGCAATCTGAAGGGCGCCTTTTTTCGAGGCGCGGACCTCACCGGCGCAAGTTTCAACGACGCCCTGATCGAGCAAGCCGACTTCACAGGCCTCCGCCTTCCCACATCCGCCACGAGTCGTATACGCCACCCCACGCCCCTCTCTGTGGCGAGACACTCAGCGCTTGTCGCCCACTCCACAGGCGCAAGAGGCATGGAGACGGCCAGCTGGGCTGGGTATACGGGCATTCCATACAACGCACCGCCCTCGATCCTCGGGTGCCCAGCGGCGGGGTGCGCGAGTGGGAGGTAGAGCGAGCTGGCCACTTGCTGAGCTCGCGGACACCGCGCCCCTGACGGCGCACACACGCCGACACGGAGACCAGACACCTGCGCTGTGTGAGCCGTACCACTAAAACACATCGTCGAAACCTGCAACCTTCTACCCTCTCATCAAATAAGTGGCGATATGTGTTTCTTCCACCTCGTCTCTCACACTGACGACCGAGCGTCGCGACTCTCGTCCAAAATATATCTCCGCCACTCCGGGTCCGGGTCCGGAGACCGAGAGCGAGACCCTCGCCCCGCTCCCGGCTCGCCCGCAGCCCCGCACACCTCCCCGCGGCGCCCCCGCGAGCCGGCGTCTCTGCCGTCTCTGGCTCTCTAGTCCGGGGATATTACACAGCACACCGTTTTTTACATTATACGAATATTCGTCGGCTATACTACGACGAGCGCTGCTGTAAGTGCCCTTCTTCCCTGCTTGCTGCGGCTCACACCTTTTCCACGTCGCACTCTTTTTCGCTCACACTCCTAACGCCGCCTCGACGGCCTGCTGTTGGTAGACCTGGGCTGATTGTGACGACGAGCGCGACGAATCGAGCTCATAGTCCGATCGACTCGGACTCGACGGAGACGGCGATTGGGGATGAATGCTCCAGCGTGGCTCTGCCCTTGCCAGTCGCACACCAGTGTGCGAAAGGGGGTCTCGAGACACGGCAAGCACGTCGCGAGCCAATGAGGATCCGTCGCCCGCGACCTGCCGAAGCGGCTCGTTGCGCGGCGCCGCCAGTAGCTCCTCGGAAATGGCAATGAAGCGCCCGTCATTGTACGGCCTGCAGGGACGCTCGGCGCCGTGGCCAACAATGGGCTTCCGAACGCGTCGTTCGGGACGAGCTGGTCGCTCAGGCCAGATCAGTCGTCTCTTGGGAGGCGGAAGCTTCTCGCGCCGCGGCGACGTGATCGTCTTGGGTATGACGAGCTTGCCCGGCGCGGCTTCCCTCGGTGAGACGTGTGGCAGCCATCCGCCTTCGTTGAACGTTGCGGTGAGTGACTTGTCGAGCACTCCGAGCCCATGCTTGTTGTGCTTCTGCTGGTGCTTGGGGGGGACGATATCTCGTCCCATGCTGAGGTTCGCACAGAGCCAAGTCGGGTTGGCGCGACGCCAATTGCACCCGCTCAAGTTTGATCGTTCGCGAGGTCGCCCGTGTTGTTGCTCCTCGTCGTGGTACTCGAGTACGTGGGATGTTGTTGCCTGTGTCGTAGATGTAGAGACCGCGTGCATCAGATCAGTGGAAGGGGGGGATTGGCATGGTTAATTAGTCATTTCATTGAACTTTCGCAGCTCCGCTGCAGCTGAACCAACAACATCCTACAGCTTGGTAGCGCCGGGCCCTTTCAAAAATAAAAAAATCGTGGAGCCGCACTGACTGTCGTTGCTGTCTCTCCCTTTCTCGACTGTCTGTGTGGTGGAAAAGAAAGAAAGAACATAGGCAACCCAGAGGGAGGATGGGTGGGAGGACGGCACGCCGCCACCACACAGGGATTTTAAGCCTTGTGTGGTGGTGCTTGTGCGCCTTCGCCCAGTTGCGTTTTTTGCGTGAACAAGCGACCGCGCGACGGCGACGGCGGCTACGGCTGCCGCTGCCGCGCTTCTCGTGCTGCTGCTGCCTCTGCTGCGGCTACTGCCAAAGCTGCAGCTGCGGCCGCACCACCCGGCGAGGCCATCCTCGCGCGCACGGACGCTACAGGCGCGGGCGCGGGGGTATGAGGCGGAGATGATGGAGGCGCTCAATTGAGCGCCTCCCTCTCTCTCCGGCTGCGCGCCTGACCGGTGCAGCCTCCGAGTCGGCGTCTAGCGCGCGAGAGAAGGTTTTTGCTCGCCTTCCCTGGGACCCCGTTTTGCGTGACTGTCTCTGTGCGATTTCGGGCCCGGGGTTGTGCGTTTATGTGAAAAGCCGTATTTTCTTCTCATACAAGGCTGTGAACGAGCCCCGGGCCGGCGCGAGTCGGCGCGCATCATTAAGCCAGAAGGTGAACGAGCGCCAGAGTGCGAGTAGCACAATGGTAGGCCAAGCCTCGAAAGCTGCGGACATGCGCGCCGGCAACGTCCCCAAGCCTGGCATGAAGGCGATGAACGGTGGCGGCGGCTCGGTGAGCCGCTCATCCCAGAAGTACGTTGCGCGAGCTGCTGAGAAGCCGAAGGCCAAGCCAAAGGGCCTGACGCATGGGCAAATGGTGATGCAGTGGGAGGCGAACGGGCGCGACGCCGAAGGAAAACTCATCAAGCACACGCCCAAAAAGCAAGGCTGGACAAAGGACGAGATCAACCGGGCGCGCGACCGAGCAGATGCGGAGCGGCGGCGGGCTGCGGAGCAGGCTGCAGTGACCACGACGCCAGCCGGCGCTGCTGGCGAGGCAGTCGAGACCGCGGAGGGCGTGCCAGCGCACGAGCTAGCGCGTGCACGCCTGCGCGAGCTGGCGCATGCGCTGCAGACTGGCGCAAAGGGCGCGGCCGGCGGCGGCGCAGAGGGCGCGAGCGCGGCCGAGGGTGCGGGCGCGAGCTGTGAGCCGCCGCCGGAGGAGCAGTGGGCGATTGCCGAGTGCCGCCGGTCACAGCTCGAGGAGCTCGAGTGCCTCGAGGCGATGTTCGCCGACGAGTTTGTGCTCGTGTCGAGCGCCGGCGGGGTGGAGCGGCTGCGGGAGCTGAGCGAGTCGCTCGGGGAGGACGCCGCGGGCACGGATGCCGCCGCGCTGCGGGAGGTCGCCGCCCACCCTCCGCTCGAGTGCTCTCTACAGCTCACCGCCCATGGGGAGCGGCCGGCGGCGGAGGAGGGGGAGCGGGCGGTCCCGTTGGTTGCGTCGATCCTGCTCCGCGTGCGACTGCCGGTCGAGTACCCGAAGACGCCACCAGTGCTGGCCATCGAGGACGTGATGGTGACCACGCAGGAGCCGCTCGGCAGGGACAAGATGCTCACGACCGTGGCGAGACTGAACGAGGATGCGCTCGTGGCGGCAATGCTGGAGCGGGCGGCCGCGACGCTCCCCGAGCCCTGCATCTATGAGGTGGCGACTTGCCTGACGGAGAGCGCACTCGAGGCGGTGGGGCACTCGTGGGTATGATCCATTCAAAGCGGGCAAAGAAAGAAAGAAAGCAAACAGGCACACCCAAACCAGGGATGGGGGAAGAGGACAGGGTCCACACCTGCACGAGCAGGATTTTGGAAGCACAGGTTCAACCGTCCGCGAATTCTTTTTTGTGCACTTATGAAAAAAACTCTCCACCGCGGGAGCCTTTCGAAGCCCAGAAGAACGTCAGAAAATGCTCCTCCCACTGCTTGTCTCCGCCGCTGCCACAGCCGACACCTCTGACCACGAGCTCGCGCAGCGGCTCAAGCTGTCGCTCTGGCAGCGCGGAGTGTTGGAGTGCGGTGCCGACGGCTGTGGAGCGAGCTCTGCGGAGTTCCCGCGCCTCGCCGCCACCTGGCTTTCTCAGCAGCACCTTCCCATCGTCCGGCTTCGGGGCGGCGCCGACGGGTGCGGCGGCACGTCGTGCGAACCGCCCTCGGCCAGTCTCGATGCCCTGCGCGCGGAGCTGGGCGAAGAGTTTGCCGCAGCGCTTGACCAGAATGAAGCGGACCACGCCGACGACTGTGCAGCTAGCTGCGAGTCCTTCTACTGCGGTCCGGGCGCGCAGCTGCCGGCCGGAGCGGCCGAGGCGCGGTCCCACTCGATGGGGTCCGTCCCACCCGAGGAGTGTGCACCACGCCAGGCTCTCTTCTCCCTCGCAGCCTGGTCTCGGACTCGTCTGTGCCTGCAAAGTAGGACTTCGCCGACGCCTTCAAGTTCCCGCTCGATCTGATCCGCGTGACGGCCAGCCCGCTAATCCCGCCCGATGAGGCGGAGGCGGCAGTCGCGGTCGCCAACGAGGAAGGGATGAGCAGCAACGAGTACGCTTCTGGAAAGTACAAGCTCGGCGGAGACTGGGTCAAGAAGATGCCACGCACCCGCGCCTGGTTCCAGCTCGCTTTTGGCCGGCGGCGGCTGGGCTGTGACCGGCGCCTCTGCACGCCTCCTGCCTTTGCGGGTAGGTTCAACTCGCGTCTGGAGTCGCTCATCTTTCCTACGATCGCCGCGCTGTTCCCCGAGATTGTCTCCTCCGCCTCCGTGCTGCGCGCACACTCCGTGGCGATACTCAAGTACAACTCGAGCCACCCGCGCACGGATGTCCACGTCGACGACGGCTCGTCCGAATTTAGCCGAGATGAGCCGACATGAGCCGACAGACAAGTGCGGTTTCAGACACCACAGGCTTGCTACTGATGGGCCTGGGCCAGGAGAGCGACAGAGAGCCATGCCGTTCACAAGCTCGGCCCGCGCGACGCAGGCATCCTCGCCATGACGCTCGCCCTCTCGCCGCGCGCAAACTACACCGGCGGAGGCACCTTCTTCGAGCACCTCGGCGAAGGGTGCGCCCCGCCGACGGAGCGCAACTCCCTCCCGAGCCTTCTCGGAGCCTGCGCCGCCGCCCCGTAGGTCTGTCCTGCCGATGGAGCAGGGCCACTGCACCTTCCGGCCGGGCTCGGTGCGGCACGGCGGCCACCCCGTCACGGCGGGCGAGCGGTACATCCTCGGCGCCTTCTTGCTCATCGAGGACCGCGTCGAGCACGTCCGCCGGCTGCAGAACCAGGGGCGTGCTGCGCGGGGCCGCGGTGCCGCAGAGGAGCCGAGAGGAGCAAAGACGCGCGGAGCTGTCTCTGTTGACGCGGTGGCTTGGCCCCACCAGGCGACCTCGCGAGGGCGAGGCGGCTCTTCAAGTGGGCGCTCAAGCTCAACCCTCGCTGCGCGACGTGCCTCAAGAATTGGGCCGAGGCCATCACGGCGCAGGCGAGCGGCGGGCCGCTGTCGCCCGCGCTGGCCGACGCGGCGGAGGAGAAGCTGCGCCGCAGCCTCGCGCTGCTCCCCGAGGACAGCGACGCCTGGTACTCGCTGGGTAGGGTGCTGAGCGAGCGGGGGAACAGGGAGGGGGCGGTGGAGGCGTACCGCCGCTCGCTCGCTATCACGAGCGACGACGCCGATGCCTGCTTCAACCTGGCGGTGCTCGTCGGCGACGGCGGCGACGCCAGCGAGGAGATCGCGCTGCTGCGGAGGGCGCTCTCCGCCAAGCCGGACCACGGCCAGGCGTGGGGCAACCTCGGCGTCGCCCTCGCGTCTGCCGGCGACCTCGACGCGGCGGAGGAGCCTTTCCACAACGCCGTGCGCTTCGACCCGAGCGCGAAAAACTGGATCAATCTGGCCAGGCTGCACCAGGCGAAGGGGCGGGCGCCACAAGCAAAGGCGGCCATGGCGGAGGCGCAGGCGCTAGGGGGCGCGCGACAGAGCTGACACGCAAGTACTCTACTCTCTAGTGGAGCGCGGCGCGGCGCATATGCGGACGCGCATGGTGCCACCCAGTAATGCACTCGGCAGCTGAGGGGAGGTCTATCCCCTACCACGTACGAGTAAGTTAGCAGTTACCAGAACAGCAGCTCCATATGACAGCAGCCCCCGCGCGGCACCCGGTCCGGTTCTCTCGCGCCAAATGGCGCACAAGAGTGTGCTGTGTGGGGGGGTTCTTTTATTTTTAAGTCTTCTAAATCCTATATGGTAGTACCCAGACACCCCCATGTACGCAACTCAGAGTTCACAAGACCCGCACAGTGCATGGGACCCAGGAGGAAAAGGGTCAGTGTCTGAGAGTCAGTGCGGTCGGTGTTCGCCGAGCAAAATGCAGAGAGAACAGCCAGCCGTGCCTCGAGGCGCACGCGAGAGCGGTGGAGCCCCCGCCGCCGTCGTGCTGCGACGCTTGAGTCCGCCGTGGTTGCGATCCTGAAGCGCCGCGCGGCTTGCGTCACGCAGCGCACGGCGAATAGCGCCGAGCGGCGGCCAGCGGCGGGGCCGCCATGGCGGCGGTGCGAGCGCGGCTCCGTCACACGGGGGCGGCCACGGAAGTGGGCTCCGCCTTTGCTCGCACCGCACGCTGCGCCAGCGAGGCGACCGCCTTCAGCTCGGCGGCGATCTGCACATGCGTCTCTTGCAGCTGGGCAATCGACTGCGCGTGCGCATCGAGAGTCTCGCGGCAGCGGCGCTTGACGCCCTCGGCGGCGGCGTCCCCGCCGGGCGATGGGAGCGGCGGCGGCGGCATCGCGCGACCGAGCTTGGTGACGCTCTTCATCGGGTCGGTGACCACGCTGTGGGCAGAGGCACGCGCACGTCGCTCACGCGCCGCCGCGGGGCATGGGGCATGGGGCATGGGGCAGGGAGGGAGGGTGGGAGGGAGGGCAGGAGGGAGGGAGGACGAGGGAGGGTTGCCCTCGCCTGAGGAGCGGCTCGGTGCGCGTGAGCGACTCCTCCTGCGGAGCGACCTGGATGCGGAAGCGCTGCTTGTCGCGGTGGCTCGACCTATACGGCGATCCCCCTCCGCCGTGAGGCAGCGGCTCGACGGCGCTGGCGCGGCCCCGGCAGCGGCGCACAGGGAGGTGATTCGCAGCTTGAAGGTCGCGGCGCCCTGCAGCGCCACGACGTCCGTCTCGCCGACGAGCAGCGGCTCGGAGAGACTCGTCTGCCTGCAGAGGAACACGCCCGCCCGTTACCGACGCTGCCCACCGCCCGGCGGCGCCGCGTCGCGTGTAAGGCGCTTGACGGCGGAGCCATTCTCGTACAGGAGAGTTGCGCGCAGCGGCAGCGAGCAGTCGACGATGGGCACATCCGCCGAGTCATGCACCCCAACCTTGAGCGTGAAGGGCCGCAGATTCGACACCACCAGCTCCTCCTCGCTCTCCCCGTTTTCGCGCGTCCTCATCTCCACCTTGTGCACGCGGTGCTCCAGGATGCGGAGCTTGCGGCCGCTGATGACGACGGCGGTGCTGCTGCAGCTGGGCGCGACCGTCGCGATCGCGGTCGTCGTCGCCGGCGCCGCCGCCGCCGCCGCCGGCGCGGAAGAGCCCGCCACCTCGCTGAGTCCTGCGCACGGCGGGTAAGGGCGTCGCGCGCGCGGCGGGTGGACGGCAAGTGCCGCGGACGCGCGCCTCCAATAAAGTCGATGTCCAGGATGTTGCCGCTCTGGGACCGGGTGAGCCGCACGTCCAGGCTGGGGGTGGTCCCGTTGCCGCTGGCGGCCATGTTCCAACAGCTGCTGGGGCCAGCGCGACGGAAGCTTGCAGGAAACGACGTCTCGACGTGTGCAGGCGAGAGAAAGCCACAGATGTATTTTCTTTTTCCGAAAGTGAGTTCTTTTGGTAACCCCGAAGTTTTCAAATCAATTTTGCCACACATGAAATCGTGGGGTCGCTTCAGTCCCAGCTTCAGTCCCCCCGTGGACCGACCCTCAAGAAAGCGATTTATGACAATAGAACAAGGAGGCCCGGGGCGGGGGTCGGGAGGGGCATGTATGTATGTATGTAGGAAGGTGAACAGTCAGGCTCGGACTGGACACCGACGCGGTATGGGTCGGAGTGAAAAAGAGAAACGCGGTCAACACGTGTACATGTCACTGCTCTTCGCCGCCTCGGCGTTCGCGCTGCCCGCCGCCTCGGCGTTCGCGCTGCCCGCCGCCTCGGCGTTCGCGCTGCCCGCCGCCTCGGCGTTCGCGCTGCCCGCCGCCTCGGCGTTCGCGCTGCCCGCCGCCTCGGCATCGCCAACCGTCGCCACAGCGCACCGCTCGCAGCGGCATGCACGCCGGGCCGAGGTCGCGTCGATGGGCCTCTTCGACGCGCTCAAAGGCGCCTTCGCAAACGAGGAGTTTGTGGCGGACGACCGGCGCGTGCGGGCGTCGCACATCCTGATCAAAGGGGAGGGCGACCTCGAGAAGGTTGTCGAGCTCATGCAGGAGCTCGGCCAGCGCGTTCAGCGGGAGCCGGATCGGCTGGCACCGATCTTTGCCGAGCTGGCGAGACGAGAGAGCCAGTGCTCCTCCGCTTCATCGGGCGGCGACCTCGGCCTCTTTGGGCCGGGGAAGATGGTCCAGGAGTTCGATACCGCGCTCTTCCCGGCAGAGGACGCGCCGCAGCCTGGCGCCATCCTCGGCCCCGTCGTCACCGACTTTGGCTGCCACTTGATCCTGGTCACGAAGCGCGAACAGAACCGCGATCAGGTCGAGGAGAAGCTCGCTCGCAACGACTGATGAGAGCCGGGGGCCCAACGCGTTCGCGTGGGCCGCCTGATGATGCGCGCATGCGGAAACCAATTGTTTTTTATCATGGTACATGGACGAAAAGGAAAAAGTGACTAATAAAGTGACTCTGTCGGCTGCTGGAGAAGGGGGATTCACCCGTGACATACGAAAGCGGCTCTAGTTACGATCCAACGTTCACTCTGACACGCTAATCTCTTGAAAACGTCCAACGGAGCTCCGTGTTGCTCCCTGCGCAATCCCCCGCGCTCCCTGCGGCCATGGTCGATGATACTAGTATGAGAGGTCATCTGGCTACCGCGAGAGCGACCCAACTCGTCCACATCGTCCGATGGTGGTGCCTCAAAGTCACAGCCTTCGGAGGCTATCGTGGGGTCGAGCCGGCAGTAGCCGCGACATGTGGTTCCACCACCCCTCGTAGGCTTTGCTTCTGCTCGCCGCCGTTCCCAGGCTGCCTAATGGGATGGAAAGGAAGGCTGGGCGAGCGTATAGAAGCGTGCTCGACCTCGTCGTGGCAACCTGTACGGCAGCGCTGGCAGGCGCGATGAGCGTCGTGCCACCTGACCCGAGACGGGTCGCAGGCGTCGTACCGAGCGCGTCGAGACCGTGTCCTGATGCGCTCTGCACGGGTGAGTCACGTCGGCGTCAAAGGAGCGACGTGCGACCTGTCAGAGCTTGATCTCCGATCTCAGCGGCGTCGAGTCGTCTCCGGCGGCGACAATTTTGTACCTCCCCAGGACGCGCAGAGGCAGCCGCGACCCCGCCGAGTGACGGTTGCACACAGCAGAAGGCACCGAGAGGTACGAAATGGCGCAAATGACCAAAATCAAGATTGTGTAACGCGAGCTGTGCCACAGTGAAATGGAACTAGCCAAAGGGGAAGGACCCTGAGAGTGAGTTGACCAGGGGTTGTGCGCCGGGCCCTCCTGCTCGGCTCCAGGGAGTAGGCAAGTGTTACCATCAACAGAGGAGAAGGATCTGACCTCGGGGCCGATGTGACCAAGCGCTGGTAGCGTGGTTTTACCTCACACCCATGGTCTCACAGTGTGCCGGCAGTCGCCGCGCAGTGTCGCTTACACAAGCCGCAGCACAAGTGACTGAGGGCCAGTGAGGGCGAGCCCATCGCTGTGACAGCTGTGGCAGCCGACAGTAGGCTGTGCCAACTGTGCAGAGTGTGTGAGCAGCAGAGGAGCTTCACTCCAGGCTTCTGTCGCAAAGAGCTGCATGCCACCGAAGGCGCTGTCGAGGTTCGCCGAGCGCGGCGAAATCGGGGGAAGCCGCCGCCGACGAGCGCGTTGGACTTTTCACTCTGGACAAAGACGGGGACACAGCGGACGGTGCGGGGCGTGCCGCAAACTTAGCGGCGAGGCGCGGGACCGTCTGTGGCGAAGTGGGTCGCGTCCCCCGATTTCCGTCAACTCACTGTCCTTCCCCCGTATTTCTTTTTTCGGTGTCCGTAGTTTCAAGAACATCACCTCATCCTCAAGCTCAGACATCGCTCGAGCTCCAATACCTGATCGGGTAGGCTCTTGCCCGAGAGGCCCAAGCCGAGCGCCTCCGCCGCGCTGCGGGCCGTCGCCACCAGGTTGCGCCCCGGCTCCAAGCCAAGGACCTCACAGACGCGCCGGAGGCGTGAGGGCAAAGGCTCCGGCCGAGCGCTCGTCGCCCTCTCGGGCAAAGCCTTCGTCGCGTCGCCGTCGCTCTCGCCGCCCCCGACTGTCGGGGCCGCCTGAGCCACGCATCTCGCAACAGCGTGCAGCGCGTCAGCAGACTCCCTTGCCCCAGCAGCCGCTGCCGCCGCCGCCCTCGCCTCTTGAACCCTGGCCGCCACGGTGACCGCGGCGGCGGCTGCGGCCATCGCGGCAGCGTGCGCCGCCTCCGCTGCCTGCTTCGCTGCCGCCTCCTCGGACTCTCTTCTGACGACCTCCTCCAACGCCGCCCTCTCCTCTGCCCGGGCTACCGCCGCCACAGCCGCGGCCTCCTCCAACGCCGCCGCGGCTTCAGCTGCCGGCCTCTCCTCGTCGCGTCTCCGACCCTCGCTCCGCCTCGCCGCCCTCGCCCCAAACGCAACAGCAGCCTCGGCCACCTGCGCTTCCGCCTCCGCCTCCGCTTGCAACATTGCCCACCGCCGAGCGGCCTCCAACTGTTCCGCCTCGCGCGCCGCCACCTCGCGTGCCAAGTTCGCAGCCGACTCCCTTGCCTCCCGCTCGAGCCTCTCCGTCAGCGCGTGCCGCGTCCGCTCGTCAGCCGCCGTCCGCGACGCCTGCGCTGTCGCTAGCTCCTCCTCCCCCCCCTCTTCCTCTGTGACCGAAGCCGAGCTGTCCGACTCCTCCGCCGGCAGCGGCGCGGCGGGTGCCACGGCGGGCTCCGCCTCTCCCTTGGCCGGCCTTCCACCCTTCATCCTCGCACGGAACTCCTTCTTCTTGGCGGCCTTCCGGCTCAGCGGTCCCGTCTCCCGCGGCGCCTTGGCGGCCTCCTCCGCCGCCAGCAAGCGCTGCGCCGCGGCCTCAGCCTCAGCCTGCTGCCGCGCAGTCGGCTTCGCCTCCGCCCCTGAGGCTCCCGCGCGCTCCTGCCGCTCTTTGCGGGCGGCGAGCACGCCGCGGAGCCGGCTGCGTGAAGAGCAGGGCTCGCCGCCAGACGGCTCCTCCCAAGAAAGATCAGCCGGCAGCAGGGAAAACTGCCGATTCGTTTGGCCAGGGCCGGCGATGTCTCCGAGGGACGGGTTGTTCTTGACGTGCGCATCCCGCGCCTTGACGAGCTCCTGGTGCGCGTACCAGTCCTTGTGATTCTTGATGGCAGCGAGCGCCCGCGGCCGCGGGTACGTGGATTTGCAAGTGCCATTGAGAATCGCGTCGGTAGCTGGAAGGGACTCGGGCTCGGGGAGCGGGACGCTCTTGGGGTAGAACTCAGTCAGGTAGCCGCCGCGGACGGTGTAGTACTTGTTTTTGTCGCGGGCGGTGCGCTTCTCGCACACCTCCTTCCAGTCCGAGAGGGCGGACTCGTAGGTGGCGATAGCTGCGGCGATGGCGGGGTACTTGGATGCACCTCCCTCGTCGTGGGCGAAGTCGGGGTTGTGGGCGACGAGGGTGCGCCAGTTCTTGAGGAGCGACATGGAGAAGTCGCTGTCGGCGCGCGAGAAGGCGGTATCGATGTTGCACCCGCCCATCTCGGTCGGCAGCTGTGCCTGGAGCCACGCGAGGTCGCGGAGCGCCTGGGGCGAGGCGTCGGCGCGAGCAATGCTCTCGAAGGACTTGCGGATGCGGTTGTGCGCAAACTCGAGAGCCTCGCACGCGACATTGGGCGGCGTGATGCCGGCAATGTACTTGGTCTTTGCGCAGGCGATCCGTTGGACGAGGTTGAGGCGGAGCTGCGAGGTGTTCGTGACGCAGTCAGTATCGACGATCGTGTCGATGACGTCGAGCGGCGCGAGCTTCTTCCTGAGGTGCGCGGTGAGCTCCTTCTTGCAGGCTTCAGGGTCGCCAAAGAAGGTGCCGACGGCCTTGAAGCAGTCCACTCGCCCCGTGGGTTTGCCCTCCTTGTCGCGGTGTGCAGGCGAGCCGCGGAGCCAGCCCGGCGCGCTCGAGAGGTCACCCTCGGGCGAGTAGATGAGCGACTTGCTGACGCCGTCGAAGACGCTCGCTCCCTTCTTCTGCGCCTCGAGGAGGCCCTTTGGTCCGGAGTAGGCGGCGACGGCGCGCGAGGGCTCGTCGTTCTGGCAGATGTCGTCCGCAAAACCGATGAGACGCATGCTCGGGTTGTCACGTTGGACTTCGTGGCAGATGTCATGGAGGAAGCAGACGCTGAGGATGGTGGACAGCGCGCGTCCCTGGATGACCCCGCAGGCGGACCTGGCGTAGTTGGGGTCGTTGTAGTCGGGGCACTCGAGGCTGAGTGGGTCCCAATCGGCGGCAGAGAGGTCCAGGTCGTCGCCGTCGGCGGAAGGCAGCCGCAAGGCCCCCTCGGCCTTGACAAGGCGGATGAAGCTGGGCGTGCCTTTGTTTGTCAGGAAATCACAAATTGCAAAATCACAAATTCTTTGAAGAAATTTCACAGGCATGGCGGTGGTCCACAGCGCCGAGTCCTCCGACGCCGCCGAGACGGACGTCGAGAGCGACGCTGTCGACACGGAGGCCGAGGAGACGGACGTGGAGGACGACTACGTTGCAGTCGGCAGGGGGAGTAGCGACGAAGAGTCTGGCCGTGGCGGCATCAGCGAGGACGAGCTGGCAGAGGCCACCGAGCAGGATTTGCTCGCCGTGCCGTTCCGCAACCTCGACACTGGAGAGATCATCTCGCTGACGGATGCGATGAAGCTCAGCTGTTCGTCGCTCTCCTCCTCCTCCTCCTCCACCCGGGCGCCGACACCCGCACCGGCGGCCGCTGCCGCCGCTGGCGCCGCCGCCGCCGTGAGCGCCGCCGCGGTGGGCGCCTCGCCCCGCTCCTCATCCTCCCGCTGCTCCGTTGCCGACGAGGCTGCCGCCGTGGTCGGCTACCTGTGGAAGCGCGGCACCACGCTCTCCGCCCTCGTGCGGCGCTGGTACGTCCTCTCTCCGACCGGCCTCTGCTACTACCCGTCGGCGCAGGACTCTGTGCGCGCGCCGCACTCGTTCCGCGTCGTGCCTCTCGCCGGAGCGCGCGTGCGCCTCGCCGGCGGCGGCGAGGAGGGCGGCCTTGGCCTCGGAGGCCGCAGCCCCAAGGACAGCATCAAGGGCGGCGGCGGCACCAAGCGGGGCGGCAGTCCCGCCCACGGCCTGGTGCTCGAGCTCGGGCAGGGCAAGGCGCGCGAGCTGTACGCGGAGCACCCGGAGGAGCAGAGGCTGTGGCACGACGCGTTGGCTGCCTGGCTCGCGCGCGGCGGAGGCGGAGGCGGCGACGGCGGCGGCGGCCGCGGCGGTGGGGTGCTGAGCGGCGCTCTCGGGCTTGTGGGGCTCGGTCGGCGGGGCGGCGGCGGCGGCGGCGGGGGAGGCGGAGGCGGAGGCGGCGGCGGCGGCGAGGCGGCCGCCACCGACGGGCACGGGTTTGCTCTCTCGCCCGCCGAGGCGGATTGGGCGATGTGCATGATCGAGGCGCCGGTGAGTTGCTTGTGACACGCGGCGTGTCGCGTGCCCTGTAGGCTGGGAGCTGGTCCGCGTGGGCGCACGTCGTCGCCGCGGCGGAGCGCGTGCAGACGCAGCATTGGCGCGCGCATTTGGCCGAGCACGGGCTGCCGCAGGTGATCCTTCCACTTCCACCGCCACGCCTCTGCACCACACCCGCCCTCTCCAGCTGGCGCCGCCCCCCTCTCCCTCCCCGGCCTTGCCCCCGCCTGACGCGTGCCGCGCCTCTGCCCCAGCCGCCTGCGCCGCGCGCCGACGGCCGAGTCAAGACGGTGGGGCGGAAGCGTGTGTGGCGGGAGCGGCTCGCGGGCGGTAAGGGCGCCGCCGCCGCACGCGCGTGCAAGCAGTTGGTGCGGGGGGGCGTGCCGCCGAGCCTGCGGGCCGAGGTGTGGCTGTCGATGTCGGGCGCGCAGCAGCTGCGCGAGGAGCGGCCGCCTAGATGCGGAGCGCCGGTTCCATGCCCTCCAACTGGTCACGCGCTCTCGTCACTCTACGCTCTCGCTGCTACCTCCAACCAGTCACGCGCTCTCGTCACCGCACGCTCTCACTGCTAGCCTTGCGTTCCCGCGAGGCCCACAGAACCAGCTCGGTGCGCTCACACTGCAGGAGCATCCGGTCGCGTTTGCGGCGCTACTCAGCCGCGTCGCCGCCGGAGAGTGCGCCGAGATGGACGAGATCGAGAAGGACCTGCACCGCACCTTTCCCGGGCACGCCGCCTTTGGCGCGGGCGGCGCCGGGCGCGAGAAGCTGCGGCAGGTGCTCGCGACGTACTCGCTGCGCAACCCCGCGGTCGGCTACTGCCAGGCGCTCCGCCATGTGGCGCACGCTCCCTGGACGTGGCCTCGACACGCACCCTCTTGACGCTTGCCCTGCCAGGCGCTCAACTACGTGGCGGCGATGCTGCTCGTGGCGATGCGGCTGGAGGAGGAGGATGCCTTCTGGCTGCTCGCCGTCTACTGCGAGCGCCTCTTCCCCGACTTTTACCTGCGCGACATGACGGGCATCCGGATCGAGCAATCGCTCTTCGCGGGCTTCGTCAAGGAGATCTCGCCGCAGGTGCACACCCACTTCGAGTCGCTCGGTGCGCCGCTCGACGCGCCGCGGGGTGGGGAGGGAGCCAGCTGGAGGGAGCCAGCTGGAGGGAGCCAGCTGGAGGGAGCCAGCTGGAGGGAGCCAGCTGGAGGGAGCCAGCTGGAGGGAGCGGCGCCTCTCCGCCTCGCCCCCTCACCCGCCGCGGCGCCGTGCACTGCCGCAGGGGTGCCGCTCGAGCTGGTGACGACCAGCTGGTTCCTCTGCCTCTTTGTCAACGTGCTCCCGGCCGTCTCGGTCCTGCGCCTGTGGGACGTCGTCCTCTGGGAGGGCCCTCAGGCGAGGAGAGACACTTCCTAGACACTTCCTAGTGGCCCTCAGGCGAGGAGAGACACTTCCTAGACACTTCCTAGTGGCCCTCAGGCGAGGAGAGACACTTCCTAGACACTTCCTAGTGGCCCTCAGGCGAGGGGAGACACTTCCTAGACACTTCCTAGTGGCCCTCAGGCGAGGGAGAGACGCCGCCCACGCCGGCCGGCCACACCAGAGGCGGCGGCACGAGCCCCTCCCGCCCCCGCAGGTGCTGATGCGCGCCGGCGCCGCGCTGCTGCACTGCTACCGCGACGCCGTGCTCGCTGCGCGCGACTTCAACGGCACCTCCCTCGTCCTGCAGACGATTGGCCGCGACTTGTGGCGCGCGGGACGGCCCGGCGCCACCAGGCACGCGCGGGCCCGAGGCGAGGAGGGACGCTGCCCACGCCGTAGGCACGCCGACCGGCTCGTCGCCACCATGTACACAAAGTCGGCCGTCACCGGACGGCCGCAGCACAGGCACGCCCTCCGCCGGGCGAGGGAGGAGCGGCGCGAGCAGTACAGGCACGCGGCGCGGCGCCGCCCTCTCCGCCGTCCCGCGACCCCGCCTTGCCGACCCCCCCTCTTTGCCCCCCCCCCCCCCACACACACACCAGGCGGCACGAGGCGGAGCAGGTCGCTTCGCTCGCGGACGAGACGGCTTTCGACACGGCCGAGCTCGAGCTCCTCCGCTCCGCCCTCCGCTCTTCGGTGCGCGCGGAGCTCGCCACGACGGCCCGAGCCGCGTGCGACGTCGCCGACGCCACCGTCACCGAGGCGCACGTGCGGTCGCTCTTCGCGTCGTGCGGAACGGTCCTCTTCCCGCCGCCGCGCCTCGGCCGCGAGTCGATCGGCAGGGTGCGGCAGCGGCTCGACCCGTCTGCCGTCTACGCCGTCGTGCGCGCGGCCTGCTGCGCGCGGCGGGACGGGCTGCCGGACGACGCGCTCACCCTCAGCCGGCTGCTGCACGGCCTCTCGGCCCTCTGCCGGCCGCAGTCCGAGGAGGAGGCGCCGCGGTACGTGCTAGCCGCCTTCGACGCCGATGCGGACGGCGCGCTCGACGAGGGGGAGCTCGCGGCGCTGCTCGCCGAGGCATATGCCGGCTGCGCCACCCGCGGCATCGACACGCGCATGCCGGCCGAGCTGAGCGCGTACTGCCGCGCCCTCGCCGCCGCGCTCGCGCCCCCGCCCGACGGCGCGGCGCGGGAGCCTGCTGCGGCGGCACCCCCGGCCCCGCCGGTCGGTCCCCGCGGCGTGCGCACGCTCCTCGCCGCCGAGCCGTCTTTGCGCGCGTGGCTGCCCGTGTCGGTGATTGCGGCCGCCGCGGCCGGAGACTCGCCCGAGCGGGGGTCCGAGGCGGGCGGCGATCCCGAGGTGGAGCGCGTGGAGGCCGTCGTCGCGGAGTGGCTTGCGTAGAGTCGTGCTTGCCCCACGACGACGCAGCAGACGAGAGCCAGCTGGTGGCCGCCCGTACTGTACTGTGATTTGTTCACTATTGTTCCAATCGCGGCTGAACGCGGCGACTGGCGTGACGACTGACGTGTGTGTGGGCGCGGTTTTCTGTTTCCATGTCTATTTCTCTCCCGGAATTGTGATGAAATAGAAATAGTCTGGCGCACCCCGTTGACACCGACGTCCGACGGGGAAGGTCTGGGGCCCGCACACACACCCCGCGGTTCGTTGCCCCCCCCCCCCCCCCCGGCCGGGGCAAGCGCAAGCCAAGGGCGCATGTGGGTAAGGCTAAAGCCGTTAGAGCATAGAGGCGGCCCGGGGCCGGGGGAGCGCGGAGGGGGGAGCGCGGCGATCGACCCGCTCCACACATAGAGAGACCACTCGTGTACGACCACTTTTGCACTAAGCTCACACCAAGTGACACCGCGATGCGCACACGCTTGTGTGCACATCACAAACACACAACAACGCACAACCACAAGCAAAAGCACCACTAGCACACCACCATGCTCTCCGCACTCCGCTGGCCTGCAGAGACCCACACGCAGAGCGGGAACCCCGGCCGGCACACTCTCCACTACTACGGCATACACGCCGCACTCTCCTCCATTTCGTCACACACAAAAGACGAGGGGTAGCACAGCATAGGGAACGCTCAGGTACAGGCACTAAGCGTCGTCATTGCCACCCAGAGAGGCACGCCCCAACACATGGCACGCGTCCGTGCATATTAGTGTGTTGGGAAGGCCGTGCGTCTGCGAGCCTGCTCACGTCATCTCGGGGCAGGAGCCGCTGGGCGTGTGACGGGAGGAGCGGCTTTGGAACGAGTAGCACATCGTCGAAGCCAGCCTCGAGGCACGTCTCACGTAGGTTCGGGATGTGTCGCGCGTTGGCCGAGACGGCAAGAACGCGAGCACGGGAGCCCCCCTGATGGGCTTCGTAGTTCGTTGTCGCGAAGGTGGCGTACCGCCGGCAGCCCATCAATCGTCTTTAGGTCAACGAGCACGAGGCTGAATCTGTCGTGTGAAGGCGAGGTCAAGAAGCGGAGGCCCTCTGATCCGTCGCTGGCGACGACGAGGCTGCCGCGCCCGACGCCGAGAACGTGGACGAGCTTGCGAGCGAGGTCGTCGTCGCCCACCACAAGCACCGAGTAGCCCCTCGTATTTAACACCGCCATTGATTCCACTGAGATTGCTCAAAGATTCGTTGAGCCATGCGGAAGTTTCCACGAATTTCTTCATTATAGACAATCAAGCCGCCGTCCACGTACATTTTTTTTCAGCGAGATTTCTTGTAGTTCCTCTTCTCTCCCCTCTCCCTCCTCCCCTCCCTCTCTCGCTCTCACTCTCTCCCAACCGTTAGACGACACGAGGCGGTCAGTTCCGTCCGGGTCTCTGCAGCCCCACGGCGGCGTCCGGAAACAGATTTTTAGCAATACCAAACAACTCTAACTCTCACACATCATTTGGGGACGAGAGAGAGCAACCAGCATGGTCAACATGAAGGCCTCGGGCCACCAGGGCCAGCGCAAGCGGCGTCAGGCAGGCGCGGAGGACGCGGTGACGAAGCTCGAAAAGCTCAAGCTCCGGCCCGACAGCCTCGCCTGCGTCAATCCCGACGGCGTGCCTCTGCGGGTGGTGGCGCGTGAGAAGGTTCTCGGCGGCGAGAGCAACGCGCACCTCAAGGCGGCACTCGTCGCACCGGCGACGCTCGCAGCCCTCGGCGCGGCGCCAGGCTCTCGCGCGATGCTCTGCCGTCTCGTCTCGCCCCCGTGACCCCCCCCCCCCCCCCACGCGCAAGTTGCGACGCACGCCACTTTGTGTGCAAGACGAGTACAAGGAAACGCGTTGCTACACGCCGCAGGCGAGGCAACCCTGATGATCACAGTGAGCCACTAGGTCACCAGGCCGTGCCACGGCCGACTTACTTAGCCCGCATAAGAGGCTCCCACCCATCTTTCTTATACACACCTTACCCCGTTGGAGCCTGTAAAAGAAAAAATAGTCCGTGGGCCCGAGAGCGATGTGCATTGTCCGCCTTCCTTTGTCTTCATATGTTTTCTAACATCCAAGAAACGAGAAAAAAATAACGCGTCGCGTCCTTGACACATCCCTCCTTCTCGCTCGCTCGCTGCACACTCCTCAAAACAGCGCGCCGCCCCATCTCCGCCTCCCCCATCACCACCACCTCCCTCTCCGCCTCCTCGCCGCTGAGCGGTGGAGCCGTGCTCAAGCCACACTCCTGCACAACAGCGCGCCGCTGGAGTGAGCGGTGGAGCCGTGCAGCCGTGTGCTCATGACGCATGTCGTCCGCATGAGCTCAATGCCCACGAAACTCGGCAAGTCGGAGCAGGCTGGAAATCTGTCGCGATACCTCTTTGCGGCGTCCAAGCTTTACCCGCCCCGAGGCATGCAGCGCGGCGTCAGCATCGCCGAGACGCTCATGCGGTGGAGGTCGGTGTTCCACACCAACCCAGACCGCATGACGCTCAGCGATCGCGAGCAGCTCTTTGAGCGGTCAGAGGTGGTCGGCAGCCTCGACGCCTTCGTCTCGCACTCGTGGAAATCGCGAGGGCGCTACAAATGGGCCGCCTTGGTTTTCCACGAGCTTGGCATCGTGCCTCTGGTCGCTGCGATCGTCGCCTGCCTCATGATGGCCTGGCAATCAGCGGCGTTTCACATCGCCTGTGACTCCAACGGAAATCCCATCATCAACCTGCCCGTCCTGAGGGAGACGATGGTGGCCGGGCTTCCGACGGTGACGGTCGCCTCACCGTGGGAGTATGTGCTGGGCATCTCAGTCGCACTCTCCTCGGCCGTCTTCCTGCTCGCCATGCAGCGGCGACGCTACTATTTCGTCGACGCGGCCTGCATCCCTCAGACCGATCGAGCGCAGAAGGTCCAGGCCATCAGGCACCTGGCAGGCTTCGTCGCCCTGTCGCAGCGGCTGCTGGTCCTCTGGGACGAGCACTACTTCACCAGGCTCTGGTGCGTGTACGAGCTGGCCGTTTTTCAGGCGGTGCACCCGAACCGTCCCGTGATCTTTCTGCCGCTGCAGTGCGCCGCCGCCTCGTTCGTCATGCTCGGACTGATCTTTCTCGGGATAAACCTGTTCGCAATCGGGTGGGTGGTCGTCGTCCACGTGACGATGCCTTGGTCGTCTGTCTACTCGCTGTTTGTGATGCCTCCAACGGTCGCCTCCCTCCGCCCCCGCGCCTCTCCGAGACATCATCTCAGATCCATTCGATTCAGCAACACACAATTCGACGTCCCATCTCCCCCATCCTGCCGCCGACCCGCCCCCTGCTGTGCACAGGTGTGGGCCGTCCACTTTTTCGGACAGGTCGCGGCCGCGTTTTGGGGCGCGAGCGCCGTCTTCCAGCGGATCCTGCTCCAGCAGACTCTCGACTCCTTTGATGTGAGGCAGGCTGGCTGCTCCTGCGCCACCGACCGCGAGGAGATCTACGCCGCCATCGAGGGAATGCACATGCACCACGGGGGCGGTGGGCTCGACGCGTTCAACCGGATGGTTCGGACCACTCTCAAGGATCAGGTGCTGCAACGCCTCTACGGCCCTCAGGGCCAAAGCACGGTCAAGTATTCGACGCTTCTCATGGTGCTGCTTCCCGTCACCTGCTTCGTGCTGGGCCAAATGTTCACGGCCATCCGCGAGTCCCCCGCCTTTGTGCAGGGCGCCTGTCTCACCCTCTTCATCACGACGACCCTGTGCACCATCCCCTACCTCTACCTCAACGGCATCGACAGGGGCGCGCGCCTGGCACGCGAGAGCAGCCAGCCGGGCTGCAACACCCTCCGAGCGTTTGAATCGCGGGCGCGGCTGGCAATCGTGTGGACCGCGGTGCGCGGCGCCACGGAGGTCACGCTGGCGGTCAGTGCATGCATCTCGATGTACGCGGCTGCGGAATGGCCAGAGGCCTTCGGCCTCAGCCCTCGGAGTCCCTGCGTCTGGGTAGTCGTGAGCCTGTGGAACGCCGCGTGGGGGCTCGTGGCGTACCGCGCCTTTGGCGTTGGGTCGAGGGCGGCGGCGACGCCCGACGGTGCCCTGGTTGGCGCGAACGAGAGCAGCGCCAGCTAGCAGCGGGGTGGACCTTGAAGGAGGGGGAGGGCGGGGAGGCTGATCGATTACAGCTGTACTCGTGTCAGTGTTGAGTTTGTGCATTTGTTATATTGTATCGCCAGTCCCGTGCCTAGTGTGGTGCGAGGAGTTTTGTTTTCAAGCTACAGACTGCTTCAGACTAGGAATTCTAGAGTGGGAGAGCACGCTTGACGTAGCCCGCCGCAGTCTGACGCAGTCTGGCGCAGCCTGACACATGTACATGTGCATGTTCAGACTGCACACTAGACTGCGCCAGACTGGAGGACATGAAACTGCGCCAGGCGGGAAAAACTTTCCTTGCGTGCGTCCCTCGGCTCGTCGCCCACCACCCTCTTCTCCAATGGTCTGGGGCGCGGCTCCGCCCGCGCTCGACGTCCCAGCTCTGCTGGACCGCTCTCGCCGGAGCCGATCGCTGCACCTCATGCCGTCGCGCAAGTTGGACGGCGCCGGCTGCGTCAAGCTGTGTTCGGCGCTTTCGGAGGCGCCGGCCACACTAACAGAGCTCGACCTCTCTGGGCACGACGTCGGGGAGGACGGCGCACATGCGGTGGGCGCGCTCCTCGCCACGGCCGGCTGTACGATTGAGCGCCTCGGGCTTGGCAGCGCCGCCTTTGGCGCGGGTGGGGTGGAGGCGCTCGCCGCCGGCGTCAGCAGCGGCAGCTGCGCCCTCCGCTCGCTCGATCTGGAGCACCGCGGCCTGGACGCCGCGGGCGCTGACGCGCTGGCGCGGCTGGCACACTCGGCGCTGCCGCACCTCTCCTCTCTCACCCTCTCCCGCAACCCGCTCGGCGACGCCGGGCTGCAGCCGCTCCTCGAGCTGCACTCCTCGGGGGCCGGGGCGGCCGCCGCACCGCTCGCGCGCGTGCGAGAGCTCGACGTCTCGGACACGCAGCTCGGCCCCGTCGGCGCGGCGGCGCTCGCCGAGGCGGCCGAGCGCGGCCTCCTCGCCGCCCTCGCCGTCCTGCGCGCGTCGGCAAACCCGCTCGGCGACGACGGCGGCGCTGCACTCGCGCAGCTGCTGCTCGCGGGCGGCGGGCGGCTGTCGCACCTCAGCGCGCGCGAGTGCGGCATCGGGCCCGCGGGCGCCGCCTCCATCGGCCGCGCTGCCGGCCAACGCCCGCCGCCGGAGCTTCTCGACCTGGAGGCGAGGCTCCGCCCCCGAGGCTCCGCCCCTCCCTCCTCCGCGTGCCAGCCTCCCCTCCTCGCTCCGCAGGACAACGGCGACGTCGGAGACGCGGGCTGCGAGGCGCTCGCCAACGGCCTCGGCGGCGGCGGCGGAGGCGGCGGCGCAGCTCTCGATTTGCGGCTGGGCGGCTGTGGCTGCGCCGACGGCGGCGCGGTGGCCATCGGCGCGGCAGGCGGCTGCATCGCCGCCCTCTCGCTGCCGCGCTCGAAGCTCGGGCCCGCTGGCGCGGCGGCGGTGCTCGGCCTGCAGGGCCTGCGCCGCCTCTCCCTCTTTGCCAACCCGTCCGTCGGAGGCGAGGCGGAGGCGGAGCTCGGGCCTGTCCGCACTGCGCTCTGCGGCGCGTCTCACCTTGAGGAGCTCGATTTGGGCGCGTGCGGGCTCGGCGACACGCGGCTCCTCGCGGCGCTGGAGGACCCGTCGAGCGCGCCGCGATTGCAGCTGATCGAGTTGCACGCCAACCCGCTCGAGAGCGAGGCGTGCCAGGCGGCGCTGGCAGCGCTGCGGGCGAGCCGCCAGGGCCTGGACGTGGCCTGGCGGCCGCCTCCCGGGGCCGGACAAGGGCCGGGCGGCGGCGCGTCAAGCGGGGGAGGGTAGTTGAAGGTGGACACGGTGCTCTCCGTTTTGTCCTTGTGCAAAGTAGTGATATATTAAAATAATTAAATATGAAAAACGGGTGCACAGTGCACGACAGTGCACGAGCGCGTCACACGAGAGAGAGACCCGTGGTCCCGACCCGCATGCCTCAGTCGCCCTCCTCAGCCAGCGCCCTCTCGAGCACTCGTAACCGCTCGGCCAGAGAGCCCTCTCCGCTCATCGGCGCTCGGAAGATGTACGAGCCGGCGACGAGCGCGTTGGCGCCCGCCGCCGCCGCGAGCGGGGCCGTCGCGGCGTCGATCCCTCCGTCGACCATGAGAAAGGGAAGCTGCGGGTGTGCCTTCCTCAGCGCACGGAGCCGCGCCAGCGCGTCGGCCTGGAAGGGCTGCCCGCCGATCCCAGGGTGGACGGAGAGCACGTTGACGAGGTCGACCAGGCCACCGCTCACCAGCCGCGACACCGCCTCGATCGGCGTGGTCGGCGCCAAGCAGACGCCGGCGCTGCAGCCGAGCGATCCGATCGCCGCCGCCAGCGCCGCCGCGCGCTCCTGAGCCGCCGCGCCCAGCACCTCGGCGGTCGAGGCTCCACTCTCCGCCATCGTCTCGATCTGAAAGGTGATCCGATCGGCGCCTGCAGAGGGCCAACACCTCCGCGGTGACCATCTCATGCGCCGGCTCCGGCGGATTTTGTATCAGCGGGTGCCGGCGCTCGCGCATGCCTCGACGTGGTGCTCCGGCTCCCGCACGTACAGGTGCACGTCGACGCAGAGCGAGGGAGCGGCCCGCCTCACCGCGGCGATTGACGCGGGACCGAGCGACGAGAGGCTTCGGCCGCACTCCGCCGAGCCGTCCGTCACGTCCACGTGAACCCAATGCGCCCCCGACCGGACGAGCTCCTCGGCAGCCGCCGCGAGGTGGCCGACGTCCGCCGCGAGGAGGCTGGGCGACACAACGGCCGGACGCCCGCTGGTGGTCGTTTTACCATCGGGCGCCGCAGCACTTGACGTGCTGAGCCACAGCACGAGCAACAACATGCTTCGCGACGTGTGGCGACGAGGGTGTTCGCACGCGACGGTGCGAAACAGCTGTGTTGCTCGCCCACCGGAAGGTGTATCTAAATACAGAACCTCGGACTCGCGAGGAGAGTCCGACTCCCGAGGAGCAGCGTGCCCAAAAAAGAATCTGTGCGCACTCCCGTGCCCAGTGTTGTGCAAAAAAGAATCCGAGACTCAAGGCAACCGCCCGGCTGCTCAAGCACCCGCGCTCCGGAGCGTGGATCGAGATCACTCCCGGCAGCCCTAGCCAGGCCCGGCGCGCTGGCCGCGACCGCGACCGCGGCCCTCACTTGAGCCCGAACTGCCCGCCGGACATGTCGGAACCGTCCGACTATAGTGACTAGCACACCTCTGTCAAGAGTCCCCAGAAACCCGAGGAGTCACACAGTCCACCTGTGTGATGCACGCCCTGTGAGCGGGGCGGGGTGCGCACTGTACCTCTGTGTTCGTGTGTTGCCCATCTCTACGGGAGATGACTGCTCTATTTATTTATTTATAAACAAGACTTGAATCAGTACTATTTTTTTGCTTGGGGCGGCCAGCATGATGAAATCTGGAAAAACCTGACCGGCCCCTGCCCTGCCCCTACCTACCTAGGGTGCCCACAGGACCCAAAAGAAAATAGCTTTCCGGCTCAAAAAGGGACGCACGAGGCAAATCTGATGTTGGAGTGTTCCAATAGGAGCGAGGCCTCTTCCGTTGGGGGACCGAGTGCCTAAATAAATAAATAAATAAAACGGACACCTCTCTAGTGTGAGATGGATCTTTGTGCAGGGTTCTTTGTGGGTGTGGTCGGCGACTAGCCGGGGTCGTCCTCCGACCGAGTGACTAGGAAAAGAGGGTCCCCCGGTTTGTCACGCGCGAGCGCGAGCGTGACACTGCACTTGGCGCCGAGCGCCCGCGGCTCAGACCTTGTGCAGGCCACCCCTCGGTGACCACGCCGGTCCGGACCGATGGCGCTCGGTGTGGAGCAAGCAAGACCCCCCCCCCCCCATCGGCGCGCGCTCGCCATTCCAACGGCCGCCAGGAGCACCAAGAGGACTCCTCATGGCTGTGGTCAAGTGGGCTTCGACCGGCCTCGGCTGGGGGGGCGGGTTGTCCCGGCTGCGGACGCCTTCTGCAGCCCCCTGGGCCCGTGACAGCACCCCAAAACTGCCCCTCGGCGGCATACAGCACTGCCAGCCAGCCTCTTCCTCCTCCTAAGGGCTGTACTATAGGCCATATTGCGCCGCCTCCTACTGGCAGCCGGGCGGGCGCGCGCCGCGGGCGCCTCGGCGCGCGCACGGCTCGCAAAGTTCGAACGAGTACTGCCGCCCGGCCGCCTCAAGGCTGCCGGGCGGCAGTACTCGCCTCGCAAGCACGCGTCGTCACTCAGCCGCGGAGAACAGGCGGTGCTGTGCGCGAAGCGCGCGCGATCTCGTACTTTTAAGGCTGGATCCGGCCATTCCAAGGGTATACCTTTGAGAATCCCCAGCGTCCCACCCTCCTAGTCACACTCTCAATATCTCGACTATCCAACATGAAGTGCTGCGATCGGGAGTGCCCCATTTCGTTTTTCCTTTCTTTTTTGGGTCCTGTGGGCACCCTAACCTACCTACCACCTACCTACCCTACTTATGGGAAACTAAAAAAGAAATCACTGAGCGGGGTGAAGGTGGGGTACTATACCAACTAAAGTGATGGCTGGTGGTACTCTCCTGCAACCACAGTCCTTCCTGTGGCGCATGGCAGGCCACTCAAGGCCATACAAGCACCAGATCACCCACTTTGGGAGGGTAAAAGAAAGAAAACATACAACCCAAGGGAGGGATGGGAGGACGGCACGCCGCCACCACACAGGGATTTTAAGGAGAGGTGTGTGATGCGCTAGCCGTCGCCCACCCTAGGGAGTCTGCCTCTTCCTATCTCTCTTCGCAGTCTCTCGCCGCTTGGGGAGGGTTGACATCGTGATTTCGCCGGAAAATTCTTTTTTTGCTGTGAAAATTCCGGCGTGAAGAGAGGGGAAAACCCGACGGGAGGGCCCAGACCTACCCTACCTACCCCGTCATGCTGGCCGCCCCAAGCAAAAAAAGAATACACCTGCTTGAATGCCGGCATTCAAGCAAGCGAGACGACGCTAGTCGGCTCCGCGACGCGGAGCGCTGCATGAAGGCCGGCAAGCCGCTCACGGTGCGCGAGGCGTCCTTCATCAGCTTGCTGATGGGACACACCGAGCGCACCGGCGCGGCCACCGTGCGCTTGGCCCGAGCCGACTCAGCAGCTCCGGCCCAACCAATCCGGCCGCCGACGGGAGGGCGAGCAAAAGGGAGAGCACGCGCATGGGCCAAAATGTCCGTTACGCATCCTTGGTGCTCTGTTTTCTTTCTTTCTTTCTTTCATCCATCCCTTGGTTTCTCGAGCTTGGTTTCGCCCTCCTTTTTATTTTTTATTTAGGGCGGGGTCGTGCACGACATGCAGCTTGCAGGCAAGCGGGTTTCTAAAAAAGGGTCGCCCGCCCCTTCGACCCCGGTTAAGTGACTCGTTCGCTTTCCACCCAGACTGTGATTTTGTGTGTATAGTGACTAGTGTGAGCTCTGCGTCTCGACTCTGCGTCTGCCCATACCGACGCATACCCGCACGAAGCACTCTCGAGGTTGCTAAGAGCATCTGACTATCCCGGATCCTGCTGAACAAGTTCCTCTTGTAGCTCGATCGGTCACACCGCCACCACCGCCGACGTCTCCCGGTGAGATGATGGAGAGCGAGAGGGGGGACGACACTGCTTTCGTTCGACTGCTTTTGCAGCGTGAGATCTCCGTGCACCCCGATCCTGTACCGTGTGTTTGTTATGAGGACCCCCCCCCCCCCCCAATGAACACTCCAGTGAGGGAGGGTGAGACGATCGAGGGGTCCCGTACCACGCGGAATCGACCCTATCCGGTGCTCAAGTGCTCAAATTGCCGGGATTAAATTCGTAAAAAGATCATCGCCCCACACCTTGATCCTTGTACAGCGCCCAATGGCAAGCAATGGGACAGCATGGCTGGCTCGGTCTCGTGCTGGCTACTGCCTGGAGACAGGGTATGAGTTCAAGCCATCTTGTTCAGTAGACGTCGCTGGTGCGCATATGCTTCCCGCCGACATCCGCAGCTGGACCAAGGCAGCGGAATTCTGCCTCGCAAAATTCGCAAGATGCAAGAATGCACGCTTTGTGACGGTGTCGATTAAGTTCAGGGACTGCTCCTGGGCCTTCCGCTGTGAGATGAAGCACGTTGGCTCAGTTGACCCCGCCTTCCGCTCGGCTCCGGTTTCTGGTAGCCGCGCCGAGGCCCATGAGATGGCCAATGGCGTTTCCATGGAGACATCTGTCGGCCGCGTGGTACTGCCGCCATATCCTTCTATTCGAGACCGCGGCTCGGTAGCTGTGCTCTACTCCGGCCGCTACCACCTCCAACGCGTGACCCAGACCTGGCCAACGCACCTGCGCCTGCTCGTGCAGCCCACCGCCGCGGCTCTCTTCGTCTTTGTGTCTCTTCCGACTGAGGGAGGGAGACTAAGCGGAAACGTAACCTGCATTGAGATTGGAGCGCAGCTTCGGCCATGGTTGGCCGGCTGTCTCGTTGGGACGACGCCCAAATCGCCACGCCCCCCCAAGGTTGGGAGTTTGCCGGGCTTGAGCCAGACACCAAAATGGCTGAACGAGAGGTACTGGGCGCAGTACGAGAATCTGCGTCAGGCGAATCAGCTGCGTCTCGACCACGAGCGTGTTCGTGGCACCCGCTACACTTTTATTGTCCGCGCGCGCCTCGACTTGTTCTTTGAGACCCACGCTCCAGTCGGCCCTTTGGTGGAAGCGCAGAGCAAGTGGGTCGACAAGTCGAAGTGCTGGTTGGCCGTGGCGCTGCCCCCTGAGGTTGCGCAATGCGCAGCATGCACGCGGACGCTCAGCCATTATCAGCGTTTCGTCAGATTTTCACTCTACCCGTCGGACCATTTCATGGTCTTCACATGGCTCGCCGCCGCTGCGCTCGACTCGTTTCCTGGGAACATAATGCGCTACGCAGGTCACCGGTGCAGAAACGGTGTGCTGCATAATGCAGTAGAAGGGTGGCTTCTTCTGGAGCTGAACCTGTCGAACGTCTCGCTGAGCCTGGTCCCGCTCAGAGGCGGCGGCGCTAGGGGCAAGTACCTGTCGTTTGACAGCACACGGAACCCCGCGACCACGCACATGCTTCGCTCGACAGAGATTGCCACAGCCTGCGTGACGGACGCGGGCTGCAACCCCGACTTTGATCTTCCTCTGTGTGGAGGGTAAAACCAAAGAAGGAAAACAGACCAGCACCCAAGCGCCAAGGGAGCAGGGACGTTTGGCGTGTGGTCTGTCGGGCATGGAAAGTCGAAAATAAAGAAAGAAATCCTCGACGAGGGACCCCTTTTGAGTTTTGTGTTCCGGCTCCTACCCAGATAGGGGGTCTGTTCACCACGGTGACACCCGATGTTAGGCTGTATCCATATTTCCTGATTCCTCGCGCACCCGTCTCGTTTCCTTTCCGTGTAGCGTGTTTCTCCACAGCACCCTCTCGTTTCCTCTCTAGTTTCCCGAGGAAACTCCCATGGAAATCAGCAGCAGGTGTGCTTGGGCGCGCCCAAAATCAGCCAAAGCGCGGCAAAATAGCTGGGTATTTTGCGGTATACCTGGAAAACCCCGGGTATACCTGGAAAAATCCGGTATTTTGCCGATTTCCTCGGTTTCGCCTTTCAGATTTTGCCCCAGACCAGCTCTCAGACTCAGGCGTCAGGGAAACTCGAGAGTTGCCAGATATGGAGCACCAAACACCCTCTAGTTTCCCTGGAAATTTCCGGAAACGCCAAGTGCTGGGGACCCTCTCGTTTCCTTTTTGGTTTCCGGAAACATGGATACACAAAACAAAATCTGGATGGAACAGGCCAAACATGCAACAGGTAGGTAGGTCCGGTTTTGACCGCCCCAGAGGGCCCTACAACAGGTAGGTACCCCCTTTTTGGGTCTTTTTTCGCTTCGCTGCGCGGCCTGAGGATAGGTAGGTAGGTAGGGCGTTTTGGCGCGAGTCATGCCGCAGCCCCCCTATCTGGGTACGAGCCGGAAACCCTGCCTGAACCAACGGCAAAATGGCGGCAACCTGTCGGTTCTCCGACAGCCACGAGGGTGGGCACGTCCTCTTTAGCCCCGACGGGCGGCTCGTCGCCGCCGCAGCCATGTACCGACTCGTGGTTCGCGACGCGCGCACGCTCGAGATCGTGCACGTCTTCGCGTGCGTCGACCGCATCGACATGCTCGAGTGGTCTTGCGATTCAAAGTACGTGCTGTGCGGCCTCTTCGCGCGCGGCCTCGCGCAGGTGTGGAGCGTCGACCCCGACGAGGCGGACTGGCACGCCAAGATCGACGAGGGTCCCCTCGGGCTCGCGCACGTGCGCTGGGCGCCTGATGGGCGGCATGTTCTCGCGACCTCCGACTTCCGGCTGCGCGTGACGGTCTGGTCGCTGGTCGACCGGTCCGTGTCGTACCTGCAGTACCCAAAGTTCGCCAAGGAGGGGCTGTCCTTCTCTGCCGACGGCCGGCAGATGGCGCTCGCCCACCGGAGGGACGGGCGCGACTCGGTGGGCTGCTCCCAGCCTCTTGGGGAGGGGAGGGGAGGGGGAGAGGGAGGGGAGGGTCGAGGCGGTGCTCGCCCTCCGCCCGAGCAACCGGGCCGCCCGCGGCGCGCGCAGGTGCAGCTCGTCCAGACGGAGGGCTGGGCCGTCTCCCTCCGCTTCGAGGTTGCCAGCCGCGACTTGGCCGACCTTCGGTACGCGCCGCGCGGTGACACGACCCTGTGCGTCCTCGACGGGCTGCTCGAGCCGCAGGCCCTCGTCTACCGCGAGGGGCTCCTCCTGGCCACCTGCCGGCTGCAGCCCGGCCCGGAGGGCTCCTCCCACCTCGGGCCGAAGGCGCTCAGCTGGAGCCCCGCGGCCGACCTCCTCGCGGTGTGCGGCCACGACGAGAGGGTGCGGCTGCTGCACCGCGGCTCGTGGGCGCACGTCGGCGACCTGCAGCACGGCGCCGAGCTGCTCGAGGCCTTTGCGCCCGACGCGGTCGCGTACGTGCAGGTGTCGCGCCAGGGCGGCGGCGCGGCGGCCGCCGAGGCGAGCTCGTCGGCTTGCGACACCGAGGCGGACGCGGAGGCAGCGGAGCTGGCCGAGTCGCTGGCGGAGCTGCACGCGAGCGGCGGGCGGCAGTACGTCTACGCGGCGCAGAGGCTCCCCCTCTCGCTGCCGACCGTCCGCCCCACGCCCGAGAAGCCCAACCCGAGGATGGGGGTCGGGCTGGCGACGTGGTCGGCGGGCGGCCGCTTCCTCGCGACGCGCGACGACGGGGCGCCGCGCGCGCTGTGGGTGTGGGACGGCGCGTCGCTCGGGCTGCACTCGCTCCTGCTGCAGGCGCACGCGGTGCGCGCCGCCGCGTGGCACCCCACGAGGCAGCTGCTCGCGCTGTGCACCGGCATCGGCGCCGTTGTCCTCTGGTCGCCGCGCGGGTGCCAGACGGTGCCGCTGCCCGAGGGGCGGTCCTTCCGCGTGTGCGGCCTCGCGTGGGGCGGCGGCGGCGACGCGCTCCTCCTCCTCGACAAGGACCGCTTCACCCTCGCTCACGTCCAGACCGGGACAGAGCCGGAGCCTCCCCCGCCGGCGCCGCAGCTCGACCCCGACCTGGAGGAGGAGCTCAAGCGGCTCCTCGCGGCCGAGAAAGGCGACGAGAATGCGGACGCGCAGTACGAGTACCTGCCTCCGCCGGACGGCGCCGGCGCGGAGTAAGGCTCCTCGCGGCCGAGAAAGGCGACGTGAGAATATGTGCGGACGCGCAGTACGAGTATATACCCGCCGGGCCGCGCGCCGGCCCGCCGGACGGCGCCGGCGCGGAGGCACATGACGGGCACCGCGTTGAGACTGTGCAAGAGGGTTTTCGATTACACGAATTACACGTGCTCAAGTAGCGTAGCTCAATGTTGGGCGAGATCTCGGGTGAAATTCTGAAAAACGTGCAGCACTTCTAGCCGACATCGACAAAAGTCACTCTCTAGCCCCGCGGCGAGCGGCCCCGCCGGAGGCGAAGAAAATTTTGCCATCTAGCGCTCTCTAACACACATTTTTGCACAAATCGACGCCTCCAAACAAGTTCAATAAGACTGGTCTTCACTGCAGCACGCCTCGAGCGAGTAATGCGTCTGTAGGCCAATATAATAGAGCTTCTCGCGCGCGCTCCTCACGAGCTGGCGGTCCGCAGGGCCGCCCGGGCCGGGCGAGAAGCGCAAGCCCGCCAGCCGCACCATGTGATTCACGATGATGAGCGTCTCGGCCTCGAGCAGCGTGTAGGAGCGAAGCTTGCCCTCGCACTCGCGTTGCTCGAGCCTGAGCCACTGCGCCTTGACCACGAGATAGCCCGCGGGGATGGTGTCGGTGTTGACGACCGTGTCCTCGGCCAGCGTGTACGCCTTCCCCTTGAGCACCGCCAGCCAGTAGAGCCCCTCGAGCGACTGCTCGCGCCGATCTGCGCGGCGACAGCGGCCTGGACAAGTCCGGCCAAGTCGGTTACGGGGAGGGCTACTACGAGGTCTTTGCGCGGGGGTGGTCGGGCGCCAGGCGCCCAGTCGATTGCCGCATAGTTCGTCGTAGTAGCCCTATCATAAACCTCTTATTCACACCTTGCACTTTGAAAGAAGAAATATCCGACCTTTGTCGAAGATCCGGAGGGTTTATCAGAGCATCACCCCCCTCTCGTCCGTCGTCGCACTGCACGCACACCGGCGTCGCGGGTTGACCAAAATAATAAACAAATGGTTCACACTCACTTCAGGCCTCGCTTTTCGAGAGCCGCGAGCCGCTTCTCACGCTCGCTCATGCCGCTCGCCTCGCCGGCGCTGCCGCCGAGCGCCTGGCCCTCGCCGGCAGCGGACCACTTGTCGCCCTGGTGAGCCACCACCAGCGCTTCGAGCGCCTCAGGGTTGGCTCCGCGGCACGAACCGACCTCTTTCTTGTCGCGGAAGGCCTTGAAAGTTGGCATCGCAGAGACGCGGCACTCCTGTGCGACTTCCTGATTCTCGTCCACGTCGATCTTGACAAAGCAAACATGGGAGTACTTGGCGGCGAGGGCCTCGAAGATGGGCGCAATCATCTTGCACGGCCCGCACCACGACGCCGTGAAGTCGACGACCACAGCCTGGTTCTTTGCAGCCGCGTCAGCCAGCAGGGCGTGCCACTCCTCGGTAGTGGCGATGCTCCTCATCTTGGCTGATCAGCGTCGGGACCTGTATGTGGGTGAGAGTGCAGAACGGCGAGAAAACGCGTACTCTGGCCTCCAGTCGACTCCTCCCCCATCCCTCGTCTGGGTTGGTCTGTTTTCTTTCTTTCTTTCTTTTCCAGCCAGGGCCATACCCCCCCCCCCCCCTTCCCTCGCCCCACCGCCGGCCGCCTTATCTAATGGATGGCCACTGAAAAAATGAAAAATATGACATGTATGAGGGCCCAACTTCAGAATCGTGCTTTGAGTTGGGTTGTTACGTGTTGGGTTGGGTTGTTGGGTTGTTCCGTGAGGTTGGGTCGTCGGCGCGAATGGTGAGGTCTCGACCGCCGCCGCTCACGCCAGCGGACGGCCACCATCGGTGTTTTTGGCTTCGCCACCGTCCAAGGCGTGCGCCATGCGCTCGCCGGCATCGAGCGAGCAACGTGATCGACCGAGCGGCTTGCTGTGTGGACGCCTTCTTGTGGCTCTCGTCGAGAGCGTTTTGCGTCCCGGCGGGTGGGAGAATATGTGTCGTCTGATGTGTCACTGTGTACGTCACATCGGTCTTGATAACAAGCACGGTCGATCCGTCGAAGCGATACACTCGTTCCTATCACGCTGGAAGGCTGGCACGGAGCTCTGTGCCGGCACACAGCAAGAGCCGTGCGGCAAGAAGAGCTCGATGGGGAGCGAGAACCGTCAGAGGTGCTCACCCAGGTTTCGGAAGTCCGCCTTGATGCGGTCAGTTCCCCCCAGGTTTGACCGCGCAGCTCGCAAGACTCGTCGAGCACTCGCAGCCTTTCTGCGCCTCTGACTCTGCAAGCTATGCGGGAAGAGCAGTTTATCCGCAATATATCGACGAGTTCGAGAGAGCCACAGGCTTTCGCTCGGGAGGGATTGAGTGCATCGCGACGGACTTCAGGTTACACCTGAAAATCTGACGGTTCTCGCTCCCCATCGAGCTCTTCTCTTGCCGCACGGCTCTTGCTGTGTGCCGGCGCAGAGCTCCGTGCAAGCCTTCCAGCGTGATAGGAACGAGTGTATCGCTTCGACGGATCGACCGTGCTTGTTATCAAGACCGATGTGACGTACACAGTGACACATCAGACGACACATATTCTCCCACCCGCCGGGACGCAAAACGCTCTCGACGAGAGCCAGAAGAAGGCGTCCACACAGCAAGCCGCTCGGTCGATCACGTTGCTCGCTCGATGCCGGCGAGCGCATGGCGCACGCCTTGGACGGTGGCGAAGCCAAAAACACCGATGGTGGCCGTCCGCTGGCGTGAGCGGCGGCGGTCGAGACCTCACCATTCGCGCCGACGACCCAACCTCACGCGGAACAACCCAACCCGGGCCAACAACCCAACCCAACCCAAAAAGCACGATTCTGAAGTTGGGCCCTCTGTATGCGGAGGCGGCCGAGGCGGCCCGTAAGGCGGCGGAGCTCGCCGCGAGAAACGCCAATGGTCTTGAGCTGTGGAAAGCCGACCGCAGCACCGCCGGCGCCGTTGTCGCGTTGCGAGACTCGGCGCTTGGCTACTGCTGGTGCTTCGTTCCCGCCGCTGCCGGTAGCTCACGCCAAGCTGATGCACCTTCAGCCAGCTGCTGTCCCCGACTTTTAAAGTTACCAAAAGGAGCGCACAGCAGTACATACATCGTGTTCACGCGTTGCCCGAACAACAGAGGCGGATAACGCCGCGGGTCCCACTAGTACCAAGGAGGGCTGCGCATTTTATCTGCGACAAGGACGTACGCCGATACCCGCGCGCCGAGCAAGGAGACATCGCGCAACAGCGCTGTGCGCCATGGACAAGACGACGGTCGGGCGGCTCTCGAACAAGTAGCAGCGCGCGCCCCTGCCCCCGCCCTCCCCTCTCCGCTCCTCTCCAGCAGCGCGCGCGCCCGGCCGCAGGTACGGCGACGACGGCTGGCCTGGCAAGACATCTCCGTACCCGTGGCCGATCGTCGTGCTCAACCAGTTTATTCGCGAGCCGAGCTACTACATCGTCGGCTTCGTCTGGAAGCTGCGCGGGTGCTGCCGGAGCAAGAAGTCGAAGCCGCCGGTCCTCACGAACGAGCCCAAGCAGATCTCGTCGTCGTCAAAGACGGTGCTCTTCATCCGGCACGGGCAGGGCGACCACAACGCGAGCCTACCCGGCTGGAACCTGGTCGACCCGCCGCTCAACGCGACCGGCCTCGGGCAGGCGAGGGACCTGCACGAGCGGCTGGGCGGCACGGGCGGCCCGCTCAAGGACGTCGAGGTCGTGCTCGTCTCGCCGCTCACGCGCGCCTTCCAGACCGCCCAGGGCGCGTTCGGGCACGGGCCGGCGTTTCAGAACCGGGAGCCGACGCTCAAGCCAAAGTGGGTCGTCTGCCCGCTGCTCCGCGAGCGGATGGGCGCGCCCTGCGACGAGGGGCGCCCAAAGGCGCAGCTGGCGATGACGATGCCCGAGATGAAGGAGATGGAGGGGTTCGACACGATGAAGCCGGATGTCTGGTGGACGCCGCACTTTGAGTTCGGGCTGTACGACCGCATCGCCGAGCTCGAGGAGCAGGCGCGGGGCGCCGCGCCTCTCGCCTCTCGCACCGCACCGCTCACCGCCCCTCTCGCCGCCTCACTGCCCCGCTCGCCTCCTCACCGCTCCTCTCGGCCCGCTTGCCCGCCTGCAGATCCTCTCGCGCCCCGAGTCGACGATCGCCGTGGTCGGGCACGGCGGCCTCTTCACGCGCATCCTGGGCTACCACCTCCACAACTGCGGCCACCAGTGGACCTCGTGGGATGCGGACTAAGCGCCGCCCAGCGCTGCGGCGACCCCAGCAGCGCTCGGAGCCGTGGGCTGCGGAGCGAGCTGGGGCTGCGGTCCGAGGGCGGCCACGGCCCACCGCGACCGGTGGGAGCTCTCACCGGTTGATATTGTGCGTGCGCCATTATTGCCTGCGGGGCGTTTCACAGCTGCCTCGCCGACGCAGTGCCGCCGCGTGCCCCGTGTGCCCCGTCCACACTGTCACTGGTCACTGTCGATAGAAACCCCTGTGTGTCTTGTTGATTAAGGTCAGTTCTGAAAGAAAGCACTTGGAGCACTTGGAGAGCAGTCATTAGCCTCACATCCAGGGCCGGGAGCTAAGCGCTGGCACCCAGCGGGCCGGATGTGTCCACCCGCAACCCGGATGAACGAAAGAAAGAGAAAACGGACAGCCAAACAAGGGGTGGGAGGAGGACAAGATCCCCACCTGCACGCGAGCAGGATTTTGGAAGGACGATCAGGGACACAGGGGAACGGGAGCGGGGAGCGCATCGCGACACGGAGGGCGAGGGGGGCTGGGCCGCAGGGTTCACCCACACGACAGGGTCCCAGGGATTCCCCTCTCGTATAGGACAAAGTCGCACCCGGCGGCACGGGGGCAGGCACGGGCCTCCTACTGGTTGCGCTCCGCTCTCCTAGTTCTCCTGCTCCTTGACAAGGGACCGACAGGATCGCGCGAATCTTTCTCTCTTCCCGGCTGGCCACTGCGATTGCATGCACGTCGCCCTGGCCATCGCCGCGGCGTCTACTCGCGCTTCTGTGGAAATGGCACCGTCCAAGTCGCCCGGCGCCTCGTCCGACCGGCCGCTGCCGACCGACACCTACCTCTCCGAGTACAGCAAGATCTTTGACCACATCGGCATGCTGGAGGCTCGCTCCCGCTCGCAGCCCATCTCTCCCACAGCGGCGGATGCGCTTCACCGCTCTCGCACCTGGCCGCAGGACATGCAGAGGATGGCTGCCTACCACGACGCCATCAAGCGGAACGCCGCAGTGCACTTCAAGGGCAAGGTCGTGCTCGACGTTGGGTCGGGGACGGGCGTGCTCGCCATCTGGGCGGCGCAGGCGGGCGCGCGGCGCGTGTACGCCGTGGAGGCCTCGGGCGTCGGCGCTCACATCCAGACGATGGTCGAGGCGCACGGGCTGGCCGACACGGTGACGGTCCTGCGCGAGAGGGTCGAGCAGGTGGAGCTGGCCGAGCAGGCTCGCCGCAGCCCGCCGCCCGCGCCGCCGCGCGTGCGGCCTCCGACCTCCGCCGCGCGTGCCCACTCTGTGCAGGTGGACGTGATTGTGTCCGAGTGGATGGGCTACTTCCTGCTGCGCGAGTCGATGGTCGAGTCGGCAGCCGCCTCGCCGGCTCGGGGTGTGGCGAGGCTCGGACGCCGCGGCCTCACCGTCGTGCGCACGCGAGGTAGGTGCTCCTCGCGCGGGACCGCTGGCTCAAGCCGGGAGGAGTCATGTACCCTTCGCACGCGCGGCTGCTCCTCGCGCCCTCCGCGCTGCCCCGCTTCCTGCTCCGCCGCCGCGAGGAGATTGCGAGCTCGATGCACGCGTGGGAGCAGCTCGCCGCCGAGCTGCGGAGCAAGTACTCCCTCCGCCTGGACGCGCTGCAGGCCTCGACCCGCCGCCCCGCCCCTCGCACGCCCCTCCGCCCCCCCCGCCCCCCCGCCGCCCTCGCGCCACTCCCGCCGCCCCGCCGCCCTCGCCGCCCGCCGCCCTCGCCGCCCGCCTCGCAGGCCGCCTACGAGCGCGAGCACCACGAGTACGCCTTCTCCGAGGCGTGGCAAGGCATCCTCCCCGCCTCCCTCCTGCGCGACGAGCCGCAGGTGCTGCTCGAGGCGGACATGCACTCGGTGACGCACGCGCAGTTCTTCGACTGGCAGACCGAGGTACAGTTCGCGCCGCCGCACGCCGACGAGCCGCAGCACGGCCTCTGCGGCTGGTTCGACGTCCGCTTCTGTGGCTCCGAGTCGCAGCCCGCTCACGAGTGCGTCGAGCTCGACACCTCGCCCGAGGCGCCGCCGACGCACTGGGCGCAGACCACGCTGCTGCTCGAGCGGCCGCTCGACGGGTCACCGCTCGTCGTCGCGCTCGCGCAGAACAGCGGCTTCCACCACGACCTCAACGTGACGGTCTCGTCCGGCGCGTGGAGCGCGTCGTATGCTGTGACGGCCGACTTTCGCGGCGGCGAGGACTTCCTGGAGGACGCGGAGGCGGAGGAGGGGGAGGAGGGGGCGTAGGCGGACGACGCCACCTCCCCGCGTCTCGGACCTGACCCGCGACGACCGCTGGAGAGACGCGTGCGCGGAGAGAGTGGCGGGCCCTGGCGCCCTGCAGTGTCCTTCTCTGCTGAGACGTCTCGCGCACCCAGGGCCCTGCCGGCCCCGGCCGTACGGCGCTCTTCTCTAGATCTCTCTGAGGGAGTCTGACCTCTCCTCGTACCTCGAGAGTGCACAGCACCTCCCACACCTTGAAGGGGTGGGGGAAAGCTGCTAGCTGGAAAGGAACGGCGAACGCGCCGCCGCCCCAGCCACGGGGCCCACAAATTCCGGAACCCTTCGCTTGGGAATTCTGTTTTCAATTTTCGATAATTAAACATAAAAACTCGTGAGCCTTCAGGGGCCCTTCGCGCCCCACAGATTTCTCCCTTCCGCTCTAGCGGTAGTCTAGCCTGCGTCTCGGTCCTGACTGCGTGTTCCCTCCGGCCGCTCCCACTGCGACCGCCCACTCGGGGCGTGGTGAAAGTAGACGGCGCCCGTGGCGGGGTCTACTCCCGAGACCCACCCGTCGGGCAGCTCCGTCGCCGCGGCGGCCTGCTGCTGCTGCTGCCATTGCGGCGTCAGCGGCGCCTCGCCACCACTAGGCCCCTCTGCACCTGGGTACTCCTCAGCCACCGGCGTGACCACCTCGCCCGGCGTCATCTCCCACACCGCGGGCTGTGCCGCCTCCGGACCGCCGCCGCCGCCGCACGCCGCCGCCGCCGGCCCCTCCCTCCCGCCGTTCGCCTCGGGCCGCGCCGCCTTTGCCGCCCTCCCCTCCGCCTCGAGCCGCTCGTAGAGGTCGTGCTGCGCGTCGCGCCGCCGCTTCGCCTCCTCCGCCGCGCGCAGCGCCAGTTGCCGCGAGTGTATCGCCCGCTGCTGCTCCGGATCCGAGTTGGAGAAGGTGACGCGCAGCGCGGGCCCCCCCTCCGGGTCGATCGGCCTCCCGTCCATCGCCTCGGACGCGAACTGCGCACACGCGCGGCTCCGGAAGCGGACAAAGCCGGTGCCCGGCGCGACGCCCGCCCAGGTCCGCAGGAGCGCGCCCCACTCCGAAAACTTCTCGAGGGAGGCGCGCACCTCTCGCTGCGAGGCCGCCTCGTCGAGGCCCGTAACGAAGAGCAGGCAAGCCGCGTCGACCGAGGAGGTGCGCCTCCGCCCAAAGATGTCGTAGTCGATGCCGTCGGCGGAGAAGGCCATGCGCTGCTCCTCGACGACGGACGGCAGGCGGTGGAGGTTGACGCACGCGGCGCCGTCCCGGCAGGCGCCGCGCGCCCAAGCCAGGCATATCCAAGCGCCGCCTCGCCTGTCGCCGGCTGTCGACTGGGTGTCGACCTCCGGCCAGCAGCGCGGGAGCGCGGGCACGGCGCCGCTGTCGCCGGTGCCCACCGCGTCGATGCCCGGCGGGAGGTCCGACATGGCGTGCCTACTGGGACCCAGCGCTGACTTCTGAGTCGATGCGGTCTTCCCTTTCTCGACTGTCTGAGCTTGTGCGTCTTGGGGAGCTTTACGCGCGTGCGCGGGGTTGTGTTTTTTTAATGTGCTCTCGAAGGAGGACTCTCCTGACAGGGTTTGCGATGAGGAGCGACCCGAAGGGTTTCTCGGAGGTTAGTGCACCACTAACCGCCGAAGCGCAAGCGCTGGGAGCAAGAACACTGCGACGTATCGGGCTCACACTAGCACCCCACCTCGCGAGCCGACGTTCTGGCTCAGCGAGGCTGCTGCGGAGCACTCGCGGACCGGTTCTTCTGGGTTTTTCAGTAGAACATCAAAAAAGGGAAAAATTGCAGTTTACTACGTTTTGAGCTTTTCTCTTGCAGATTACTACACACCACACAATCCACCTTGCAGATTACTACACAGACACAATCCACCTTGCAGATTACTACGCACCACACAATCCACCTTGCAGATTACTACACACACACAATCCACCTTGCAGATTACTACGCACCACACAATCCACCTTGCAGATTACTACACACACACAATCCACCTTGCAGATTACTACGCACCACACAATCCACCTTGCAGATTACTACACACCACACAATCCACCTTGCAGATTACTACTCATCACACATTCATCGCATGATCCGAGGTTGGTTTTTGCACCCGCAGCCCTTCCTGACCGGGGCGCCGCACCTGCGGCAACCGTACTGCCGAGACGCGCGAGGTGGAGCTGGCAAGGCAGGTGCGTTCGCCATCGGCCCTGCGTCGTCGGCGCCGGCAGCTGCGGTGAGGGCTGCGGCGGTCTGAGAAGCATCCTCGTCGCCAGAGGGTGCCACTGTTCGCCTCCTCTTCGCGCCCGACCCCTCGCCTGGAGACAGGATGCGGCCCCGCTTGGGCCTGCCTGGCTTGGTTGGAAGGAAGACGGGCAGCTTGAGCCGGCTCGGCGGTCCATCTGGCACACTGCCGGGGAGAGTGGCGGCAAAGTTGAAGTTGTACTGCGCCTGCCAGACGGCCGTGGTGTATTCGGAGTCGACGAGCTGAGCAATGTCGGGGACACCCTTTTTCTGCACCGCCACAGCCGCCAAGCACTCGCACGGGAAGCCGGTGACCTTCTTGAGCCCGCAAGCGCACGTCCATTCGCATGGCTGGCCGTCGCAGCGGACGAGATGGAACCAGTTTCGCGGCCTACGGCCCTGCCCTGGTGTGGTGTATGCGGGGTAGAAACGAAATGTGTCGGCTGCCGCCGAGTCGATGCGGAATCCTCCATCGCGGACACGATTCAGCAGGCGGGCGACCATCATCCGCATCCTTGGCGGGCATGCGTCGGTGCAGCGTGTGCTCTCCACCCTGCGGCCGTCACAGCGCTTGATGTCATCCTCCAGGAGCAGGCGCATCATCTCGAGCGGATTGGGAATGCCGCGCGCCCCGCTGTGCCTGGTGATGTGATTCATCTTCTCACCAAACTGCGACGTCGTGCGGGGTAACGGCATAGCCCACGCCTCGCTGTTTGGGAGGCTGGCTGGCATCTTGCCACCGTCCTCAGCAAAGGGGAAGAGGAAGCGCTGCGCCGGCGTGTCTGGGGTGTGGGTGACGTACTGCCAAAGGCTGTGCGCAACTTCTGCCTTTGCCTTCTCGTATGAGCCCTGGTTCAGCGCACGCGCCATGGCTTGGTACTGCAGTACAGCAACGGCCTTGCTGATGCCTCCCACAGTGTGAGAGGCGGCTGCAGCCGCGTGGCTGACGCACGAGAACTGGTGGGCCCGTGGCGCGTTGGCCGTGATGGCGGTGCGCAACTCGCGTCTGCCGTCCCGGACAAAGACAACGCGAGGGTCATCGAGCTCAGGGACGTCGGCAACCGCCTGGCGGACGGACGCTGTCGCAGTGGCATTGTTTTCATTGTCGGCAAAGTGCGCGTGCCCCAGAGGTAGGACATTGCGATTGGAGTCGATCGCCACAAACGATGCGAGCGTCCCTGTGTCGCAGTGAGTGAAGTCGTAGGCCAGGCAGTAAACTCCGTTTTGCAACACGTGGCGTGCCCACGCGTACATGAGCACAAAGCCGTAGAAGTAGTCAGAGTTATCCTCGATGCTATTCAGCGTCTCGCTGAGGCCGTGAACAGCATCATCTGTGAAGGTGAGCCCCGAGCCCTTGTTGTCGAACGTCCACTTTCGTTTCGCCGCCTCGCGCGCTACCTTGCGCACCTCCGTGCCCTTCTTGGAGAGGATTGTGACGCAGTGGCCGAGCCGTCGCAGCTCCTGCGCGTAGTTCTCGAGCTGTCCCATGTCGTCGGCTCTCGCAGCGACGGCGGTGTCGGTCGCACTCGTGCTCACATTCATGCCCTGCGCCTCTTTGCCTACGGTACAACCCGTGTCAAGGTGCGAGTCGCGGCGCGCAGTGGTCGCGGCAGGTCAGGAGAGGCGCAGCAGTGGACTGTCACATCTAAGTCGGCCACCGATGCGGCGGCAAAAGTCCTCCGAGGCCTCTGCCCGGAGGTACGGCTGCACCGCCGCTTGGACCTGCCGCCAGTTGCTGCAGTCGACAACCTGCTGCACAACGACCGACGCCAGCTCGACCGGCGTGTACGCGTGGAACCTCTTTCGCCGCTCACGACCCGCCTGCGCCGACTGATCGCAGGTGTGGTCGACTGCGTTCGTGCATTCCCAGACGCTGCCATCTGTGCGACGGCGGAATCGGACATTGAACATGCAGCCCTGCTTCGCGCACATGGCTGACGCGCGCTTCAGGTCGTACAAGGCAGTTGCAACCGACCGCATGGCCCTCTTTGCCGTGCTGTCGGCGTCCCAGACGTACTCGCCAGTCTCACGCTTCTGATGGATCGTGCCATTCCAGCGGACTTTGCGGGTGTCTCGCTCACTGATGGCAAGGATGCGGAATCTGACGTCGGAGCGATCGTTGGCCGTGTCTCCCACCGAGATGCTCATGGTGCTGGCCTCCGCCTGCGTGTATGGCAGCACCGACACGGTCGCTCCCGAAGCCGCCTGCCTCAGCGCCGCCGCCTGTGCTGCGTCCCCAGCTCGCCTCTCCGCCGCCAGCTCCGAGGCGGTCGGCGACGCCAGCGGCGAGGCGGTCGCTCGCACCAGAGTCCTCATGATGAGCCAATCTTCGACGTTCGGCTCGGTGGCGCCTCCCTCGACACAAAAGCTGGGGAAGGTGGCGGCGTCTCCGCTTGCGGCGATGGCAGGCCCGCCTGGTTGGTGTCGAGCCAGGGCTGACGTGAGGGTTTCCTTGAGCGTCTCCACTCTGCTCGAAATCTCGGGGCCGACCAAGACCGGGTTTGGCGCAACCAAGTTCGCCAGCGAGAAGGCGTGCGATCGCTCCTGGCCTGCGCGGGCAACGAACACCGAGAGATGCTCCGCCTCCCGGCCCAGGTACCACTCGTGCATGTACTGGTACTCGGCTGCCCCTGGCTCCCACTCGTGGATGCCGAAGCTGTACACGTGGTTGGTCGCCTCGTTCTCCCACTCGACGAGTAGGATCTCAAATGCTCCGCGCGGATCGGCTGGGCCGCGCTCGTAGAAGGCCTTGATGGTCAGCGTGCCGACGCCTTCCGCCAAGTTGCGCAAGAAGGCCACGGGAAACTTGCTCGCCCTGCTGGTCCCGCGCGGCGGAGTGCACAGGCCCATCGCGCGCAACCTTGTCACGCCTTTGAGCTGGAGGAGGGTGCGAAATGCCTGATATGCGCCTGGGCTCCTGACCAGCCGCTCTGGCGACCTCCCGTCCTCGAAGGTGACGTGGTTGCCGCCGGCTGACCACAGTACCAGCTCGCCGGCTTGCCGGCGCGGACCCGCCGCCGCATCAGGCGTGCTCGGTGCGGGCTGCGACGACGTGGCCGCGCCCTGCGACGAAGAACCTGCCCCGCTCGCACCAGACAACGAGGCGGGCTCTAGTAGCGCTCGTGCCAAGGCTTCGTCGTTGAGGATGCGCGGCTTCTGCCAGCGTTCGGCCCAGCGGTCAACGTCCCACTCGCCGGCGCCAAGGGCAGTGGCAACCGCCAGCGAGAATTCAAGGTTACGGGCGTTGTGGTCGGCCTCCGACAGCCTGGCCTGAAAGGCGGCCACGGAGAGCCCCCCCATTGTGCAGGCGTCGGCCACGTGCGGCTGGACGCCGTTCGTGACCCACTCCTGCGCCATCTGGAAGAGCTCCGGCTCATCCGCGTAGTGCGAGAAGTGGGGGTGCTCCTGCCGCTGCTGGCGCGCACCGCGCGTGGCGGAAGCTGGCGTGCTGTGTCCAGGAGAGGGTGGCGTGTTGCGTCCGGCGGAGGGTGGCGTACTCGAGCCGGGCGGGGGAGGCAGCAACTCCCTCATCGAGGCGGCGGCGATGCTCCGAGGCACCTCTCTCGAGCGCTCTGCCTCCTGCCTCGCGCGCTCCGCCTCCTCCTCCCTCGGCTGATCCCCCGACTCCGTCTCCGAGCTGTCGGCCACAGTACCCTCCGAGTCAGCTGCAGTGGCCGCACGGCGGAACCGCGGCGACGATCGCGGCGCCCCGCCGCGACCAGCCCGATTGCACACGTGGACGATGGTGTCCCATGTCAGGCTAGCGAGGCAGTCAGCATCGAGGGGCAGGGGCGCGGGACGCAGCGACGGGACAACAACGTAGTGATCCTCGTCCAGCCCGAGGTCCTGGAGCAGCGACTCGACGGTGACGCCGCACGAGGCCTCGTAGCAGAGCGGCCGCATCCCCCAGCCTGGCAGCCCGTGGACGAGCAGCTGCGTATAGACACGCCTGGCATACGTGGTGGCCGCGTGCCGCCGAGCATCGATGTACGGCGCGAGCAGCCCGATGCCAGGCAGCACGGCGCGTTCGTCCACCGCCAGCTTGCAGGCTTTGGAGCACTGCCGGAGCTTGAAGACGGGCGAGCGAGGCTCTTCCGCGAGGACGTCGGACGACGCCAAGCTGCCGTTGATGTGCTCCGTGACGAGCGTCACGAACAAGTGGATGGCGTCACCACTTGGCTCCCAGGCTGGGGCCGCAGCAGCCGGTGCAGGCGCTCCACCGCCGCCGAGCGCGTCGCCGCTCGCGACGCTGCGAGATACGGGGGCGATGATGTCGGACTGGTGCGGGTTGACGGCGACCTGCTCGGCGAGATCAGCCGTGTACGAGGGGCACCCGCGTGGCGAGACGATGAGGACGTGCTCCGAGGAGAGCGTGAGCGGCGAGACAATGAGCGCGTGCTCAGACACCTCGAGCAGCTCGGCAGACGGCTGGTCTTGCGCGACGACGGCCTCGGCCACCTCGGCCTGGAGCTGCAGCTCCTCAAGTTCGCGCAGCACCGCCTGCCTCGCCTCGCGCGCCTTCTTCGTCCACACAGCGTGCATGCTCGTGAAGATGGCCGCGAAGGCAGGCCATGCGCGGAGGCGCGACGCCCCTGCCTTCTGGAGCGACGCGCGGAGCGACGCGCGGAGCGGCTTGAGCTTGAGCAGCCGCTGCTGCGCGGCAGCGGCGGCCTCGGCTCGCTCCCGCTCCGCCTGAGCGAAGGCCGGCGACTGCCGCTCCTCCGCCGCAAGCCAAGAGAGAAAGTCGATAACGCGCTGGTGCGAGTCTCGCTCCGCGCGCCGCTCCGCGCGCTGGTGGCGGCGCTTACGGGTGCGGAACGCTGCCCGCCGCCGCTCGCGGGCCACCTCCGCCTCCGCAGCCTTCGCCTCTGCGCACGCAGCCTCCACCGCCGCCGTACGGAGCGCGACACGCCACCTCGACCGCCGCAACTGCACAGACGTGGCGGCGAGCGGTGGCGCAGCCTGCACTTGCACATCAACAGTGCTCTTCGCGCGAGCTGCGGCGGCGACGCGACGCCGGCGAGCCTGCTGCTGGGTGGATCGGAGGAGCCGTGCCTCCCGCGTCTTCCGCGCCGCGTCCTTGCGGTCGCGATCGGACTGGCGGCGTGCGAAGCGGCGCAGCTCTGCCTCTCGCCCTGCCGCCGCCTCTGCAGCAGCCTCGCGCGCCGAGATGCACTCTTGCGTCGCGAACATGGCGACGGGCTGCGGGGCGGGGACGACAGCGAACTGCGAGAAGGCACTGCGTGAGCCGGCCACCCCCAGCGTGTCTCCGACACCGCGTGCGTCAGAAGAGGTGAAGTTGGGGATGACAGAGATCTTGTTGGTCACCTTGCTAAAAGCCTTGATGGGGAGTAACGCCACCTAGAACATCGACGCGAGTGAAAATGGGGTGAGGTAGAGAGAGCGCAGAGAACTGCTCTGGAGGCGTGCGCCTCCGCCAGCGCCTCCGCCGCCTTGGACGGCTCCTCCTCGTCGGTGGAGGACGGCTCCTCCTCGTCGGACTGGGGCGTCTCCGCCACGGAGACGCCCGTGGTCGCGTCGTCCATGCCTTGCTGCACAGGCAAAGGCCCGTTGGAACGGTCAGAGCCAGTTGTTACTGAAGGCATGGTGGTGCCGACAGCGGTCGTAGTCGCAGCGCCGGCGTCGAGCTTGCACTCCTTTGCCGTCGCAACCGACTCCAGCGCCGAGTCCGGAGGAGCTGCAATCTTTACCTTGGCTTTTGCCTGAGCGTCGGCAAACGCGCGCCACTCCTGTGGCCAAAACGATCGATGGTGGGTCGGATGATTGTCGTCGTCCACGACGAGGAGGTCCCCCTCGCAGAAGGCCACCGCGCGATCGTCAGCCATCGCGTGCAGGCAATCCGGCCAGACAGAAGAGCACAGCAGACAATGACAATCCGGATTGGCCAGCGAGTAGGATGACGCCCGAATCAAGTTTCAGCGTTCAACCAGTAACGGATTCGGATTTGCAGGTGAGTAATCTGCGAGGTGGATTGTGTGGTGTGTAGTAATCTGCAAGGTGGATTGTGTGGTGTGTAGTAATCTGCAAGGTGGATTGTGTGTGTGTAGTAATCTGCAAGGTGGATTGTGTGGTGCGTAGTAATCTGCAAGGTGGATTGTGTCTGTGTAGTAATCTGCAAGGTGGATTGTGTGGTGTGTAGTAATCTGCAAGAGAAAAGCTCAAAACGTAGTAAACTGCAATTTTTCCTCAAAAAAAACAAAAATCGAAAACGTCAATCCCGGCCTAGCCGCCTCCTTCCGAGAGCCTCGACGATGCTCACCACTCGGCCTCTCTCCGGCGGCGGGAGGCCACGCCTGGTCGGAGGTCTTGCTGCGCTGCTAACGACGCTGGTGCTGCTCGCAAACTCGCGGCGGGGCGGGAGTGGCTGGGCTGTCGGTGCAGAGGAGGCAGCGGCCTCCAGCAGCACCGGCGGTGGCAGCACCGGCGGCGGCGGCGGCAGCGAGCAGCTGGACGCCGAGTGCAATCACTGCAGGTGGACTGCGGAGTGGGCCTGCCCGGGCGGCGATATTCCGGGCACAAAGGGCTGGGCCGAGCCGGACGAGTCGGTCTGCTTCAACCACTGCTGCCCCGACTCGTGTGCAGCGTACAGCGTGATCACCGGGAGCTGCTGGCGGCACAAGGCCCCTCGCGAGGTGCCGTACAACGAGGCTCTCGCGAGGACGGACGGGTACAAGCTCGTCAACGTGGCGCTCGGCACAGACTGCAGGGAGACGTGGCTCCTCTCCAAGTTTGCGACCGCCGTCACGGGCCTCGTCCGGCACGGCATCGAGTCGCTCAAGCTGCCGATGAAGGTGACGCGCTTTCTGCCGCCCGGCGCCGACCTGCACGTCAGCTCGATCACCGGGGCGATTGTCGTCCTCGACAACGTCACCGTCACCAAGATCCAGCCATCCGTGCTCAAGTACGGCTTCTGCTACGACGACCAGGAGTGGCGCGTGGACCAGAACTGGGTGCTGAGGAACACGTTGTACCAGCGGCCGCCCGACCGGATGATGGTCGTCTCGAGCGAGATCCAGGCCACCGTCAAGTTCGACTACGAGCTCTACCAGGACCTGCTGCTCGGCAAAGTGCCTCTCGGGGACGGCCCGCCGACTAGATGCGGGGCACGTCACTCTGTCAGAGACAGCGCCCGAGAGGACACGCGACAGCGCCCGAGAGGACACGCGAAGAACTGAGCTAGTGCTCGCGCCCTCCTCCCCCGCAGGCTCCGCGCAGACGACCGTCAAGGGCTTCCTCGGGCTCGACCTCGACCTGTCGCGCATCGCGACGAAGGCGATCAGCGACTGCGACGGCAAGTTCGGCATGACCTCCCTCGCCCTCGAAGTCAACTCCGACCTGCTCGGCGAGAACCTCGGCATTGAGGCGTCGGGCGCGATGACGAAACACCTCGTCGAGAGCTTCGCGCCGCTCATCGCCTCGCAGGTGACCCGTCGCCCCCAGCGACGCCGCGCCCCGCCCCTGCCGTCGCCTCGCCCTCGCCCGCCCCAGCGACGCCGCGCCCCTGCCCGCCCGCCCACCCCGCGGCCGCACCGAGGCCCACCACCGCCGCACTGCCCTCCGCCGCCGCAGATGCACGCCATCATCTGCCACGGGAACGGGCTTGCCGACGTCAACATCGTGCTGCACGACCCGCCCGAGGGGGAGGGCGACGTCGACCTCGAGGCGGAGCCGGTTGCAGAGGTGGAGCGCTTCCGCGGCACACGCCCTCCTTGCGCGGCTGCTGGACGGCGAGCGGCGCGCGTCTCTTCACGGCTCCGCCTGTGAGCAGGCATCGTCGAGGAGATCAACGAGCAGCTGGCGAGCAGCTTCGGGATGCTGGGTGCGGTGCAGCGCTTCGCGGAGACCGACGAGGACCGGCGGCGCAAGATGAAGCGCGACTGCGAGCGGCTGCGCAAGGCGGGCAAGGAGGTCTGGGGCGACTCGTGCCTCGGCATGAAGCGCTTCCAGAACGTCGACGCGGCGCCGCCGCCGCCCGCCCCGCCCGCGCAGCCGAGCTGGTCCGACATCTTCGTGAAGGACGTCGTCAGCTTTGGCTGGGCGCCGCAGGTGCCGACGATGGGCTAGCGAGGCGCTTGTTCGCACCGCCGCCTCCGGCGTGCGCCCAATTTAGGAATCTAGTCGATGTGTGCATGCGTGCTGCGGCAGCGTGGTCCATCAGACACACACACATGCTCCATGCAACGTCAGCAGCACCACAGTCGCAGTGGAGCGGCGAGTGAGGCCGCGGCCCGTCCGGCGCCAAGACGCGCACACATGACACATCACCGGCGCAACACCAGCACCACAGCATGCATTTCCCATGTCCAGTTCGCACAGAGTTGTGCCTATGAGCTTCACACTACGTTACACACACTCTCTCTCTCTGTGATCTCTGCGCGCGCGGGTGTGTCTGTCTCTCCCCCGGTCTCGGTCCGTCGCACCGTGACAAATACGTATGTGCAAAACACCGGCCACCTGGCACCCTCCCCGCCACACCCGCGGCGCGCGCCCCGGGCACGCCTCACACACACAGCCTGCTGACACAGCTCCCAAAATACGGGGTGTGGACCCTGAGTTGACCAGGGGTTGTGCGCTGGGCTCTCCTGCTCGGCTCCAGCCAGTAGACAAGTCTTGTCATCAACAGAGTAGAAGGATCTGACCTCGGGGCCGATGTGACCAAGCGCTGGTAGCGTGGTTTAACCTCACACCCATGGTATCACAGTGTGCCGGCAGTCGCCGAGCAGTGTCGCTCACACAAGCCGCAGCACAAGTGACTGAGGGCCAGTGAGGGCGAGCCCATCGCTGTCACAGCTGTGGCAGCCGCACAGTAGGCTGTGTCAACTGTGCAGAGTGTGTGAACAGCAGAGGAGCTGCTCTCCAAGCTTCAGGCGCAAAGAGCTGCATGCCGCCGATGGCGCTGTCGAGGTTCGCCGAGCGCGGCGCAGGTTGGAGGAAGCCGCCACCGACGAGCGCGTTGGAGTATTCACTCCGGACAAAGACGGGTAGACGCACACGAGCCGCGGTCGTCTACCCGTCATAGCGGCGAGGCGCGGGACCGTCTGTGGCGAAGTGGGTCGCGTCCTCCGATTTCCTCAACTCACGGTCCGCTCCCTCTACCAAAAACGAAATATGAGCTTTGTGGCATATAACGATCTGAGGGTTAGGTTTCTGGAGCCCCGGGTGCTTTTACGCTGCTTTTGATCCGGTCAGGGGAGTGCGACTTTTACCACTTTGGTCGTCTCGGAGCGCCTCCATAAGCTCGTTTAGGGTTTAGCATTTATTCTCAAAATTTTCCTCGGCGCTGCGCGCCGGGTGCAGATTGATTGCAGTATAGTACACAGTAGTAGTGGCTCTCGTCCCGCAAAGTACTGTTCCCGCACAGTACGCTGTATTCACAGCGATTGCGGCGAATAAGATACCACCCTCAATTGACAAGCAGAGCCTGACCAGCTATAACACCAACAACGGATACAACAGACGCAAAGTAATACGGACAATGAGCGGTCAACGCCTGCTGCGATTGCTTGCTGCTGCTATTTACTTCTGCTGATGAGAGAGCTCATCTGCTGGCGATCGCTGGGCCCAAGCCAAGCTGCGCTGCAGAACATCCATGGCTCCAGAGCAGACAGGTTCCACATGGCACGCCACTAACTGCTGCACCTGCCACTCATCTTTGAACTTGAGCAACGCCGCTCTCACCGCCTTGCAGTCAACCCGTGGATCGCTGTTGGCATAGGTTGGATAGAGCTGTCCAGATGAGAAAGACGGCTCGTAGTACAAGCAGTGGTTAGCACGCGCGAACCACTCTGGCGTGTTTGCAGGAAGCGTCGACGAGCCAGGGCCATATCCTTCATTATTTGTCTTGTACACATGGTCACAACCAATGAAGGTGCATGTGGCCTTGTGCAGAAAACAGTACTCACCCTGCAAAGACAGCCAGTCAAACTCAGCACCAATGAATGTAACGACCTGAGCAGCATCTGAATCACGACTGAGAAACAGATCAATGCGATAGTCTGGCAAGCTTTCTCCAGCTATGTAGATGGCATTCGGATAACGATCTTGGAACCGCTTCAGCCCTGACAGATGTGCTCGTGGTACAAAGGCGACCTTGACCTCACCTAGGCTGTCCAAAGCCACTTCCGCTGCTCGGCCGCCGTCAGTTTCGGAAAGCCAAGGGGAGTAAACAAAGAGGCCACCCTTACGCAGCTTGAGGACAATCATCGAGGAATTCCATGCAGGCCTCCCAGCACTCGTGGCCAGGCTTTCGTACTCCAAATCGCGCATAGACATGAGTCGCTCGTACTCCGCACGGTCCTCTGGCTTCATCCTGTCTGCAACACCCATCATGCCCGGGATGCGATCCAGGAAAAGCTCCAGAAAGCGCTTGCTCGTGGGAACCTCCCACCAGAACTGATAAATTGGCGCATTGGCAAAGACTGATATGGGTGGAGCCTCCGTACGCGGAAACGCCATGGACGGGGAAGTCTGTGCCGCAGCGATGTCGCATGTTTTCTTCTTTGAGAATTGTAGGACTTAGTGAGAGGGGGTGGTTGCGCGCGCCCCTGAACGAGAGGTGAAGGGTCCCCGACGGGGTCCTGTTTCAATTCTGGGCCTGGCGGTTCCCGCGCGTGGCGGGAGCCGCAGAGTTGCGTGGCGGTCGGTGCCCAGGCAGGGGGCGGAGCGCAGAATTCCGCCGCGCGCGAGAGGCAGGAGCGGAGCGGAGCTCCACCCGAAGTCGTACCGCGGAGCGGGGTTCTTTCTGGTTGGTTTTGGCGTAACAAGAGACAGTGCTCTCGTTGTGGGTCTGCAGCCTGGATGCAGCCTGTGCCGCACAATGCTTTCTGGCGTTGTAAGATTCTTTCTGGCGGCATGAGCGCGTCGAACACAATGCTGGCCACCTGGCTCTATTTCTGCAACCTTCGAATCGAAGCCTTCGTTCACAAATTAGCTTTTTCTCTCGAGCTTTCTCCACGACACTGGTGAGTTTCGCGATTTACCATTTTGCATTTCTGCCCCGAGAGCCTGTGCGGCTTTAAATTATGATTTATGCACGTTGGTATATGTAAAACTAAAGAGGTGGGCGCATGAAGAGGCGCGGGAGCCGGGACGCAATAAAATGACGTACCACACATGGCCTGCCTGCTGCCTCGCTCGGCCTCGAGACAGACTCGACAGGTGTACACGGTAAACGGTAAACGGTACAGTACGGAGACATGCGCACGTACGAGACAAACCTACCCGCGCCCTATGATCATCTACCACCACGAGCTCCAGGCCCCCGGGCCGGCGGCATCGCTCACCGCCCCACCACGCCCTGGGCCGGCCGCCGACGGCCGAGGCGCCGCCTCGATCGCTGCCGCGACCGCCTTGACGTCGAGCGTGGCGTCGGGACCTGCGGCGACCGCTCCGCCACCCTCCTCGGCCCCATCCCGCGCGCAGAAGCTAACCCGCTCGGCGAGGGCGGCGGGCAGGACCGGCCGGACCACCGACCAGAGCATGCCAAAGGCGGCGGGCGCATCGAGGATGACGAGGGCTCCATACTCGCACGGGAAGGCGGCGGTGAGGAGGCGCGCGTAGTTGAGCTGCGTTAGGAGCGCGCTCGGCATGACGAAGCTGCTCACGTCGGCCGCGGTCATGCCCGCCAAATCCTGCACGAGAGAGACGCCGTGCGAGGTGCCGCCCTCCTCGCGCAGCAGCAGGTCCTTGAGCCACCAGACGTGCGCGCTCGCAACCTCGTCCAGCGTGTGCCCCGCGTCAAGCATGCGGCGCAGCGCGTCGAAGCCGAGCACGATCACCGGCCGCCCAGCTCCATCCCGCCGAGCAGCGAGCCGTGCGACGCCAAAGCGCAGGCGGTGGGCAGCCTCGGCGTCCGTGCACGGCCCCACGCCGGCGGCCGACCACGAGAGGTTGGACCGGACCAGCTGAACGCAGCCGTCGGCCGAGCCGGAGGCGTGCCACAGGAAGCACCGCAGCCAGCCGGGCTCCTGCCGAACGAGCCTCCGCATCGCCGCGGCGACGGCCTCATCCGCGTCCTGGTGAGTGGCGATGGAGAAAATAGCGGCGGTGAGGCTCGGGTCGGCGAGCGAGGATGCGGTGGACATTGTAATCCACAGCGGACCGCCGTATCTTATTTAATAAGTTGCGGGTCGAGGGTGGCGGCGTGCCTTGCAGGAGCGAGTGGTTCCGTGCGACTTATACCAGGCCACGCACCCGGCAACAGTTCGACGCGACGTAGCGAAGTTGGAGACTGGGTGGGTGGGGCGCCGGATGGCGACATGGCGAGCATTCCGAGCAAGCTTGGGAGCTCAAAGGGAGGCAACCCGGCAGCCTTCGCTGGTCAGCATGCGGGACAGCTCATATCACAGATTACTTTCTTGCAACAAACACCCTAGCAAACACCAAACAAATCTAACACTCACATCATTTGGGGCCTCGACATACAACAAAAACAAAAGCTATGAAGGGTTACAGTCTGTCGGGCATTAAGAAAACGTAGCATTAAGAAACCCTACCAAGCGATTTCCGCGAAAATCTAAGAAACCACGGCGCGCCGCAGGCGCGCCGGCTGGCAAACGCCGCAGGCGCGCAGGCCTGCAGGCCCGCGCCAGTGCCGGGCTGCAGCCGCAGCCCAATACTACGCCTCCGCCCCCTCCGTCGCCTCCCCTTCCGCCTCGGCTGCCCCCGCCTCCACACCTCGCCCTCGACACACACTCACCCAAGTCCCTCCGTTGATACAGTCGGTTGGCGTCGACGACCACAAGGTGCCGCCCAGGGCGCTCCGGTGTGCATATGTACCGTACCGTCTCGAGTCTTGCGACCGTGTACGCATATCACGCGCGCAACGTCTAGTGTACCATGTCGCATGCGTTTTTTGCAATACACGCGTAGAGACCCGAATGAGCAATGAAAGCTGACAGAGACATACATCTGTCTTCTGCTGAGGGAGGGTGTACGTGTAGAGGATGTAGAGTGCAGCTGCGCTGTAGAGATGTAGAGCTGTAGAGCGCTCTGGAGCGCTGTAGAGCTGTAGAGCTCTACATCCGCCGCGGGACGAACTGCGTGCGTTGTAGAGCGATGTAGAGGCGCTCTAACAACGTGAAATCTCTACAACAAACTCTACATCATAAGCGGCGAACGAGGCACGGTCGCTCTCCGATATGAGGCGCGTTGCACTTGCCAGTGCTGCCCTGGCCTTCTGTGTGACCGCCCAATGGGTGGGAGGTGCCTCTGCTGCTGTGGCATGCCTCACGGCTGCGACTGGCCGGCGCCTCGGCGCGTCAGCTCGGCTCGGCGTAGCGATCGTGGCCAGCGCAACTCGCTTGGACTCAACGCTCAGCCAGGAGCTCCCGCACGCGCTGGCGCGAGTCATGGCGCATGCAACGCGTCTGAATGCTCGCCTCGCCTCGCGCAAATGCGACCGTCCTCGCAGCCGACAGTCCACCGCCTGCTAAAGAAGCACTGCGACGAATGCGGCACCGGCGACGCATGGCAGGCTGGTCATGACGCAGTTATAGGGTGTTGTTTGCCGTCAGAGTGACTCTCTGTGTGTCAGGGATAGTCAGGGCCGTCCATCAGAGCTCCAGTAAGCTCGGAGACACCCCATTAGTGCGACTCGACCTCTTTGAGTCACTGCCTTCCCGGCGGGTTGGCTGTAGAGCCTCTACAACAAACTCTACAGCAAAATCGCGCTCTACATCGCTCTACAACGCACCCGCCTCGTCACGCGGCGGATGTAGAGCTCTACAGCTCTACAGCGCTCCAGAGCGCTCTACATCTCTACAGCTCTACAGCGCTCTACACTCTACATCCTCTACACCCTCCCTCAGGTCTTCTGACTTCTCACATCGATGAGACCACGTGAGGTTCTCAGAGTGCGAGAGGAAACGATACAGTAAGTAGACAGTGCTCTGAGCTCGAACTTTACCGGTATGAGACCGGTATTTGGTGATATTTTGATTAATTTTGAAGTGGTATGGTATAGTGGTATGCGAAAGAGGAAAGTGGTATGCGGAGTGTTGATTAGTGTAGCGGCTGTGGGTGTGGTCCCAGGTGCCAGGAGGCGCGAAGCCATGCAAAAGTGCGGGTATTACCCGGGTATACCCAGGTTTTTGCAGGTATACCCGCAAAATACCCGGTATTTTGCCGATTTCGCCGATTTCGCCGCAAAAATGCACTCGGACTCGCTTTGTGGTTTCCGTTGTGGTTTCCGTGAGGCAGGTGGTATCCCACTTTTTGATTAGTGCAGGCCTAGGGTTTGATTAGCCAAAAACTCCCATACCGGTAAAGTTCGAGATACGTGGCTGGGTTCACAGCGATTGTAGGAAAGTGTCGGGACCAAATCCCGGTCGCGGCCTTCCGACTCGCGTCTCCGCCTCACTGGCACTATTGTAGCCCTGGCCGGTGCGCGTGCGGAGTTGAAGTTCCGGAGTGAAAATTCGAACGCGTTCTCTCACGGTGACCAAAAGATGTCCACCTCAGAGGCACCTCCGGAGGCAGGCCGCCGCACGCCGGCGACACAGCTCCAGCTGTCGAACTGACCCGCAGCTCCTCTCAGAGCGGGAACTGTGACGAACGTTGACTGAGGCGGTTGTCAGGAATCATCATACGGATCACATGGTGGCTCTCTCGTGACGGGAGACCGCCCGACCACTCCTGGGTGGCACTGCCACCGGTGTCGCTCGACGTCCTGTCGACAGCGTGCCGACAGCGACACAGACCATGTGGTACGCGTCGAGTATCGACCTCTACTGCTTACCCAGCCTTCGAGTGTATCCTGGCTGTGGTCCCACACCCACTGGTGTCCATCTCAGAGACCGCAGGAGGTCATGAGGGTCGATGGGAGTGCCAACCCCACAATGCCTAAAAACCCAGCCCAGTAAGTCTTACTGCGTGTGTCTGCTAGTGGGGGAAATGGTGATTTTTAAATGAACGCCTCGCGCAAAACCACCGCTACCATGCTCCAGAAGACCCTTGTGGGCTATCATAAACACCCAAGATCACGCACTAACTCGAAAGTGGGCCCGAGATATGCCCGTCAACCCACGGATTTTTTCTGCCCGCGCGGGAGCCTAGGCCCGGCGGCGCACCAGCGGTCGTGGACGCGCTGCCGAGCTTCGCGGTAAAGGTACGCGCTTCCGAGCTCCGCGGAGATAGAGCCCATGCCCCACGCTCTGCGCCAAAGAAACTTGACCTCGCTGAACGGTCGGCACTCGTCCGGGCCGCGGCAGTAGGAATCGTCGACGCAATTGATGTCAAGCGCCCAGGGCCATCGTGGGGCGCCTGAGCTGCAGACGCACCGCCGCACCACGGGATCGGGCGTCGGCAGCTCCGGGAAGGCCGCCTTGAGCTGGTGGATCGCGCGCCTATAGCTGGCTCTAGCCGCCAGCCCCCTCGCCTCGGCCTCTTCTGCCTCCGTCAGGTCGTCGTACTCCTCGGAGAGATCGGGAACTACCCAGTCGCCTAATCTTCCTCGGCCGACAATCGTCCCATCTCTCACGCACTCCTCGAAATCGCGGGCCGCCACCACGGCTTCCGCCGCGAGCGTGGAGCCGAAGATGCCCTCGGGCCGCGTGTCGCCGACCATCAAGCAGTAGTCGTCCACCTCCCGCGCGACGATCACCATCTCCTCCTTCGCCTCGCTCTCGAAGACTTCGGAGTCGTCATCGATAAGCTGATGCAGCCAACAGCGACCGCCCTGCTGGAGCAACCGCCGCGCCACCGCCGCCTCGTGCTCTGCCGTCATGAGCAGGAGGCGGTTCGCCGTCTGATCGGGCGCTGCCGGCTCGACCTCCATTTCCGACTCGTTGTGGGGCTCGGCGGGCGGCTCCGGCGCCTCGGTGGCGACCTCGGGCTCGACGGAGGCAGCGGCCACCTCGGAGGCCTTGCGTCGCTTGCGCCTCTCCGCTTTCGCGGTCAGCGGCATCGTGCAGCGGTCGTGCAGCGGTCGTGCCCCTTTCCTGAGGGCGGAGGTGGCGGCAGCCATCAGGACTGCGCCGAGGCACCCTCGGCACCATCGGAGGAGGGTGCATCGCGTGCCAGCGGAGGCGGGAGGGTGATGGCTGTGAGCTGAGAGGGACACAAAGAGGCCAAAACCGAACAGAATGGCGGCCACCTGCCTGACTCAGCCTCGGCCGAGAAAATTTATTCCCAGACTGAGCCATTTCCCCCACTATGTCTGCAAATAGGATATACGAGATTTAAGTGTCGTTCTCTCGTTCGCGTCTTATTCTGTATTCTAAAAGTAAAAACGAGCCGTGGACGTTTGCCATAGCGCGAGTTTTTCTTCACAGCTGTATACACCGTCTCCACAGCTGGGCATCGGGCTCACACACGACCTCGCGACGATGACTGTGCCACGCACACGGATCACGGTAGCGGGCTACGTCTAGCGAGCTACGTCACACTCACACGGCGGTGCTTCGCGGCCGCGCTGGCCCTCCCTTCGTCCGGCGAGGCCCGCTTCGCCGCCTCCGCGTGCTGCTCGCCTCGCACAAAGGAGCAGTCGGCCACCTCCGCGGCCGTCCAGCGCCGCTCCGGGTCGTAGCGCAGGAGGCTGGTCGCCAGCTCCGTGACGGAGGCTCCTCGCACGGGCGCGTGCGCGAGCCGCTCCGCGAGCGGGCAGGCGGAGACCGCTGGTGCGGGAGGCAGGCCGGCGAGCGCATCGCGGACCCACTCGGCGTCGTGCGCGGTCTGCGTCAGGCTTGGCCAGCCGGGCGGCGGCCTGCCGACCGCCTCGCCAATGGCGCGCAGCTGGGCGGCGAGGCTCGGCGCCCCGCCGCCCGGCTCGCGCGGAGCGGCAAAGGCGGGCGCGCGGGTGGCCATCTCGACGACCACGCAGCCGAGCGCCCACTGGTCGATCGGAGGGCCGTGCTGCGGCGCCGCGGCGGCGAGCAGTTCCGGCGCGCGGTAGGCCAGCTTGACCACCTCGCCGTCGCGCGAGAGCGGCGCGGGCGGGTTGAGGAAGGGGCGCGCCATCCCAAAGTCGGCGAGCCGCGCGGCGCGGAGGTCGGCCGAGAGGAGGATGTTGTTGGGAGAGACGTCGCGGTGCACAAACCACTCTCGGTGCATGCAGCCGAGCGCCTCTGCGACCGCCCCGGTGACGCGGGCGACGGCGAGGGCCGTCAGCTCGGCCGGGCGGTCGGCGAGCGCCGCCTCGAGGGTCGTGTCGACGTACGCGAGTCCGATCTCGACCTTGCCCCCCGCCATCCACGCGCCGAGCTGCTGCGCGAGGCAGGGCGAGCAGCGGGTGCGCAGCCGGCGGTGCGCGAGCAGCTCGCGGTAGGCGGCGAGCGGGACCCCCGAAGAGCGGCCGAGCTGCTTGCACACCTTGATGGCGATCTCAGAGCCGTCCTCGCGCCACGCGCGGTAGACAGTGCCGTAGGTGCCCTCCCCGACCCTCACACGCGACTCGCCGCCGAGAGGCGTGCACGCCGGCGGCGCCGGGGCGGCGGGAGGCTCGCACGCCGACGGCGGTGCGGCGGGCGGAGGGTCGCCGGCTGGCATGGGCGCCACCTCCCTGAGCTCCTCCCCCACCGCGCGGAGCTTGTCGCAGCAGCCCGTCGCCGGGTTCTCCTCGGTGGCGTGCTTGTTGGGCACCTGCCCCTCGGCTAGCTGGGCGAGAGCCGCGCGACGGGACGACGGGACCGAGTCTGGCGCCTCGCCCTCGGACGCCCCGCTCACAGCCGCCTCTGCCGTCTCCGCTGGCGGCAGCACGTGCGACGAGGCAGTGACGGAGGCTGAGCGATGCCGCGTCTCCGAAGCGGTCGTGGGGGCAGGGGAGGTCTTCTCGCGATGCCACCGCGCGAGTGCCACCGGATTCGGCGCCGGGCCGGCCTCAAAGCGCACGACCGGACGCGCGCCGCGCTTGGAGGAGCGAGCCGGAGCCATGGACGAGTCCTACTCGACCGGACGCGCGCCGCGCTTGGAGGCGGAGTCCAACGACGGAGCGCGAAAGAGCGCGAAATCCGTTTTTTTCTTCTGCACATGATGCTGGTGCAAGGACGGAAAGTGTTTTCCCGGATTTCCTCTAGAAATTTCAAGAAATTCTAAAAAAGAAATTTTCGGGGATTCAGGATGGCATTCCGCTTCCGCTGGCCCGGCCGCCTTGTCAGTGTGCCTGTGGTAGTGAGAGAGTGCGAGGCAAGTGGGTGGTCTGATGCTTGTAGGGCTTGAGAGTGGCAGTCGTGTAGGCATGCGCGATCCATTGCTCGGCTCGCCAGACGAGAGCAGCCCTCGCAGCTTCGTTGCGCTCTCGTTTGTCGTGGCAGCCTTGGCCGCTCTTAGCATCGCAAGCATTGTGATGGGCGAGACGGTGACGGAGCGGCTAGCGCAGACCGCCAAAAACCAGATGGCCGGCGCCACGGAAATGACTTCACAGACGGCCAGTGCCAAGACGGCCGGCGCGGAGAGTCGAGACGGCTTCTGGTACGGCGTGAGCCTCGGCGGCTGGCTCGTCATCGAGATCAACCCCGCGAGGCGAAGCAGCGTCTCCTCCCCCGACGTGCGGCCGCAGTGGATGTTCGACGAGGTCGAGGCCGCGTCTGAGCTCGACTTCGTCACGACGCTGCGCTCTTCCCGCGGCGACGCGTACGCTGTTCGCACGATGCGCAACCACTGGAGCAACTACATTTCGGACGACATGCTCGACGCTGCAGCGGCGCTCGGCGTCGACGCCGTGCGGATTCCCGTCGGCTACTGGATTGTGGACGCGCCGGTCAACAGCAGGTCCGGCTCCGCCCTCGAGTACGGCTTCTCCCCCGAGGGATTCGTCACCGGCGGGCTCAACTACCTCGGCCGCATGCTCGCCCGGCTGCGGGCGCGCTCGATGGTGGCGCTGATCGACGTGCACGCGCTGCCGTGCAACAGCGGCTGCGTGAGCGACGGCATCGATTGCGCAAACCCGCTCGCCTTCTCGGCCGACGCGCTCGTCGGCGACATTCCCCGTTGCACGGGCGCGTGTGAGCTGACCGGTGGCGAGCGGGTGTGCGACGGCCAGGTGTACCACACGCGACGCGGCGGCGGCGGCGGCAGCCGGCGGTGGGTGGACGTCGGCCTGCGGAGCATCGCCTCCCTCGCCGAGTGGGTGGCGGCGCTTCCCGCGGCGGACGCGGCGGCGGTGGCGGGGCTGCAGCTCGCCAACGAGCCCGCGCTAAACTCGGACGGGCACGACGACGCCGTCAAGGCCTACTACCGCGCCGCGGTGACGGCGGCCCGCGCGCACCTTCCGTCGCTGCCGCTCTATCTCTCGTTCATTCCGCCCAACGACGAGGCCGTGCCGGCCTTCGTGGCGGGGCTGGTGGCGGCCGGCGCGGGGAGGCTCGTCATCGACCAACACTGGTACCTGAACTGGGTGAGCCCGCCCGGCTCCCCGCTCGGGTGGGAGGAGATGCACCGGCGGGCGTGCAGCGAGGCGGCGCAGACGTGGCGCCCCTACGTCGCCGCCGGGCTGCCTCTCATCCTCGGCGAGTGGAGCCTCGCGACGAACCACGACGAGCACGTGGACATCGCCGACGCGGCGGCCAGGGCGCAGCTGCGGCGCCTCTTCCTCGCGCAGCTCGCCGCCTTCTCCGCCGACGCGGGCGTGCTCGGCGCCTTCTTCTGGACTCTGCGCATGGGCTCGGGGTGGGACCCGCGCCCCACCGACGCGGCGCCCGACGGCAGCCAGCGCGAGGGCAGCAGCGCGTGGCGCAGCCGCGACGGCTACCCCTACCGCGTCTGGTCGCTCCTCGAGATGGCCGAGCAGGGCGTCGTGCCGCGACGCGAGGAGGCGATGGCGGCCGCCCGGACAGTGTGCCGTGGGGCGGGCGAGTGAGGGTGGCAGACTGGCAGTACCGCGTGCGCCTGATGCGTGGCGGCCAAGAAATAGACCGGTGTCCTTACCTAACCAATTGGCATCCTACCAACCATCTTGCACACTCGAGACCGTAGAAAGCTCTACGTCTAGGGGGAGAGTCCGATGCACAGGCTTCTGTGTTTCAGAGTTTGTGTGTGTGGCTTTTCTGTGCCGCGACGCGCGAGGACGACGCATGACGGCTTCTGGGTTCATCTGTGAGAGTCGTGATTTCTCTCGGTCGGGACTCGGCTTCTGAGAAAAGCCGGCCGCGCCTTGCTTGTCGTGAGCGAGAGACTCGAAAATTCTTATTCGAGGCACGAGGGAGTTTGTCGGACAGGCGAGTTCCAGGGAGGCCGTCAAAAAAATCGGCGCTCGTTCCTAACACGGCACGACGGCACCGGGCACGGGACTGACGGCGACGTGGCACTTGTGAGCTCACTCAGGGCGATCGACGGCGACGGCGGCGGCGAGCAATTGTGAGCTCCGCGCTGCTTGTGAGTGCACGGACACGCGGCGCCCCGCGCATTCACCAGGGCCGGATTATTGTTGGTAAGTCAGGGTGTCAAGCAATTAGGGCCACGCCAGGACCAGAAACCGGCGTGAATCACGCCTCGCTGGAGACGTTTTACCCCTCCTCAGACACGGCAGAACCAGACACCAACCAGCCATGGGCGACGTCGCGAACCTCTCGACGGCATTGCTTGAACAGATCTACGGGTCCCATGAGGCAATGCACGCGTTCGGGCGGCTTGTGGTCTCGCGAGCAATGGGAAAGGCGGGGTCTGGCGTGACGACGATAACGTTGACTGATGCCTCATATGCGCGCGCGTTCCTCAACTTTGTGCACGTCACCACGAACGTCTCGGCGACAACCCCCGCAGTCCTTGCGCTCGACGCTGAGACCAAGTGCGCCATGGATCACCTCGGCGTCGCTGTGGTGCGCGTCTGGCGGCCTGCAGGGTGGGATCGCGACCGCTGGTTTCTGGTCCTGAAGACGCATCCAATCATGATGGCACTCGAGCGCGGCGTGCGCGTGATCTTCTCCGAGATGGACTGCTTCTGGCTCCGCGACCCGCTGGACTGGTTGCAAATTCGTGTTGTCAACGAGCCCAAATGCAATGGGTGCAGGGAACCGGCCGACATGCTCGTGGAGCAGCATAGCTTCGAGCGCTTGGGAGAACCGAACTACGGCTTCTTCATCGTCAACTCGACGATCGAGACCATTCGATGGTGTCGAGGCCTGTTATCATGGGCGTTGTCTGAGCACTTTGAAAGCAAAATGGACCAAAAGGTGTGGTACTTTGCGCTTGCCGGCGTCAATAACAAGACGGAGGGCGCCGCGTACAGGGCGGGTGGCATCGCTGAGAGCGCACTGCAGCACCGACTGCGGTTCAACCACATCCCGTATGAGGCCCTTCCCCATTTTGGGCGCTTCAATGGCGGTCCCAAGATTCGCACTGCCGACATTCATTTCGTTCGGAGCCACGCACCGTTCGCGATTCATATGTGGGGCGATGCAGGACAGCAACGCATCGGAAAGGCAGCGCAGATGGGATCGCTCTTCATCGACGACGTGAGTACTGCCGGCGGGTGCAACCATACCTCGAACTACACCTGACGCCATCACCCAGCACCCACCGCGCAGCAACGAGGAGGCGAGCTCGACCGCGCAACGCATCGCGCGTTGGACGGGAGGAGACGGCGAGGGTGGACCGGAGGGCGAAACGATCTGCTGGGAGGCCCCGGAGCGCCCTCCTAAGCGAGGAGCCACGCGCCGCGAAGAAGTCGCCATGCACAAGCCCAATCGCCATGCTTGCAGAGAGTTGCGGCGGATGCCCAACCACCGATGTGTCACGGCATGTCAATGCAGATCCTCAGCCAGCACGCCATACTAGTGCATGCTTGGTGCATGGCGAGTCCTCTGTCGGCGTGCATCGGGTCGGTGCGTCAGTTTGTCTCCGCCGCATGTGCTCAGAGTGCGAGGATGCCGCCGAGGATGATCGCGGGCATGAGGATGTACTCGGGCAAGTAGTTGTACTGTATCGCGCGCCTTGGGAGGGGGGGGGGGGGTGGCGGGGGGCTTTTTTCCGGACGGGACACAAGGTCGAAACAACGTAAAGCCGGATTGTGGATTCGCTGTCCGCGCTGTAGACAGGAGCCAAGCCGTCGTCTCTCAGCTACGTCTGCTCTGGCGTTGGTTGCGGTCTCGCTGGCTCCTCAGGGCCTCAGCAAGTCTGTCCCCGCTAAGCCCCGTCCTGAGTGCTTCACCGAAGCTGCCGCCCGTGCCTCTGCCACCTGGCTGAACCGCTACCGCTGCTCGAGAGGTGTCAAGGCTGCGGATCAGGCGCCCGTGGTGACTCGACAGCGACAGCACAACACCACATTACCTGCTACGGTAGCAAACTCTTGCTCTCTGCTGCGCGCCTGCCACACGGTCCAGCTCGTTCGGAAGGGGCCGCCACCGCAGGCGATCGCGCATCATCCGCCAAACAGCCAGCATGGAAGCCCGCCACTGCTCACCCGCATTGTTGTAACAATGGAGTATCGGAATGCAGGCCGACTTGGCAACATGATGTTTTTGTACGCAGCAGGTTTTGGTATGGCTTGCCACAGCGGCGTCAGGCTGATGCTGACAAGCTCAAATCGAAGCCGGTCTTTCTGTAATGCCTTTCCAGCAGCCCTAGCTTGTGACAGCGCGGCCATGCATAATGACCCCGACATGCGTCAGCCCTGGCACAATATTGAAAATGAGCTCCTCTCATGGCAGCCGCGTCCGTGGTGGCCGCTCCATCCTGGTCTCAACAGGGTTGGAGGCTATAGGCAGTCCCCGGCATACTGGGAGGGCTGTCATACGCAATCCCTTCGAGACCAGTTCCGCTTTGCCCCTGCGATACAGGATGCAGCCGCCCAGTTGCTGAGAGCACATGGATTGGTGGTGACATCGATTGATGGCCAAACACCCACCGCCCAGTGCGGCAGCGTTTACGCCCGATTTAACGACAGCACAGGAGACGGCTACTTTGATTGTCACCCAACGGAGGCCTTCTACTCGCAAGCTTTGCCGCGTCTCGCCGAGATGTTACAAGCGCGAGGCAAACCCAAATGGGTATTCCTCACATCCTCTTATGCAAGCACTCCCGCCCAGCGCGAGGCTCTGTACGCCAAAGGCAGTCGTGAGGCGAATGCCAGCGTTGTGGCCATCGACCATCGCAACCCCGCCGTCGTAATGTGTGCGCTGTCTATGTGTGGCGGTGCGGTGTTCAACTTTGGGTCATTCAGTTGGTGGGCCTCCTTTCTCACCGGAGGCCCTGTCGTCTTCGATGCGACACTAACGGACAGCACCAAGAGACGTTGGTGCTCATCATTTCATCATTGGCAGCCTTCCTGCGGTAGAGATGCCGAAGGTTTCGTGATGGCCCATCTGCCCAGTTCGTGGACGCCTATTGGCAGACCGAGCGGCCATGCGATACGCATGTGCGCGAAACCGAGGTCTCAACTGGGCTACAGCTCGCTAGCCGAGCCTAGCCTGCCGGCGGCGGCCCCGGCCTTCTCGTCTGCCGTCTCCTCGATGGGGGCGTCCTCGCTCCTGAGCTCCTGCTCGCCGCTCACCGTGCCCGCCCTCGTCCTCGTCCTCTTCGCTATCGCAACCTACGCCTCCTGGCGACCCGTTTTGGCGCGGGATGTGTGGCCTCGTGAGCCGTGTTAGGGGCTAAGAAAAATCTCAAGACACCTTGACGAGACGAACGCCCCCCCGCCTCTGGCGTCTCTGTGCGTCCCGCAGGGGGGCTCTGCCGTCTGCCCGGGCGCCCGCTGCAGTAGGGGGTGCGCATGGGGGTGCGCGGCGCCCCAAAATATGAGACCGACCCAGGTCGCAGTTCTCTTGCGCTTCGGCGGTTAGTGGTCACGAACCCGAACACCCTTCGGAGTCGCTCTCCTCATCGCAAACCCTGGTCCGCAGTCCGCCTTCGGGTCCGTACGTAAGAGCTACATACACTGAGAGAGAGGGCGTTAGGGGCCCTAGACTAGAGAACACCCGCCCCTTCTCCCTTTTCCCCCGCTATTAGTACACTGAAAATCCACCAGTGTGGGATTTTGCGCAATGCTTGACTCTGAAAAGCTCGCCGATCCCTGCGGTGAGCGCTGTGGTCGCCGCAGACTGGCTCCGACTAGAGCTGTTTAACGTTGGGAGCTGAACAGTGTTGCTAGTGTTAACAGTAACAACAGAACAACAGTGGGGCTCCCCAACAACAGTAGCTAACGTTAGGCCGGCTGAACAACAATAAGGAAGGCCTACCAGTGACCCACGACGATCTCCAGCGTCCAGTGCGGGTAATACCCGAAAATACCCGGGAAAACCCAGGTATTTTCGGGGTTTACCCGGTTTTTTGGGGATTTTCTGCTTGCTGACCGCTGAACAACAGTAACAACAGTAACAAACAGTAACAGCTTGGGCTGGGGAGAACACTTGAACAACGTTAAGGATTTCAGCCAACAATAGCGCAACTGTTAGGCCCAAAGTTAATGTTAAACAGCTCTAGCTCCGACTTGACGGCAGCATGGAGACGTGATGCCTCCAAATGCTGCCGTCGAGTTGAAATCGACATGCAGCTCGATCTTTGCCCCGCAGGAGGGATATGGCATATGCGGCCTTGCCCCATGACAACCATATGTCCATATCCGCTTGGCGAAAAGAAAAATAAACCGAGCACGGGACTGGCGCGCACTGGCACCGAGAAAGAATAAAATTGTCAGCCGCTGGTTGTGTAACAACGTTTCTTTGTTACTCTTTCGAAGGGTTCCGTCTGATCGCTCCTTTTGGTACATGCACATGCACATTCTGTCCGAGCATGCTGTCTGTGGACGCATGAACGCGAAGATCACCGTCGTCCGCGCGTGGCCGCGCCGACCCCTCCGCCTCCCTCCGCCTCGCCGTCGCCGCCGCCTCCGTCCGCCTCGCCATCGCCGCCGCCTCCCTCGTCCTCACGCGATTATGATGAACAGCCACAGCGACATACGTGGCCGAGATGTCTGGCCCCGGCCTCTGTCTGCGCCCCTCGCCGCGCCCAACACCTCTTCTGGCGCCCACACGCCGCCCCGCCGCCGAGAGCAGGCGCTGGGCGACTCGCTCATCATGCGCACTTGGAGCACTTGGAGTGCAGTCGGTGACCTCACATCCGGGGCCGGGGAGCTCAGAAGCGCACCCAGCGGGCCGGATGATCGCACGACTTTTTTCGCGGGATGAAGGGCCCCTGACTGCACAGCAGCAGCCCGACCCCACGCTCCGCTCGTAGCGACCCCACGCTCCGCTCGTAGCCTCTCGTCATGGCGCTCCTCGCTGTGGCGGTCGGCCCGTTGATCACGGGCTCTCGCTGCGACGTGCGCATGGGCGTCGGTGCGTCGGGCGCGGGCGCCAGGCGCGGCCGGCCCCGCGGCACGGCTGTCGTGGGTGGGGCTGAGCCTCCGATGCTCGAGGCGCACGCGGCGCTTGTGTCGGCGCTCCGCGGCCTGAATTTCGACAACACAGCGGTGCGGACGCTCGCCGTCGATCCGCAGCTGGGTGGGCCCGTGCGGCAGGTTCGAGGTGCGCATGTGGTGCGGGTCGAGCCGACCCGGCTAAAGTCGCCCGAGCTGGTGGCGACGAGCGAGGCGCTCGGCCTGCTGGGATTGCCGCTGGGCTCCGGCGGCGCGGAGGCCGCTGATGCCGGCGACGACGCCGACGATGACGCCGACGCCGACGCCGCGCTGCTCGACCCGGAGCGGCTGCCGCTCGCGATTCGGTCGGACCTCGCCGCCTATCTGTCGGGCAACGAGCAGCTGCCGGGGGCGGAGCCGTTCGCGGCGGCGTACTGCGGGCACCAGTTCGGCCGCTTTGCGGGGCAGCTGGGCGACGGCGCCGTAATCTCGCTCGGCGAGATTGTGAGCTGCGGGGGCGGCGCCGTCGGCAGCGAGTTGCTTGGTGGCGAGGAGGAGGGCGGCGGCGGCGAGGAGGGGTGCGGCGGAGAGGGGTCGGCCGGGGAGGAGGCGGCGGGCGGGCCGGAGCAGGATGGCGCGGTCGCGGCGGGCGGCGGCAGGCTCGGCGAGTCCGCGGGCGGCGAGGTCGGGAGCGAGGGGCGGTGGGAGCTGCAGCTCAAGGGCGCAGGCCGGCCGCCCTAGATGCTAGAGACCACCCCAGATGCTAGTGACCACCGCGCACTGTTGAGCTCCGTCGTGACGCTGCAGGCCCGACGCCGTTCTCTCGCGCCGCCGACGGGAGGAAGGTGCTGCGCTCGTCGATCCGGGAGCTGCTCGCGTCGGAGGCAATGCACGCGCTGCGGCTGCCGACCACCCGCGCGGCGGCCCTCGTCTCCTCGGACGCTCGCGTCTCGCGCGACGCGGGCAGCGACGGCCATCTGCGCGAGCATCCCATCTGGGAGCCCTCGAGGAGCCGTCGAGGAACCTTCCTGCAGGCAACAACGGGCAGCTGCGCGAGGAGCGGTGCGCGGTGCTCGCGCGGGTGGCTCGCTCCTTCCTCCGCTTCGGCTCCTTCGAGCTCTGCCTGAACGAGACGGACGGGCGGGAAGGGCCGTCGGCGCGCGGAGGAGGCGTCGGGCGCTCGCCCCAGACCTCTCGAGATGCGCCGAGATTGCCCGGGCCTAGGCTGGGATGACGGAGGAGGTGCTCGCGCCTCTCTTCGAGTACGCGCTGCAGCGCCACTACCCCCACCTCTGCAGCCTGCCCAGCCGCACGCAGCGCGTCGCCGCCTTTGTCGCCGAGGCCACGGAGTCTAGATGCGGGACATTTCCCGGACACTTCCCAGACACTTCGCAGACACTTCCAAGGACGGGGAGAGACGCTCACGGGCTGCACGTGCCCTGCCCGGCTGCACCCACGCTGCACCCACGCTGCACCCACGCTGCAGCCGCGCTCTTCTCTGCCGCCCCGCGCTCTCGCGAGGCTCAGCAGGCCGCTCTCGGGATTGCACCCTCGCCCGCGCCGCGCTCCCGCACCGCAGGTGGCGCGTCGGACAGCGCAGCTGGTCGCCGGGTGGCAGACGGTGGGCTTCGTGCACGGCGTCCTCAACACGGACAACATGGCAATCACGGGCGACACCATCGACTACGGCCCCTTCGGCTTCGTCGACCAGTGCGCGCCCATCGCCGCCCCAGCGCCCGCCTCGCATGCGCGCCACCTTAAGCCCGCGTTCCGGGCGCCGCCTGCACGCCCCGCAGTCGCCCGCCGCTCTGACGCGCCGCCGCGCCCGCAGGTTCGACCCCGACTACTCGCCAAACGACTCGGACGCGGCGGGCCGCTACTCGTACCGCCAGCAGCCCGCCGTCAGCGCTTGGAACTTGCGCAGGCTCGCCACCGCCCTCGCGCCGCTCGGGAGCGAGGGGGGGGCGGCGGAGGCGGCGGCGGAGGCGGAGGCGGCGTTCTGGGTCGAGTACGAGCCGGAGGTGCGGCGGCGGTGGCGGAGCAAGCTGGGTCTGCTGCTCACCGACGAGGGCGAGGCGGACGACGCGCTGCTCGAGTCGCTGCTCGGCGTGATGCAGCGGACGGGCGCCGACTTCACAAACACGTTTCGCGCGTTGTCTCGCATCGGCTGGGAGGCGAGCGAGGCGGCGAGCTACCGCGCGCCGCAGGTCTTCGACGCGGTGCTCGAGCACCATTCGTGCATCGACCGCGGCTAATGAGCTGTCACCTCCTAACAGGACTTTGACGCGGTGCTCGAGTACTGCTTGGCGCAGTGCGCATCCACAGAGGTCCGCCGCCCTGTTCTCCCCGCCACCCCGCCTGTCATCCCCCCCATCTTCCTCCCTGACCACCCGGCAGGCGATGCTCAAGCGCGCGCGGCCAATCTTCCACCCGAAGGCGCTCGCCCGCCTCGCCGCGATCGCGCAGACCGAGCCGGAGCGGCTGGCGCAGTTTGGGCTGGACGCGTCCGTCGTGGCGCGAGAGACGCAGCGCGCCGCCCGCCGGGAGGCGCTCGCCCGCGTGACGCCGCGCGACAAGAGGCTCTCTGACGCGGAGGCGTGGCGCGCGTGGCTGCACGCGTACCGGCTGCGCCTCTGGCGGGAGCGGCGCGCCGTGGCGGGCGCCGACGACGAGGACGCGCCCGCGACGGCCGCCGCCCTCGAGGCCGCCGCGGCGCGCCGGCGCGCGGTGATGGGTGCGTCCAACCCGCGCTTCGTGCTGCGGCAGCACATCGCCGCGCGCGTGATCGAGCGGGCCGAGGCGGGGGACTACGTCGAGCTGCGGCGCGCGCCCGCCCCCGCGCCCTCCCCGCCCGCGTTTGCCCGCCCGCCCAGTCCTGTCCGATCTCGGCGGACCTCTCGACTGGTCTCGGCTGCCTGCAGGCGGGTGCAGCGCCTCCTGGCAAAGCCGTACGACGACCAGGGCCACGCCCTCGTCGAGCGGTACGCCTCGCTGCCGCCCGACTGGTCGCACGATCTCGTCCTCACCTGATCGAGTTAGGCCCGCGCCCTTGGCGCGCCCGGCGGGGCGCGAGGGGGCGTGGGTGGGCGGCGGGAGCCGCGCGCTGTACTCGCGCGGAGCGACGGATGAAGGACACGCCCTTAAGGCCTCGCTGCTGCGAGCCCGGGCGGCGTCCGGAGAAGACCGCTCCGCACGGAACGCGAGTTCAAGCGCGCGCCCGCCCTCTCCATGATGGGGGTTGTACGGCTGGCTCACAGAGCGGTGATGAACTGATGTCCGGTGCCCCCCAGCGCACAACTACACTGCGCGTGGGTGTTTTTGACGTGCAGTCCGAGTAGAGGTCCTCATACACACTTGCTTGGGTGGGAGTAAGTACTGTGTACTCTCCGCGGTCCCGCGCGGCGCGCGTCTTTTTCGCGGCTGATCGAAGCCTGCCAACCGCGCCCGCGCGCGCGCCGCGCGGGCCCCGCACTGGCCCGAGGGGTCAGCGCACAGAGCGGTCTCCGGTCTGGGGGGTGGGCCGGTCTGGGCCACTGCGCAGTGCCACTGGGCGCTCCACTGCGAGGTCCTCGCCCAAAACCCTCAACACTCCGCTTAGCGTGTTTGAAGGATGTCTGAAAAAGTAGCAAGGCGCTCTCGGCAGCAGCCCCTTGGAGTGTGAAGGCTTCGTAGCCCTCCGGTCTACTACGTAGTGAAGATCCGCAGGACTGGAGCGAAAAAAAAGCAAGCGAGTGCTTCGGCAGGGCGCGTCCCCGATTTCCGAAAACACCCAGTGTAGCGATTTCGAATGGGACGCTCGTGGTCGTGCTAGCGCTCGTGGTCGTGCTATCAGACGCCCAGCGTGATGTTGAGTCGGAGGCAGAGGTAGGCCGCCACGCGCAGAGCGAGGGCGATGGTGATCAGCATGGCTCCGCAGAGGCCGACGGAGAGCCCGTCGTAGCCGAGCGCGCGGATCACCTCGTCGCCCGAGAAGGGGCACGCGTCGCCAAACTCGCCGACGCCAGCCTGGTCGCAGTCGACCTCGCGGCCGCCAAACTCGTTGATCACCATGCCGCTGTAGCCCCAAAACATGAAGGACGCGTACCGCATCCACGAGATCCACCCCGGGATGCGGTCGACGCCGACGTAGAAGCCTCCGAATAGCATCACCATCAGCACGAAGATGAAGGACACGCACGAGGAGAGGGCGAGGTCCGGGATGAGCAGAGAGATGAAGAGGCCGATCGACTGGCCCGTGAAGACGGTGCTCAGCGAGAGGGCGAGGTAGGTGAAGAACGGGCCCGCGCCGGGGCGCAGCCCGACGGAGAAGTAGATGATGATGGCGTAGAGCACGGGCAGGACGAGAATGGCGAACGAGTCGGCGGCGGAGCGCGCCAGGAAGTAGGGCAGCATGCGGTACGTGCCGCAACGCCGCTCGCGCAGCATGAGCTGCCTCTCCAGCGGGAACAGGCGCAGCACCGTGTTCTGCGCGTTGAAGGCCTGCTGGATGTTGACGAAGAAGAGGACGCCCTTGATGTCGCTCACCGTCGTGGCGCCGCTCCACAGGATGGCGGCGATGACGGCGACGGCGAGGATCTGAAAGATGTTGGTCAGGTTGTAGACGTCGCCGCGCTGCTGCTTCGCGCTCCGCTCGAGCAGCACGCAAAACTGCCACCAGCTGCTCGTGGCAAAATGCGACCCGGCCAGCCGCGCCGCCGACGGCAGCTTGGCGCGCCGCGAGCTCGCCTCCTCCACCGCGCCGCCGTCCGCGCCCGCGCCGCCGTCGCCGCGCCCCTCCCGCGCCCAGCAGTCGAGCAGCTGCGCGGGCCGCTCGTCGACGAGATCGATGAGCCAATCGGCCGGATTGGTGAGACTTGGCAGCGCCTACGTGACGAGGCCAAGAGTGGTGTTGCCGCCATGCATGGTCGCGACCGGCGCTTGCTCGGCAGCAGACCTCTCCGAGCGCGCCCTGCATGTAGGCGACGGCGTCGGCCGCCGCTCCGTTGTAGGCGACGCGGCCGCCGGAGAGGAGGAGGAGCTGGTCAAAGAGGGAGAAGATGTTGGAGCGCGGCTGGTGGACCGACAGCACCAGGATCATCCGGTTGGTGCGGGCCACGGACTGGAGGCAGCTCGTGAGCGAGAGCGCGGTGGCGGCGTCGAGGCCGGACGTCGGCTCGTCGAGGAAGAGCAGCGGCGGCCGAGCCACGAGCTCTGCGCCGACGGCGGTGCGCTTCCTCTCCCCGCCGCTGACGCCGCGCTTCTTCTCGCTGCCGATGGCGGTGTGCGCGCAGTGCTCCAGGCCGAGCTGCTGCAGGGTCGTCTGCACCCGCCGGTCGCGCTCCTCGTCGCCGAGCGACTGCGGCAGCCGCAACCGGGCGGCAAACTCGATCGTCTCGCGTACCGTCAGCGCGGCGAGGAGGAGGTCGTCCTGGAAGACGAAGCCGCAACGGCGGAAGAAGGCCTTGGTCGGCGCGGCGCCGCCGAGCGTCACCTCCCCCGCCTCCAGTTTGGCGCCCTTGGGAGCGCGGCCCGCGAGGAGAGAGAGCAACGACGTCTTGCCAGAGCCGCTCGGGCCCATCAATGCGATCATCTCGGAGGGCGCAACGCAGCCGCTCACGTCGTCGAGTATAACCTTGCGCTCCCCCGCGTTGGACGTACGAGCGCTCGCGCGGCGACGCCAGTTTCGCCTGTGCGTCTGCGCCACGCGCACGCTCAGCCGGAGGCCGCTCCACGACAGCGCCTCCTCGCCGAGGTCGATGGTGACGCGCTCGGTCATGTAAGCTCAACACAGGCTGAGAGGCGAGTCGGGTACGGTGGCGCGGGACGCGCAGCGGCGGCGGCGAGCAGCCGTGCGCTCCGTGCGCGGTGAGGCGGCGAGGGCGAGGGCACCAAGGGTGAGTCGTTCGTGGTAGCTTCCTAGGCATGTTTTCTTTTGCGTCCCTTAACCGCAAAGCCCGCGAAAGGCCGGCGCGACGAAGGTCTCGGGCGCCTCGGCCTGGTCGGACGCGGGCGCTCGCTCGCGCGGCAGTTGTCCTTGGATGCGAACGGAGGTCGCGTCCAAGGAAGGGGTGGCGGCTTTCTTGGCGGCTTCGCTGGGTATCCGGAGAGAGAGAGATTTTTAGCAATACCAAACAACTCTAACACTCTACACTCACACGTCATTTGGGGCCTGGAGCCCTGTTCACGCGCGCGCGGCTTCACCTTCAGCTGGCGTCCGGCGGTTGATTCGCTCACTTCATTTTAGGCGGAACTCCTTTTCCTTCATTTGGCCGGCTGGGTGGTCGGGACACGCTCGCTCGCCTTGTCCTTGGATGCGACAACGGAAGACGCGTCCAACGAGGAGCTGGGGTGGTGGCTTCGCGCCGGGTTTTTCTTTAGTTCATTGGGGCGGAAATGCTCTTGCTCGCTTCCGGCCAGGCCGCAGCAGGCTACCTCGCCTCGCCGGCGCCTCGTGCCGTGCGGGAGCATCGCGTCGGCGGCGCCTCGTGCTCGCGGCTGCGCTCGCCGGTGGCGATGCGCTGGGGCGAGCGCCTCGACAAGGAGAGCATCGGCGACCCGGAGGCGAAGCCGACGGCGCTGCAGAAGGACCACGGCAAGCTCATCATCACGCTGGCGACGACGGGCAACATCAACACAAAGGAGCGGAATCCGGCGCTCCCGTGCTCGCCGGAGGAGATGGCGGACGACATGCACGAGTGCATCAAGCTGGGCGTGTCGGTGCTGCACATCCACGCTCGGGACGAGAACAACAAGCCGACGATGCGTGTGGACAAATTCCGCGAGACGGTGCGGCGGGTGAAGGAGCGCGATCCCGACGTGGTGATCCAGATCTCGACGGGCGGCCGCGCGCCGCTCGACGGCGTCGACCCGGGCACCTGGCGGATGGACCCGCTCAACCTGAAGCCCGAGATGGCGTCCTACACGCCCGGCTCGGTCCCGCCGCCGCGCCCGCAGCGTCCAACCCCCCAGCCACGCCTCGCCCCGACCCGCCCGCCGCAGCTCGCCGATCCGCTGCGCGCGCCTCGGCCGCAGGTGAACCTCGGCCCCATCGTCTACCAGAACAACGCCAAGCTCGTGCAGGACATGGCGCAGCGCTTCTGCGAGACGGGCATCAAGCCGCAGGTGGAGGTGTTCGACACGAACATGATCTCGAACTGCGACCTGCTGGTCAAGCAGGGGCTGCTCAAGCGGCCCATCGACTTTGGCTTCGTGATGGGCGCGCCCGGCGCGCAGGAGTGCTCGCTGCGCCAGCTCGGCCACCTGACCAGCATGCTGCAGCCCGGAGACACGTGGACGTCCATCGGCATCGGAAAGTTCGAGATGCCGCTCGCCTACATGGCGATCGCGATGGGGGGGCACGTACGCGCTGTCGCCCCTCCGCCCCCCTCCCTCTCGAGGTGCGCCAGCGGCGAGGCGGCGGGCGGGCTGCGACCTCGCTGCCGCCGCCTCGCGCGCCGCAGGTGCGGGTCGGGCTCGAGGACAACAACAAGACGCCCGACGGCAAGCTCGCCACCAACTACGAGCTGGTCAAGCACATCGTCGACGTGGCAAAGGTGATGGGGCGCGAGATTGCCACCCCCGCCGAGGCGCGCGAGATGCTCTCGATGCCCGCCGCTAAGGCGCGCCCGCCGCCCCTCCCCTCCCTCGCTCGCCCCTCCCCGCGCCGCGGCCCTCCACCAAGGCTGCGCCTCGCAGGCGGACGAGATCCTGCCGCAGCTCGACCCGTCGGTGCCGCTCGACTCGCTCGTCTCGGACTGGAGCCCGTACGCGGACCTCGAGCAGAGCGAAGGCCCGTCACTCGAGCTGAGGCCGAGGGCGGGCCTGTAGAGCGCGCGGACTCCCCAGAGCACACCGAGCGACGCGCGTCACGCGGCCTGTGCGTCACGAATCAGGGAGCAGGCGATGAAAAGCGCACTGCGCTCCTTTTTTGTGTCTCTGTTTTATCTGTCCCTCCGGGGACCCTGCCGAGCGCGCCGAGAAGCCCCGTCTCAGACACCAGAGGTCGGCCTCGCCGCCCCGCCAAAATGCAAAAAACGTGTTCGGCCCGCGGAGGGCCGGGTGCGCAGATAGAGGTAGGGCTGGCGTGTGGGGCCTCAGGTAAAGGTAAACCTGTCTCAGACCGCCGGAGTACAGGTAGAGGTAAACGGAGCCCACGTGAGGGGAGGTAAACGTACGACCGTGGCCCCGTGAGGGCTCGAGGTGGGGCCACGACGCAAGGCCCCGCGAGAGCGCTTCGCCTGCGGCGCGCCTGCCCGGCCATGGACCAGGCTTCACCGCCGCTTGCTGACGGCTGATCGCATCGCCTACCGCATCGCGAATGACCAGTGCCGCGACCACTTGGACCTTGCACTGCCTGCCTGCTGACCCGGTGCAAAGAATCTGCGTCTCAGCTCTTCGGCGCATTGATTGTGCATGATTGCTCAAAAGTGGCTCGAATTGGCAATCCACCGCAATGCGAACATGAATGGAGAGCACATGCAACACGGACGCAGGCTTGACGTTGGCGACGTCGGTTATCAGAGGGGTCAGGTCATAGTGACGCGCTCGATGGGATGCTGCATTGACGCAGACAGCAAAAGCATCGCAGCGGAGACCTTCTCATGAGTGGCGGCTCGCACCATGTGGCAGTGCGGACACCAGGTGCGCGAATTTAAGAGCCATTTTTGATTCCGTGGTTTTGGCACTGTCTACCAACTTTGGTACAAATCGACTTGGTCTGCACTGGGCACAGCTGAGCCCGGCGCTGCCTCCATTCTGAAAGTGTAGAAGGGGAGGCAGCATGTCAGGCTGCGAACTCTGCTGTGCGCCGAAAAGCGGTATGGCGCCGAGGAGGCCATTTTCCTATTAGAAAAGGCTGTCGACATCCAAAATTTTCCTCGCTGCGCGCCCAATCATGGTGCCATGGTGGGCACGCAGCGCGCGGGGCGCCTGTGGCGCCCATTTTTTGAAATGTCTGCCACTCACCTAAGTGGCTCTCTCAAACACTCGTGCGGCTGCGCATTTTATTTTCTTCTCGGCGAGTGAAAATCGCAGATTATGTTGTATCGAGATCGCAATATCTCGAGATGAGACCACTCGAGAGATCACTGTTCACTCGCCTCTCGCGCGAGAGAGATCCTCGAGGCGAGATCACGCACAGGTAAATCACGGCTACGTTGCTCAGAGGTAGAGGTAAAGGGCCCACGGCTGCCCAGAGGTAAAGGTAAGAGGGCCGCAGGCCCTCAGAGGTAGAGGTAACCTAGACCCCTCCTACCCGGCCCTCCGGGCCGAACGCGTTTTTGAGCGAGTGACGGGTAATCGTGGCCGTGGCCAAGAAAATCAAAATATTGAGCTCTCTGTTTGGACCACGGTGAAAAACTCGACGGTTTTGGGCGTTTCAGAGCACGCTGAATCGATTGGCTGAGCTATAATTCTCGCCAGCCCTTTCCTTTCATAATTATTGACTCAAAACTCGATGATCGCGCGACTTTGGAGCCGTTATAGCTCAGCCAAAACGTTCCTCTCGAAAAATTGACTTAGGAAGCCGCAAACGGCAGCTTCTGAAAGACTCACCGGCGCTTATTCTCTTGATCTTTCAAAACCTAGGCCTGCGGCCAAAATTTTCTAAAGGCCGCTGCGCGGCCAGCGCAATGCGCAACCAGACAGCGACCGACAGTCAGCAGCAGACTGTGACGATTGGCGGCCTCGCGCCCTCAGTCGACCTCCTCTACCAACTCCCCTGCCCAGCCCATATGCCTCATCCACGGTGGCGCAACCACTCGCGCAGGGAGAGAGAGAAAGTCGGCGATCTGCGCCGTGCAGATGAGCTCCGCCTCGTCTGCGTCGAGGACGCCCATCGCAGGGCTGTCATATAGCGCCATTGCACATGACGTACTGCATGTTGTTCATTACTTCGCAGGTGCCAAAGTCGAGGATAAACTCACTCAGCGATGGCGAAGGCTGCACTCCCGGCCGGCGGTAGGAGAGATGAAGGCTAATGTACTTCGCAGTGTACGGTGCCTTCCGGCGCGAACAGTGCCCGGGACGAAAGAGGAGGCGACGTCTCCCTCGTCCATGGACGGTGTAGCCAGCTTGAGAGACGGGAACGAACGGCGGTGAATCGCCGACAGCGGCGCCTTCGTTCCTTTCCAGTGAATCGCCGGCGGGTGCCCTGAGCGTTGTATCTGTCGGCCAGTTGCCGCACCGCCGGCAGCAGCTCCACAGCAGCCGCCCAGATGGCGCCGGTTAGGACAGGAGCGAAGCCGCGTGGACACGGCTGAGCGACGCCGTGCGTCTCGTTTGGATGCTGCAGGCATGCCGGGCAGCGCGCCGTGCTCCATACCGCGCGTCGGGCGCCCGCCGAAATCTTCGATTTCTTTGGCGTAGGAGACCAAAAACCCTGAAAATTTTCTTCGCCTGCGGCGGGCAATTAATTTCGCTACTTTCGCTTTCACAGCTCTTTCACACGACTTTATCCGTCACTCGCTCTTTTGTATATAGACCCCGCAATCTGCTCTCTTGCGGGGCGGACGCTTTGTCGCGCGTTGCTGCTTGCTCTGGCCTCTGGGTCTGGCGGCGCGCGGCCCCCGCCGCCCCCCCCCTTCCGCCCGCGCTGTGCTCACATAGCCCCTCTGCCGCGCGCCTCGCTGGCCCCCGTGCGTTTTACACACATCAACGGCGCTGCTCGGCGCACACTCCTTTATACCCTTGGGCGCACAGCTGCACACACAGATCACGGATCGGTGGCTTTGATCATATGTGTCTGAATCACGTCTCGGCATGGTTGGAGGTGCACATGCGTATTCCACAAATAAAATATGTGACACACACAGCGCACCCTGATATCTCATACTCCACACACTCTGAGGGCGCCGCGCTCCAGCGTCACAATGCCCGGCGGCCCGTCCCCCCGTCAGATCAGCGTCAGATCCCGTCCCCGCGCACTCTCCACAAGGACTTTTACCGCACAACTCAATCGTACAAGTACTCGGAGGCGCATTCTGCCAGCAGCTCTGATGGTTCGCCTCGGTCCAGCTCACGCAATGTCCAATAGCGACTTTGGTACGTAAGAGGCACCGATGGAGACCAGCTGCGCATAGTCAGAGCGCTTCAGGCAGCGAATGCGAAGGTGGATCGGCTCAGCGGCTCCAGCACGCCGAATCGTGCAGCGCAGCTCGTATCGTTCCGCACTCACTGATCTGCAGTCCAGCATCGAGCCCTCGGCAAAGCCCGACACGTCTATGTGGTCGCCATCTCTGTGGAGTGTGCAGGGCCGGTAGAAGAGGCCAGTCGACGTCTTTGCAAACACTCTGATGTAGAGCCAGCGAGGTGGTCGCAGCGTGGCTGTCGGCACGGACGCAGGCAGGGGCACTGCAAAAGGGATCCCATCAATCGACCTGCTCAGCCGAACGACGGTGGCCTCCTGCAAGTCCACGTGATCAAGGAGTGGCTCCAGCGCAACGACGGTGGCCTCTTGCACGTCCACGTGGCTGCAGCCCAGAGACATGCTTTCGTCGGGGTGCACGATGGCGAGCGTCGCCATTGCTGGACGACGGTCTCTTGAGCGGGAGTCAGCGAGCCGCCAAAGGACTGAAAGTCGGGTCCTTGTGCTTCAGCTGGGGTTGAATTCTTTTTCTAAAAAAGTCATTTTGTCACACGGGTTGAGAGCGTGAAATCGTTCACAAAAATCGCACTATTCTCGACGCGCGTCGAGATCCAAAACTCGACGCGGCCAACTCCAAGCCCAAATCTGGCCAGAGCCCCATGCCTACCAACCGTCGGCTTCGCCGCTTCCGTTTCCTTGAGCACCCTCCCGTGGCTCCGAGGTCGGCCTTTCAGGATGCCACGTGCGCCGACCGTCAGCGCCACGCGCGGGAGCATGTGTCCAATGTGCCACGCGGCGGCGCGACAGTCACGGGACGACCGATGAAGCCAAACAAGCCACAAAACTCGCTCATTCAGAGCTCAGGTTTTCACCGATTTGCTGTGGGCGTTGGCTGAAAATAGTGCTCAAACCGACCAAGTTAAGCGAAAATCGGCCAAACGTGAAACGAAAACAGCACTATTTAAGGGCATCAGTAACTCGCCTCCGGCGGGGCCCCCCGCTACTAGTGTAAACCCATACAAAGTGCCTCTCCGAGAGCCGCAACGACGAATGCATATGGTCGCACACGGCGGCCGCATTTACCGAGCGTTCTCGACACGGTTACACCAGAACACCCGGTCACAGCCCGGTTGGTCCCACAGGGGCGCGAACGGCAGCCCTAGCCAGCGGCCCGAATCGATGACGTATCGCTTGATGTAGGACGAATCGGCGACGCGGTCGACGAGGTAGTTGCGTGAGGTGGTGGACGCGTTCAGCATGATGGCGCGCCCGTCCCGCCATGCGGTGCGGTCCTCCGACACGCTGTCCTCGATTGCGATGGCCTCGCACCCGATGCGCCAGAGGTGGTCGTACGCCTTGCCGTACTGCTCCCGGGCAGCCATCTCCTTGTCCTGCATGCGCGTCGCGAGCTGCTCGATGGCCTTGCGCAGCTGCGGCGCAATGGGCACCTCGTAGTACTGCGTGTAGTACTGCCAGCTCACTCGCTCCAGCGGCGTGTCCGGCAGTGGCCATGTCAAGCCGAACTGATCCTCCTCGGCCGCAATGCCGTATGCCTCGCGTAAAGTGAGTGGGTGTGGGATGCAAGTGCAAGTGCGAAAGCGCTTGCAGGTTGCAATTAGAGGGCAAAGGATCTGGTCAAGCTCTCGAGGCGGTTCACCGCTGCGACTGCTGAGAGCATCGAGATCATTAGCCGAGAACTTCCAGCGCAGCGTGTCGCGGAGCGCCTGCGCGACTACGATACAGAAGATGTCCTCCTTGTCGAGTAGCAGCAGCAGCAAAGCGTCTCCCGTGTCGTCGGCTACCGGCGAGAAAAAGTCCAGCGGTGCCGGCGACGGGCACAGGCCTGGCGTGGGGATGCTCATGCGGATTTCGCGCGCGCGCCCGCCGACGATCGCCGGGCGGCAAAGAAGAAGAAAAGGGTCAGCCGCGAAACACCTCTCCGACGCGCTCGACAATATAGTCTGCCGAGAAGTTCCTTTCTTACGCCCCATAGTGTAACGAAGTGCACTCGTCGGGCCTCCGCTCGAAGAAGTCCCCGGTTGCGGGGCTGCGCTGCTGCTGCGGGCGAACCCTATGTCGCGCCCTCCCACATGTTGGGTGAGCCGGCAGGAGAATGACCAAGGAGCGCGGGCGTGCAGCGCGAAGCTGCCTGCCCATGGGCCGGGAGCATGCGACGGGACGGCCAAGGTGCCGTCGCTCATCGTGATGTCTCAGAAGGGCCACGGCCACATCGCGTATGATGGCTCACGTCTGCGCGAGCGGCAAACAAGCTTTGAGGAGGTCAAGTTGAGCAATGGCAGCCTCGCGCGCGTGGCCGACGCGTTGCAGCTAAACTCGCTGCCGTGTGTGCCCTCCTCTCCTCGAGCGCTCTTCCGATGGGCCGCCGGTGATTGCGGTGCTACGATGGTGGAGGCATACCACCAGCTACGGCGCTGTGAGGGCAGCAAGCACGTCAGCGACTCGGGGCTGCGGCTGCTGACGGATTGCGCGGCGGGCGAGGTGGTGGCGGCATTCGTCGTAGCGGCCGTGGCGCCGCCGTGCCTGTCAGAGGAGGAGCACGAGCAGCTCCTGGCACTGCTTCGCGCGAGGGATATTGGGACAGAGGGGGGGCTGTCGACCATGCAGCGCGACGACAAGTGGTGGGTCATTTACGACAAGGCGCGCTCGCCGGGTTGGCTGCTGAATGCACCGCTGCTCGTTGGCGGCAGATGCCAGGGCGTGAGGAAGCCGCAGGCCAACGTCGTGCGGTACGTGCCGCAAGGAGAGGAGGGCGTCGTCTTTGTGGTGGCCAAGAAGCCGCTCAAGGCGGGAGATGACCTGTGGTTCGCGTACGGCTCGAGCAACGGCATGCTGCGGGAGGTGCGCGCGGCTCGCAAGGAGCGTAGCGAGAAGCGGCTGCGCGTGGACCGCGGGCCGGCGCAGCGGAAGGAGGCGCGGCGCCATCAAACGGACGCCGCGCGCAAAGCCCGCTGGACTGGCTCGTGGGAGCGACCCAACTCGCGTGTTGTTAAGGGGGGTGAGTGATACAAGCTTACTAAAGATGAATGTTCACGCGCACCCACACATGCACACTTCAGGCCGACCAACGCATCCCGATCGCGATACTAATCCAATGAAACCCAGGACTATTGGACTCGTGGTCGTTCATCACAAAGTAGCGGAGCGGAGCGGGCGGAGCACGCTCGGCACGCACATAGGTGTGCAGGCTCTCGCCAATCAGGCGAGCGACGTAGTCTCGAGCGCCAACTGTGAGTGGCCACTCGTAGCACGGATACGCGATCCTCGTCCCAGCGGGGGCATCTCTCCATGCCTGTCCCTCGTCAGGGTGAAACTGGTCGTAGAAGTACTGCGTCAGGTAGTACACCTCCTGCGTCTCGAGCATGACGGCCTCTTCCTCCAAAGGAGGGTCTCTCCGTCGCATATTGTTCAGCGCGTTGTTCCCAACGGTGATCCAGTTTTGCTGCACGGCGTCACTCACGTCGACCGTCAGCCACGCGCCATCGCTGGCATCTCGCATGGTCTGGATGCTGCGAGCAGCCACATACCCACAAGCAGGGCCTCTCTGAGTCATGTTTGTAGTGACCGTGACGTCAAAGCCGAGGCACCGAAGCCAGGCGATGAGCGCGTTCCTCGTGGCGACACATCGTGGCGACGCATGATAGAAGTCGATGACTCGTGCCTCAAGGATCGGCCTTGGAGCCATGGCTGCGAAGACTCGCCAGGGTTCGGCACTCTGCCCGACGAGTTGATGTGGCACCCGAAGCGTGGGCAGCCCGCGCCGAACAAGAGCGTCGGTGTTCCTCTGAACCTCACGGCTTGTTCCTCCGCTCGGACGAGTCGCCTGCTTCTTGGGCTCACTGTTGGGTTCGGCGCCACTGCTCGGTGCTGCGGGCCGCTTCCTCAGAGCCTTATCGGAGGGGGCAGGAGCCTTATCGGAGGGGGCAGGAGCCTTATCGGAGGGGGCAGAGGCTGGCCCGCTCATCCATGAGCGGAGGCTGCTGCTCCCGTTTGTCGGGCGCGACGATGACGGGCGCGACGCTGGCTTCGGCGCCTCGTGCCCGAGCCGTGTGGCGGTCCGCGCGGCGAGGCTGCGCAGCGTCGCCTCGTGCTCTATGCGCAGCTTGAGCGCCGGCTTCCTCGCAATCGTCTCGGTGAGTCGCTCGACGCCGGGCCACGAGGAAAAGGCAAAGTCGGACGGGTTGCGCACGCGGGTGAGGGCGACGAAGAGCAGCCCGACGCACCACTCATCCTCCCCAGCATCAAACACGACGCGCGGCAGCGTGAGGCCCTGCGCCTTGTGGACGGTCAGCGCGTAGGCGAGCATGAGCGGGAACTGCTGCCGCTTGTGTGCGGCTCCGTTCACATAGATCTCGCTCGCCGCGCGCCCGATGCAGACCAGCGCCTCGCACGACGAGTCGAAGTTGCCGGCGGGGCCATGTTCGTAGGAGGGGCCCTTGTAGCCGTCGCGGTGGGCCGTCGCCCGTCGCACCCTGAGCACCACGGCCTCGGTCATGCCCTTGGCGTTCACAATCACGTCGTGCACGTGACCGACTGTGCCGTTGCAGAGGCCGTGCTTGATGCAGAGGTTCCGCGTGATCATCACGCGAGCGCCGAGGCACAGAGACAGGTCGTTGGTCAAGTTGCGCATGTCGTCATCGTCGGCAGCGGCAGCGATGGCGCTCGAGTTGATGGCTGGGATAGTGATGCTCGGCGTCTTCCTCTCGAGCGCCGCCTCAATCTCAGCGTTGTTCCGCTCGTCTCGCTTGGCCTGCGTGGTCACGAGGTGGTACGTCTCGGGCGACGCAAACTGAGCCTGTCGCCCGTCGAGCCGCATGTGCTTCTTCATGTACTCCACATCGTCCCGGGTGGCGAGCCCGTCACGCACACGCAGCTGCACCTCTCGAAAAGAGTCGTCGGAGGTGCGCTCGA